CACGCCGTATACATTGTCCATGCAACGATGGAAAGATTACAACAGATTTAAAAGAGCGCCTGTGTCCGCAGACAACAATGGTGAATTGTGGAATGCGGTTTTTGTTTGAGAAACGGTATCATAAACAATTTCAGGTTTCGAGAGAATGCACTTGGCTTTGTATGGCCTTTCGAAAGTCCTTAATTCGATCAATTACCCCCAGACGAAGATCCTACGTAGGTCCTTCAATTAACTCTGCTTAAAACTTGTATATTCCGGAAAGCGCAACACGTCTTCAGCATGCATGCCCATATTACTATATATTAATATATATACACACCATTTTATAAGGCATAAGCTACTTGTGAATGACTCAGCTTACACCGGCCAATTTTCTTTTTATATGGTAGTATACTAGTAAACTTTATCAGTGCAAGTGAATAGGTGAATGTGTTACAAATTTATCACGCTGATTGCGTTTATATATATAGGGAAAGATCTAGCGCAAATTAATTCGTCTTAATAGAAAAAAAAAGTTTCTTGCGTACGCGGGAACACGCAGATATTAATATATCGTGCCATGGCACGGTTCGGAAAATTTAAGCCATGAAAAACACCTGGATGAACTTCCGATCCGCGTTCATGATAAGTTATTTTTATTTCAAACAATTTTCCTAAGAATACATAACTATCTAGCTTGTATAACCTATAGTTTATGTATATATAACTATATATATATATAAATAAAGTTTAACTTAACATTTGTCACCTGATGATCGTATATAGTATATAGATCGACTTAAGTATAATATATATATATTTATCACATACTTGTGCCTTTATCAGGGCGATAACAGGGTGACATAAAAACGATATCGTCACTGATATCGCTTTTTGTCACTGATATCGCTTTTTGTCCCGCTGCATTTGCCGCTGTCAAAACAAAGATGGCTGATCTCGAGCAGTTCGAGGTTTGTTTCAGCCGATGTCGGTTGCTTTATAGAAGAAAAAGAAGTATGTGATAAACAGGTTATCACAATCGGGACGAAGTGATATCAGTTTTATCGCTTTCAGGACGATATCATAAATGTCCCTCGTTCGCTGCGCTCACTCGTGACATTTATGATATCGTCCCTCAAGCGATAAAAGTGATATCACCTCGCCCCTCATGTGATAACCTATACATATATATATATATATATATATATATATATATATATATATATATATATATATATATATATATATATATATATATATATATATTGGCTATATTATATATTGCCTATACCGAACAAGCTAGATAGTTATATTGACTTTAATGTTATTGTTCAGTATATATGTGATATTTTACAATAAATTAATTAACACGAGTTAAGTTGAAAAGGCAAAATCGGATTAGGCATTTATTTATAGTTAATTGAAATTTGACTTTGGGCGAAACTAACGCATCGACGTATTCTCAGTCACCTTGTTACCCCCATGACAGAATATCCACTTGACTGTGAGGCTCTATGGTTTGGATGTTTAACCTTGTATGGTTGAGAAAGGTCTCTCTTCTCGATCAGGGGAAATGGAATTTCTGTGTCACATTCAGTGACTATTTGCAACTTTTATTCACTAAAAAGTAAAGAATTTTGTTGTAAAAAAGTAAAGAAGTTGATAAACGTTGCGAAATAACCAGAGATCAGCATGGCAGCGTCTTCAAATAAAGTCCCGTCAAATGTTGTATGAAAACTGCCAAAAATAAACAAAACATCTCGACGTTTCGAACGCCAACACCGAAACTTCTCGACGTTTTAGAAGAGTTAGCAAAACTATACTATATAAATACAAATTAATAACTCTGCGGACTGCGATCAGAGCCTTCGTCAGCTATAGGAGAGTCTGTGGTAAACGGTTTATATAGTTATAGCCTCTATAACGATCGGGCCCTAGCTTACAGAACAAAACATTTTTTGTCTATTTTGGAAAGTTGTTAAACCACTTTTGCATGGTGAGAAGTTATATTAATTGAGTTTGATTCTCATCTCTTTTTTATGGTACTTGATAAAAACTATTTCTTCTGTATACGATAGCTATGTTATTTCACGCGGGATATTATTAAAACGTAAGCAATTTATTAACATGGACACCGTGAATTTTTTTATTTATCCGATTAGAGTTTACATGCTTGGCTATAATGAATGACAGCTCCACCTACACACTTAGCAATGTGGCGCATACAGCAGGCGTCTATGATGATCCGTGTTCAATCAAACACACATCCCAACACCATGCATGTTTTGGCTAAAAGCTGATAGCAATCTTCCTAACTCTTGCTGTGCCAAACCTCAAAGCCTATTCAATATACCTCGTACTCCCCGGAACTCTGTGATCAATAACCACGCATATATCAACACGTATTTCGCACACAATAAAGTCTACCTATTTAAACCAAGGTGGTAGAGCATCATACGGTTTTTACACTGTCATTGGTTCATGCATGCATGGTCCAACGCTTTTTGATGCAAAGCGAGCAAAAATTCCACTGCTCATTGGTTTTTACAATTATAAATAAACCATATTACGGTCTAAAAAAGGCTTTCGAGCCTATGTATGTACAACTTTCGCGCGCTGTCAAAAGGCAGGAAAATGGAAGCTAACTGATAAGACACGCTACATTGAAATAAAACAGTCTGGGCGAAAATCAAAGCGACAAAGGCACATGACGCCTTTCAAGCGAAATTGCTCGTTTTGAAAATTCATTTAACTCAATTGACTGCATAATACCTCATGATGAGGCATGCAAATGACATATTTTAGCGAGTTTTTCCAGCTAAATTTTTGAAAAACTATATGCGTATGTATTTGTATCAGAGGATTTTTAACCAGTTTTTAAGCAGGATAAGGATTTTTCAGTATAATTAGTAAATAGATTCGGACCTCCATACAGGATTTTCCGCGCATTTGTCAGTCAAAATATCCTTTCACCCTGTGAAACGATGTCAAAATCTAATTATTTCATTAATTTGGATCAACAGTGAGTCTTGACGAAAAATATTCTCTTCCGATCTTATCAGTCGACAGATTAACACCGCGGTATCCTCACATTGAAACGGGCATAATATTTTCAAAGCCAATATTTTGCGACAATGAATAGACGTGCGTAATTTGTCTCATAATGTATCTTATAAAATGTCGCCGACATTTTGTCAATGTGTAGGAAGGTATATATATATGTAATGTGATTTATGATTTGACTCGTCGCGCGAATCCTAACCACTACCTGATTAGTCACGAGTGGAAATCACATGTAAATTTGATTGTTTGTGAAAGTATTAATAAAGTAATCACATGCATGCAGCTACGGGCAAGGCTTATATGTATATGTGGTTGTGTTTCACGGTATATATATACGGGCTTTTAGAATTCAATTGCCCGATAATTAACATCATAGTTTGACCGACAACTTTGTAAAGTCGTAGAGCGCTTAAATCTTCAAAGAAAGAATTTAAAATATTTATATACGTAAAATTTATATAATATAAATATATATATATATATAATATATATATATAATATATATAATAATATATAATATATATATATAATATATATAAATATATATAAATCATTAGTTACTAATGTGTGTAATATCTGATTTTAATGTTAATATTTATATATTAAGTACATTATATAACATGTATTCCGCCTATATTAGTCAACATCCATATATAGCTATATGTACGTGTACATATATTATGTATAGTTCTCATAATATAATAATATTTAATCACACAGTAAATGAGGCATTTAAAAGCAGCTGTGAGTCTAGATGGTACAAAATTATTGAATTCTGGACGCGATAAAGATCGCGGTTTCTGTATGCTGTTGTGCCAATCATTCACCTCGCAGACCAATTAATCATACCCAGGTAACATCTGCAAATTATGATAAAATTTCTGCTGGTGAAAAAAGGGTGATAATATTTCGGGCGCATGTGTAAATTTACGTGTGTCGAGTCTAAGGTCGCCCAAAGAACAAGTTTCTTAGACAAACAAATGTCATCGCAAGGCACTGCGGCTCTCAATCATGCCTTTCTGTTGAGTAAACATGGCTACGGTAAATTCCTGCAATTGTTAGCGCTGAACGCAAATTCGGCATGATAAGTTGGTTTGAGAGGTTCCCAAGCACAGCACGCAGAGTATACATACCGAAGGAAACAGAATTGTTGTTGACGCTGTAAGACACAGCAGTGTATTGCAGCATGTGCAAAAGACGAACATACATCTTTGTCTACCTCATGCTGTTTGCTAATCTTTAAGTATGCTGTAAACCCTACGCACCTCCCTTTGTCTATACAACACTTTGGGCAAAGAATCAAGTCGACTTCACGAGAACTTAAGACTTAAGCGCAGGTTAGTTGCTCTAATCGATTACTAATTCGCATTATTGCTCGAACATTAATAACGACACGCGAACTGAACGTTAAATATATCCACTATACTTGTATAAACAACAAGAGGAGGCTTTTGGCGATGAAAACACTATGCGGGAACCAATCAAAGCGGATTTACACGACAGCATGACCGTGACTAAATCAAAATGAATCGATGTGATTCTTAAAACTACATCTATACTGCCCACGAAATGTTTTCACTTGGCATATTCGCTAAATTAAACAAACTTGAGTACTTTAAGTGGTTGGCTTCAAATGGGTGCTAAATGGCAGTTTAACGATTTGTCGTTCATGCAAACGACCACTTGAAAAGAGAACGTCATGTCAGCCGCACAACAGCAAGATTAGTTTGTTGTCATAAGTCGTTTGCATTTTCACGCTCAGTTTTCGAGACAAGGCGGGCCGGTTTTGTGGTGTATAGAGGTCAAAACATTGATTTCGTGTCCAAAGTTGATGGTGCCCCCTGTTGGCAAGTTTGTTTTGACATATTAGGCACACAAAGAACCACGGTCAGTAGCCCTTTGACGGCAACGTGAAACTAACCGAGTTGTTTGCAAAGTAAAGCCAACAATTTGTAGTGGCGAGAGTTTTGCGAAGTCACCACAAGCGACCAAAGCTGTTATTTACCGTTGCTTGACTGAGCAGGTAATCAACATGACGAAATAAACCTCGAATGTTGATGGAAAAGCAGTGCGCGCGAAAATTGTAACATGGACTTTGCATGGACATGAGAGTGTATATATATAATGCGATATAGACAGTCTAGCTGGTTTTCATTGGGGGCTTATTATAATTTATGTTTCGTATTTCACTGCGGCTAGCTTCCTTTGTTGTAATTATTACGATAACGATCGATGCAATACGCGCTGATTTTAAATTGGCGTGATTAGCGATATGATATTTAGGCACCGGAAAACGGTCGACTTGCCAAGCAAAACGACATCACTCACCTTAACAAGACTAACATACTTATCTTTCTCTAGGCCAGAGACCAACACGCAATGATGTTCGTGAATTGGTTCAGGGTGTGCGTGGCTGGATTTATTTGGTTGTTACTACCGGTGTTCGCTGATAACCAAGTACCACGGATTACTCGCCGTTACCCCCTGATTGTATCGTACGGTAGGACCTTATGGCTTGACCCACAACAACACTTGAAAATCGAAGTTCCTGTCAGATATCGTTGCGAGGTCAGCGTAGTTCGTGACGACCCTTTAACGGAGAGAACCGGTTTTTTAAAACCGGATAAATTCCCCTGTGACTTTCCGATAGATGAAGTTCGCTACGTTCATCTAGGATCAAAGGCACCCAGTAAGGATTTTGTAAAGCTAAGCATTCGTGTGGATTCCGCAACACAGACCACAATTCGTCGTGTTGTCCTCGACATTACGGTCAACTTCTTACCCATGAGAATTGTTACTAAAAACAACGATTTAATCGTGAGTGGTCCGGGCAACATCTCAACCAGCATCAACGATCAAATATTGCAATTTGCGTACGATGCAGAAAGAATGGAGACGTGCAGAGTTATAATTCGTAACTCCGAAAACGGACTTCCACGCTATGGTCGGTTGCTCAACATCAATAAAAACAATTCGTTTGATCCTGTATTTCCTTGTTCAGAGTTCCTGGCTGCAGACATACGGTATGAACACACAAAGGGAGAACAATCTCCAAATAGGGACTACATTCCCATGACAGTCGAAATTCATCGTCAAACTGGGGAGTATGTCAAGGAGCATTTCCAAGTAGCCGTACGGATACTTGGCGCAAGAAAGAATCAAAGACCTATGGCGTCTTTTCAAGCATCAGAATTACTGTCTGTGGACCAGTACGTCACAAAGCTTATCACAACTGATGTTTTGGATGCCGAGGACGCTGAAACGAATGCCGACTATTTGATTTTCAATATCACGAAACCCCTCGCTGCCGGACAAGGATACATTGTTAGTACCGATGATCCATATACACCAATAACCTCATTTTATCGAAAAGACATAAGAGATTTGAAAATTGCCTATCAACCTCCATTGCAAATAACTAGTTTAAATGGACCTTTGGAAGTTGTGTTTGAGGTGATTGACACTGAAGCTTTTCATTCTGAACCAATAAGACTGCTCATAAAAGTATGGCCCAGAAACACCTTAGCACCAATAGTAACGAAAAATAAAGAACTTGTGCTTTTTGAAGGCCAGTCACGAATTATATCATCAAGCAATAATCTACAAATCTTGGACAAAGACAATATTAATGAGGTGAAGATTTATGTAGTTGGTGGCTTGAGATATGGAGAATTATATGTGAATCGAAGAGTTTCCAAGTGGTTTACACCTAAAGACCTTGACAATGGAACAATTATTTACCAACATGATAATTCTGATACTTATAGCGACAATATTATATTGAATGCTACTGATGGAGAACTATATGTCGAATTTGTATTTGTAATTAATATCATCCCTGTGGATGATGAAATGCCTGTTGTGGTTTGCAATACAGGTCTGGAACTTGAAAAAGGCGAAAGTGCAATAATTGATGAGTATTCCTTAAGAGCTAGTGACATTGACTCAGATGATGACAAACTGGAGTTCCTTGTGGGGAGACAGATACAATACGAACGATACTGGCAGGATGGAATGACCAAACCAGGCCTGGGTGTTGGATTTCTGATGCTAAAACAAAAGGAGCAACCTGTTGATGATGTTGAAAGGTGGATTAAATCAGGGTCATACTGGTTGAAAACAGATCTTGAGAGTTTTACTCAGGAAGATATTGTGAATCGGAAAGTGCATTATGTTCATAATGGAGTGGAAGTTTTTGAAGACAGGTTTTTTTTCCAATTAGTAGACAATGCTGAGACACCTAACCAATCTGGTATCAAGGTGTTCAATATAATGATAAAACAAGTGGATGTTAAATTCCCAACAGTTCAGGGCAGTATGCATGCAGAAGTAAGAGATTCACATTTGATAAAATTAACAAAGAACATGCTATGGTTTCGTGATGCAGATTCTGATGACATGAAACTACTTTATTCAATAAAGCAAACACCTTACTTTGTTTCAAGTTCAAATCAAACAATGCCTGCAGGCTCAATTGTTCTAACCCACAAACCAGATACAATTGTGTCCAGTTTTACTCAGCTACAGCTACAACATCACAAGATCTCGTACAAACCACCTTCTGGACTATACCGGCACACGGACATGGATGTGCAATTCAAATTTAGTGTTTCCGATCCAGCTGGTCATAGTGTGGACAACCAAATCTTTCGTATCAGACTCTTTGCTGAGAATAGTCAAGTCAATCCTACAAAGATAGTTAAGCTTCTCATTAATGAAGATGGAAAGTTGTATTTCTCATCAAGACGTCAGTTAAAATGGCAGTGGCAACAGTTTGTCATTGTTTCTTTGCCTACATATGGAATACTTTTCAAAAATGGACAAAGACTAGACATTGGTGGTGGTTTCACTGTAGATGATATTAACAATAGAAGGCTGCAATATGTACGAAGGCGTGATAGCAAACTTGATGAAATACAAATAAGAGAAACTAGTGGAAAGGAGATGGCAACTTTTCAGATTCAAGCAGGTATGTTCATTTTATCTGTTTCATTTTTATGAAAGGTACAGTACACTGTGCTTATTGCAGTTTTCATGCTAGAAGCATAATAAAACCAATATAATTGTAAAGTGTTGTTGCACATTTCGGCCCAATAATAAGTACATAGATATATCCCAGCATTGCGCAAACTTATCTGCAAACTTTTGAGTCATGCAAACCATTATGCAAAAATGAGGATTTCATATTTCATGTTATGCATATTGTCTGTATATTGTTACATTGTAGACAATCATTTGTTTGCAGCCTAAAATGAGTTTATGAAATATTTCATTTGTGGATTGTACCCATATGTTTCTTGTGAAAGTGCAAGCATGCACGAAAAATATTTGAAGAATTTATGCTCCTGACTGCTGTACATTAAAAATACAGTACAATAATGCTAATATCTAGAAACGACTAGAAGAATATTTCGATTCATGTATAAGTTAATAAAGGGGTCAGTGACAGACTGACGAGAATGTAAATATGCATACAATCCAAAATTCAAAGGCGAATTTAATTGCATTCCGGTAATTGTCATTGTGAATGTGGGCATAGCGTGTAATGGCATTATAATTTTTCACGACAATTACAGTGAAAAACAAAGATTTGCTTTCGCTTTTCTCTATTGGGTGAGCCATCACACTTTTGTAATAACGAGATATGATTTAGAAAACATACATCCTACAGACCCGGTCTCTTGTTGTATTTTCTAAAGCGATAATCATTGACATTGCAACAGAGCTTGTTTTAAACAAAAACCACTGCCTGACGACAGTTTAAATTTTGAGAAATATAAAAGGAAACAGATTCCTAACAATCTCAAGATGTCATTGTTATCTGGAATTTGTGGCTTTTTATAGAGGTATGTTTGTTTTATAAATAGCATGAATAACTGCGATTGTACTTTTATACGCTCTAAATACTTTTGTCCTACGATTATTCTAGAATGTTTTCGTCGCTGCTTGCGAGACTTAAAACAGTTTCTCCAGCTGTGTCCAAACGAGCAAGTGATTTTCTTGCAAAGAATGAAATTGACACTAGGCCTACCATTGTATCTGAGTTTCTTGTATTTGTTCCGTCGGATAAATCTCTATTTGGTAGTAGGAGCGCTATGTCCACAACAGATATGACAGCTTTTTATGCCATTTAGACCTGTACTCGATGGATATCCGGTTTTTGGCCTCAACAATACAGTATTTGTACACATGTATAGACCCCTAGCTTAGCGCCTCCACTGTATCCGCGACATGACTAAACAAGAAAAACAAATTAGCATAAGTTGATTATGCACCAAGCATGCCATACGCGCAGCTTGTAGCAAATTCTTATCATCTCAACGCATTGCAATCAAAGTAGCTTACAACAGAGCCTGCAAATGTTTCATATTAGCAAGTACATGCATAACATATAAGAATGAAAGTTTTTATGGCGCCAGAGCAATTCATCAACTCAGATTTTGCACACAGGTATAATGAACACGTTCAAAGTTAATACTCTAATGGTGCTACTCTGAGTTACCAACCGGGCAAGCTGAAAAATTAGCTTGACCACGGTGGAAAACGAACCCGCGACTTTTGACTTGCTAGTCTAATGCTCTCCTGTGCTACTAGGTCAAAGCGGTTCGAATAGGTGATATTTCGGAATTCAATCTATATAGTCCCTTTCATATCTGCGTGTCATAATTTGTTATGGTGCATATGGTGCTTATGAATTAATACTGTGATGGTGCTACTCTGCCTGGTGCTACCAAACTGGCAAGGTGGGGTCAAGGTAATTTTTCAGCTTGCATGGCTGGTAACTCAGAGTAGCCTGAGCACCATCTCAATATTAATTTATACGTCTGGGACCGGTTGTTCGAAAGGCGTTTAGCTAAACGGTGGATAAGCCAAAGTAAAAATACTCTCATACATCTTGTGAATGACTGAGCCTGCATCTTATGCATTAAATAGGTACTTCCATTGAAAATTAAACTATTTACATCGAGATATTTTAACTTAGTTGTTCAATAAATACAATAGATAATTTTGTTTTCCATTTTGAACTTGCTAAACGCCTTTCGAACAACCGGCTCCAGGGTCATTTATGAACCATGACACTGAATATTAGCTCGAAAAGCTCAGCTACAGTGTTTGGGGAATGGAACATGGTCTTAGCAAAATACGCGGAAACATTTTATAACAGCAATAAATAAAGTGGGGGTTTTTTTCACAAATTGCACCACGCATTATTGAAACAATGAACCATTAGCAACTATTTGATAAAACCTATATTTTGGCACAGATATATCAAATTAAAAACAAATATATTTCAGTGGCTATAGTTCTGTTTTCCCAATTCCTAAAATATTTTTCAATCATATTTACATTGCGTAAATAAAACAGTTAAATTCCTCACATAGTTTCTGATAATTGCATGATTTATAGTATATTTGATAATTGTAGTATTTTTGATATGATGATGTAGTATTTTTGATAATTGCATGATATATATTATATAGTTATAGCATGGATTTTTCATTTGTTTCCAATAGCAGACGCTTCCTGTGTGTAAGGTTTTATGCTGCATGTGTATAAAGAATCCATGGCTCAAATTATAGGCCCTATTTCTGTTTGAAAAGCAGTGATTAAGTTTCATTAAAAGGTCTTACTCGTGCTAACTAATAATCAAGCATACACAGGTTTGTCAAGCAGTCTTTTTCGATTGACATTGATGCGTATTGTTTAAATTAAACATATTTTAAGCCGAACCGGATTTAATTAAACAAACTCGTAATATCGGTAAATTTCGTCGTATGTACCGAAAGATTCAACGACGGACTTTTTAGTTTTGTTTAAAGAAGTTGTATAACTTTTATTTATGTGCGCGTAAATCGTTACCAAGGAAACCGGTGATTAAGCATGAGAATAGAGAAACATTAAAATTATTAATATGCTTGCCGTCTCCAGATGAAGAACAAGATACAGAATTGATCTAAAATGTATCTAATATATTTAGCAATACGCGATAGTGATCAGTTTCTATGTGCTTGTTAATATACTATTACTGATATACCTTGTCGAAAAGGAAGGGAAGTTAGGGTTGTTTATCGATGAATTACCGCTAGGCTAAATAAAGCTGGTAGAAAGAATATATTTTTATGACGGTTCCTCTTCAGTTTATATTAGAAGCGGACATCATTCCCACTGAAATAATAAGTAAAATGCGGCCTTGTCGAAAATGCTGCCTCGAAGGGTGATGGTTGACCGTCAACCAGCTTCCTGCTTATACCAATACCACAGTGACGTCTCTTTAGCAAGTCCTCGCAATGATAACTTGCTAAGCCAGCCCTTTACACCGTGATCAGTACGTCACACGAGCCTGAAGAGCCTGAAATCGGCCGAACGAGCTGAGAAAATAATAATGTTTCGTCATTCGACCAAACCTTATCTGTCGTTTCAGGCCGAATATATAGGTTTGACGGTAACAAACGAAGATTGAAATTCTGTATCGTTCTGACTAATAGTGCAATGAAAATGTGTGTGTACAGTGGTATTGAAAGTATCATTTTCTAAAAATAGTTTTGCAAGGAAGTGTCTGGTTGCGCAAGAGAAAAAAACTGGATAATTTTCTTCAAACTATATATAATATTTCATGAATAAACACATTACTCCTTCCTGTGTTCAGGTCAATTTACGCCTTTTTGTTCAGATTTTTATCGCCGTAGGAGGAGACGCATGCGATGCTTATATGGCGCATGCAACGCTATTTAATCACGAAATGTGTTCTACAAATTTTTGGCAAAGATCAGTGGTTGAGTGATGGCATTTTTTCTGTCTTCGTTTATTACTATATACAGGGTTATGCAGTTATGTTAGATGTATAAATACGTAAGGCATGTTAATTTACCCCTAAAGGCAGTAATAGCAAATAATAGGCTCTAAGACTTGATTTTTTTAATACTAAATATGCATGTATAATAATTTTACCTCATAATAGGCCATAAAAGCGAATTCGTCTGGGCAGGGACCTAATAAACTTCTATGATAGTGAAATTATATTTAGCAGTTTGTAGAAAGATTTCTTTCTCGAATCGTTAATTTCTCAGATGTTATCTATATGCTTTCTCTTATCCGTGGTTAATAGCTAGGCCATTTTGGTGAGTGAGTTATTTGACGTTTGTTATTATCAGTGCTCACTTCATCACATACAATGCAAGCCCATGCTGATCGTTTAAAAAAATAGCAGAATAAAAAACATTGCCGCAATATGGTCGGAAGATTATTTTCATCTGCATGAATATGGTGACAAAGACAAAGTGGAACAATCACTTAAAAATTATAAGGGAAACACTTTATAAACTTAATTGTACCGTGTATTCAACGATTATATCCTTTGATTAATACCATGTCATCCTGATGATTTTTAACGCCTTGCATGTCCAAAATTTTGCTAAATTGAATTCGCCCTTGTTAGACATTCGGCGACAGAAATTTCCGGTGTGTGGTTAAATCCCTCAAAATCAAAATTGCCGGCACACAGATTTGATATGTTTGAGTTGTTCACAATGACACAATCATAATACGGAAACAGAGCACAATGATATATACTTACAAGAAACACCAGGCATTCGCATGCAATGAGCACAATTCTCTTTGTTAGCATGAATCATGGCTATTTTAGTATTTTACTAGATAGCATCATCAGGTTTTTTTAAGCAGACTTATAATTTTAACAAAAACCCAAAAAGTGCATGTCAACAAGGTGGAATTTGCTTTTCCCTTCCCTATTCCACCCCTATTCGAAATATTCACTGGTTTGTGCATGATATATTCCCCCTTGTCCGGTTCTTAAAAACTCTGTATCTCACATTGTGAGAGCTTGATCAGAGCACAATGTGGGTGAATAATAATCTTTTTCGTCATCTTTTTTCAGCTTCGGATGCAAAACATAGAAATGTAGACACTCGGGCAAGGAATCGTGCTCCGTCTTTGATCAAAGTTTCTGCGATCAGCGTAGAAGAAGCAGGCTCGGCATTTATAACAAGCCAGGAACTTCAGGCTACGGACCCCGACACCGATGACCTGAAACTGCTTTTCATGGTGACTGCTTTTCCAACACATGGTCAACTGTTAGTGAATGGCACTGAAGTGAATAATTTTACGCAATCGGACGTGCTCAGGAATCTTGTTGTTTATAGTCATGGAGTGGAGGAGATTGGCGTCGAAGAGGCACACGATTTCTTCAATCTGACGCTCTCTGATGACCCCCAAGGACAGGAATCTCACAAAATTGGTAATTTTATCTTGGGGAGATGATTAAACTCGTCGTAGTTGTTGTCCTAGGGCCAGTTGTTCGAAAGCTGGATAGCACTATCCACCAACCATTTTAAACATGGTTGTAAAGCATTATTAAAATCACATATTTGGAGTTAACAGTTATGAAAGAGAATCCCTTATTTAAGAATACCATGTTTAACTCATGTTATACAGACTCTATAGAGTGAGTAAAGAAAACACGATCCGGTGGAGAGCACTATCCATCTTTTGTACAACCGGGCCCAGACAATAAACTTGTCTTCTGGTGCGATAAATCAAACTGCTTGTCCGATTCACTGGAATGAGAGCCAGCAGAGTGCGACCAAAATACAGAACAGGCAGGAATGGCATGGTGATGTCACTAACGTGGTATCACACTCCAAAAAAAAATCAGTGGATGCAATATAGGAATGTTTGATATCTTAATAAATATTTAAATCACACATTTAAGGGAACGCCTTACTCATCAAATTCAAATTGGGCGAAACAGTAGTAAGTTCCCGATTTTATTTTCCTTTCGGCATGGAGTCATATGACTGAGGGAGTTGACATTTCTGGGGTGGGCACTCCCGCAGAATGTCCGCTCGGGTAAGATCGACCTTCTTTAGCTTGTGATCATTAAGTATTTGGGATATCATGTCTGAGATTGTGTTTTTTTATTCGTTACCGTTTTAGGTTTCACATTCCACGTGCGGATTTCCCCGGTTGACAACAAAGAACCGATCATAGATATCAAAAGCCCGCTTGAAGTTTGGGAGGGAGAGAAGGTTACCGTGACCAAGACTAATCTTATCGTCACCGATCGCGACACCATTCCTGATGACGTCACATGTCAAATCGATGCCTCGCCATTGGAGGGATTCTTAGAGAACATCGCGCCATCAACAGGCATGGAACAGTCGCAGCAGGGCATCCCTATCATTTCGTTTACTGTGAGCGACTTACTGTTACAAAGGATCAACTATGTTCAAAGTAATCATCTTCGCAACGAACCGAAAAGCGACTTCTTTGCTTTGTCTTGTTCCGACGGTCTACAAGACTCTATGCGTCATATGATGATAATTGATATCATTGGGAGGAACGACGAAGTCCCTCAACTATTTCTTACCAATTTTCAAGTGGAAGAAGGAAAGAGTATGACCATTGATTCAGTTTTGTTGAATGTGAACGACCGGGATGTCCCGAAAGATAATTTGACCCTAAAAATATTGAAGCCCCCAAAACATGGCATAGTCGTGGATATGTCGACGTTCGTGTCGCGGTCTGAGTCGATCACAATGTTCCCTTTCAAAAAGATCAAGCAGAACGTCATCGCGTACTATCACGACGGTACGGAGACTACCGAAGATATTCTGCAGTTTGCCGTCACGGATGGAGTACATGAGGTGAGAAAGGACGTCGTTATCAACATTCTTCCGGTGAATGACGAAACTCCGCGACTTGTTACGAACACCGGTTTGGAACTTACGGAAATCGGTGAAACACGTATGATCACCTCGAGAGCACTGCGCGCAGATGATGTCGATTCTCCGAATGCAAATTTGACATACATCATGCGGAGTATTCCGTCATTGGGTCAACTAACACGGTATGAACGGAACGGGCGTGTTGTTAACATAACCCGCGGTTCGAGGTTTACTCAAAATGACATTGATCGAGGTAGGTTGTTCTATACCGATCTTTCAGTTGAGGGCAGCGCACGAAAGGAATTTCGTTTTGATGTCACGGACGGCACAAACTCATTGGTGAACCAGGTGTTCTACATAAACATGAAACCCGAAGATAAGCTTTATCCTATTGTTCAAAGTAAAGGTACAGTATCGTTTAAGATTTTTAGATTTCTGGGAGAGAGTTAATAATGGGGAGACCAAATCGATTTTTTTATCATGGACATAGAAAGTCAGTAATCCAACTGCTCTGGTGAAAACTAATAAGAAAACAATAGTTTCAAAAGTGTATCCAATTAGCCCATGCAATTTAGAACTCCCTTTTCAAAGCTTTCATGCTTTTTGATCACGTTATACACTGTGCTAGCTTAGTATTCGCGATTGTATAAGACGAAGTACCTTCTCAATGTCTTTGTAACATGCAGGAAACAACTCAAAAAAATACATTTTATGAATCCTTATATAAAAAACATAACCTCCTGCTTGTTTTCTTTATGAAGGTGTAAGCTTAAAGAAAGGTTCCTCGGTTACGTTGAGCACTGACATTATTTCAAGTACAGACCCTGATAGTCCTGACAAAGGACTTGAATATCACATCACAAAGCCACCGACAAAAGGTATAATTACTATGAGCGACCAACCAACCGTCCCTATCAGAAGATTTAGCCAACTTCATTTGGCTGGTCATAAAGTGAAATACGTTCACACAAGCGAGGATGGCAGCAAATTGGACAGTTTTCAGTTCGAGGTGAGCGATGGTCAACATAACGTAATGAGGAAATTTCGTATCTCACTCCTCGATGGTGATAACACACGTACTGTGGTTAGATATGGCCGACTGACTCTTTCCGAAGGAGAGACAAGGGAAATCACATCGTTTGAACTGAAAGCCGAGGATCCAGATAATACGGCAAATACACTAATCTTCACGATAACTCAAATTCCGGTAAACGGATTCATTATGAAACTTGGTAAACCGACCATGATGTTCACGCAAAGAGATATTGATAACAATCTGATCAGTTATCAACACGATGGAACAGACACGACTCAAGATTCATTTTCATTCACAGTTTCGGATGGTACCCACCTAGACTATTATGTTTATCCAGACACAAAAACGTTGACAAGACAACCTCAGACGATGGAAATTGATATACAAGCAATTGATAATAAAACACCCCAGATGATCATCAATCGTGGTGGAACCACGCTTGAGACGATTCCTGGGGGAGGATTGGGACTCTGTTTATCCAGTGACCTTTTAAAGGCGTTCGATCCTGATAGCAATAGCACCCAAGTGACCTACCTAATTTCTGAACCCCCTGAATTCGGTACACTGATAAATATTGCCAAAGGCAATGCTAGCTTGTCGGAGTTCCGACAAAGTGAAATCGATGATGGTCTGATATACTTCATGTTAAATAAGAATGAATTGAATGCAACTTCCGATCGCTTTTACTTTGACTTGGTAGACTATGGTATGAATGAACTACCAAATCATAGATTTTCGCTGCATTGGTCACGTATATCATTGGAGCGCACTGTGTATAAAGTTTCCGAAATATTTCGTTCAGTCGTTATAACTTTGGTGAGGAATGGATTTTTGGGCGAGTCATCGTTCATTGGAATTAGGACGCTTGATGGATCGGCGAAGATTAATGAAGATTTTGTTCCAAATTCTGCTAAACAAGTTCAGTTCAATCCAGGAGAAAGATATAAAACATGGGTGATCCTCCTCCGCGATGACAAGAAGTACGAAGGATCAGAACAGTTCACTGTGCAAATACATTCACCTGTCATGGCCATTATGAGCAGACGTTGTAAAGCAACGATAACCATAACAGATGCAGAAGACAGTAAGTAAAAAAATTTATATCGAACTACCATACAAAGGGTTCGTAAGGAGAAGGGATTTCCCTCAATAAGTTTCTAACCGTTCTGCAATGGAGGATATAGAGTGGAGTGATTTAGAAATAGAATAGACGGGAATCATTATCATTACTGCATTTCTGGTCTCACGGACGAAGGCTACACGAACGAAACATCTTCTTCCGATCCCCCAAAGACAATTTCCCAATGTTTTCGCTTCAATTATTCAGAAAAATCTAAATACAATAAACTAAATTAAACTTGAAGGATCGATAAAGCATGACAGAAAAACTAGTATTAATGATCATGGTGATATCTTATCTACTATCTAGGATCTGTTATTTCCGTTTCGAAATTGAAGTACTTTGTTCAAGAATCTTCTGGAGTGGCAAACGTGAGGCTTTACCGTAATGGAGATACTTCAAAAAGAGATCAAGTTTTGTGCATCACTCACTCGGGTGGGTAAACCTTTTTGTTCACCATCTTCGCTTCGGGCTGTAAGAGGCTATACATTCTTATTGAAAATTATATAAGGCAAAGGCATCTTTGTGATAATCCATGTTTTCTTCTGTTTTCTAGGCACCGCCATTGGCACGTATGGCGCTGGCGTTCAGTCTTACTCTGATTTTATTAGCAAGTTTGAGGAAAAGGCAAATATTGTGGTGTTTGATCAGGTAAACTCCAAAATTCTTTAAAATGCTCTTTTTATTATTACACAAAGATAGCCGTCACGAAGTGATTTTTCTACTATACCGCACCACTGCAAGCTTTTTTGAGGGCATGAAAGAGAGATTTTTATATTAAGTGACTTTATCAATGCAAAGTAGCCGGTACAAAGTGAAAGCTCGACTTCTAATCTGACTGAAGAGTTATAACAAAAAACCCTCGTATATTCCTTGCAGGGAGAAAGAGTGAAGAATTGTTCAGTGCAATTGATAGATGATTCACTTTACGAAGATGATGAAGAATTTTCAGTGGAAATTTTACCAAATGCCGACACTTTAGTAAATCCCAGGTTCAACAGAACGCTCGTTGTAATTAAACCTGACGTAAATGATGGTAAGTATGATGATCTTTTTGGGGTGTTTAATTTTGTAACCTATACCATGCAATTGAGACAGGTCAGGAATTCGGTTAGCATGATGTGGTGATTAATTAATGGAGGGAGGGAATGTCATGCTAAATGGTCTTTTTCAAGACAGTTAAAACAACAGTCTTTTTCATGCAAGACTACGTTAATCTCTGCCCAATCGAATTTATCCTCTAAATTTTTCCCACTTAATTCAAACATACTTCGAACATACCACGTTAATCTAAGCGATTGAATTAACTTACACAAACGTTAAATTGATGTTTATAAAACATGACATTAAATTATTCAACTCATGTCCCCTTACTCAGAGCCTCGAGTATATTTTGACCGGACGAGATACCAAGTTGATGAAAATGGTGATATTTGTCAAATTACCGTAAAAAGATCTGGCAGTGATTTGTCTAAAGATTCTTCAGTAGTTGTCAGGTCAAAGAAAACCAATCCTGTATCCGCAAAAGGTAATTATAAACAACAAGGTTGAGCTCACTCAGGTGATATATCGCGTCGGTGTGTTGTAGTTTCCCATGCTGCTTGCATGTAAACGCACATTTTTTCTGTCATTCCGAGCTGTGTATGAAGATGAAGACCTAATGTGTCGACATATTTTGATTTGATGTAGTTCGTATTTCATGGTGTGATGGTATTGGGTTGTAATGTTATATAAATGAAATTAATATTAACCTGCAAAACAATGATTTCGATCGAATTTTTCAATTTCATCTCAGCTAACATGGATTACATTCCTGTATCGAAGACCCTGTATTTCCCACCTGGCGTACGCTCACAGACTGCGAATATCGTCATATTGGACGACCTTGGCCAACCAGTACGTGAAGGTCTTGAGTATTTCCAGTTAGTACTAGCTCTTCCTATCGATGCTCGCGTTGCCATGCCTGGAGAGTCTTTGGTTGCCATCAATGATACTCGATCTGATTGTAAGTGTATACATTTATATAAGTTATGTCTATTTTACCTTTGTAATGTCGTCGTGGTCACCAGTGCGTCGTTCACACGAGTAGGAGGTGGAATTTTAATTTCCTCGGTATCTTTCCAGTGCCCAAAATTCAGTTCAAAGATTCACTCTATACTATCGATGAAGAAGATGGATTGCTATCTGCAATACTTGTACGCAGCGGTGATTTGAGTCAACGTTCGGCTGTACGATGTTATACACGACAAAAGACGGCGATTGCTGGTGTTGATTATTACGAAAGATCAAATACTGACGAGGATGTTGTCAATTTCGAACCTGGCGAGACGACCAAGGAGTGCGGAGTAGCCATTATCGATGATTCGCTTTACGAGGGAAATGAGGAATTCCGCTTGGTGCTTGCCCAACCTCAATTTCTTCATGGTGTTGGGAAAAGTTTGATTGGCAAGAGATCTCATACTACTATCAGGATTGTTGACAATAATGACCGTACGTTGAAAACTTATTCATCCACTATAGTATTCTCCTCTCCCCCAACTATTCTATTCATAGCACCATATCACCACGAATGCACTGACATATAAGCTGTTAAATTCGTAGTTAAATGATTAATATGTTTTCTCCAGGATCTGCCATTGGATTCAAACAGAAAAGACACTTTGTCAATGAACCAACTGATGAGGACGAAGATAGATACGTGAGATTAGTCCTTGTTCGAAATGGTGATACATCGAGAACCTCAGAAGTCCGCTTATACACAAAAGATGGTTCTGCTAAAGCCGATAAGGATTTTGCACCTTTGAGCAAAGTGAGTAATTTTCTTAAATTTATATACCCTTGCAAGGCTACGTCAGGTCGTTCCAATTATAAGATAACGGTAAGAAATAATTTCCTGCTCCGATCATACACACGAACAGTTTTCCTGGTTCGAAAGCTGACACGATCTTCTAAAACGGGTTCCTCAACTGTTGGGGGCAAACTAAATTTTTGCTGTGCAAATAAGCAAACATAAATCGTACCCCCATAATTTAACATACCCATGCAGCTTTCTATGAGCAAATAATGTTTCCAACACTTACACTGCGATACAATATTTGTGTTAAGGTTTTGACTTTCGGTCGAAATGTGTCACGACTTGAAGTTAGCGTAAAGATCCTGTATGATAACGAACGTGAAATGAGAGAGGCTTTTACGGTGCATATAACCAAAGACCGCAACCGCGTGGCTTTGATTGAAAGTAGCAAAGTGATCGTGTATATTCAAGAAAATTTGTACCGAACAGGTGTAACGTTTCCGCTCGTCCCAACGGTTGTCTCGTTACTGGACTATGATGATATAAGCAAGGCAAAATCAGAACCGCTGCACGGGTACCCGGTGATTTGCGTTACTGTAAGTGGACTTGAAAATACATTTTGGGAGGGGTTAAAAGTGAAAAGTGCTTTTTCATTTGTCTGGTGGGAAAACTATCCAAAAACACATGCATGTTCGAACATAAGATGCTCCAACAACCTTTTTGCCAGCATTTTATATGCAATCAAAATGCAATTTATTATAAATTCTGGCAAGGTGTGGCTGTGTCAAATGATTAGGTGAATTAGAAAGCACGATAGTATGTGTTTGTTCCCAAACGTCAATCACAAAATTTTCATTGAAAAACTGTAAAATGCATCCTTAAAAATTCTACTTTCATATTTTAGGCCTGTGATCCTAAACACCCGCGGTATTCCGAAACCGGGACTTTGTGTAGTAGACAATCAATAGACTACACTAAGACACGATACAGCTGGGAGGTAGCAGCCGCCACAGCAAAAGATGGTGTAACGAATGAATTTAGGTCCATTGATTCTCAAACATTTTTCGCAAGTACTTCCATGATAACCTTGGACAGTATTTACTTCGGTCCTGGCAGTAGAATACGTTGTACAGCTCGTGCTGTAACTTACGCAAATTATCAGGGCCTGGACTCGACCAGCGAACCATCCACAATAAGTCGTGAAGAAGGTTTGTGCTTACCAGAAAAACTGGGAGATATAGGCTCAGAATCGTTTTCTGCACAAATTACTTATACGGGATTGCAAAGTTTAACCCATCCCAACATGATCCGAATTCGTGTCCTTGTGCCCCACATCGATGGCATGCTTCCTGCAATATCTACCAAGTCGCTGTCGAACTTTGAGATAGCATTAACCGCTGATGCCTCGCGTCGCGGGCAGCATCTTTGCTCCAATCTACTGGATTCACATGAAGTTCAAACGAAAAGTGGATTTTTAACTGACCAAGTTACTCGCATGTCTGGCGGCACAGAGCCGTACCAATATAGCAGTAATCTTCGAGGCGAGTCAACACTGCGGTTTTATCGCAATCTAAATCTAGAGGCTTGTATGTGGACATTTGAAAATTATTACACAATGTCTGAGCTGGTACAAGAGTGCGGAGGAAAGATAGCAACCGATGGTCAAGTACGTGACCTCACGCGTTCACATTTGTCCGTGCGCGTCCCATTATACGTGTCGTATATCTATCATTCTCCCAGTGCTCTCGGTGGATGGTTGCATTTTGATCACTCCTCGTATCTCAGAATGTCGTTCACATACAATACGGCGGTATTATTGAAGGATGGGATTGGTTCACCTGAAGGATCCAAACCCCTGGGATCCATTTATCCCACAGGGGTCGTAATTCGTCCACAAGACAAACGATTAGTGGTGACATTCAGGACAGTGGCCAGATTTAGAGGAACCTTCATTCTTAAACACGAAGGTACCGTGAATTTCTCGTGAAGTTTACATCCGACATAAACCTAATTTTGTGGTTAAATTACCGAAAATAACGTTGTCAAAAGTGCGCTAAAAGAGGTCAAATGCAACTGTTTAGTTGTGCTGTAAAGTTAGGTCGTCTTTACTTACTTACTTCTAGCATTAAATTAAGAAAAGAAACTTAGTTGGTGCACTTTATGTTTTGAAAATTTTGATCTCTAATTGCTCTTATTGCACAGTGACGAATAAAAAATCACCATATTTTTACATTTCAGATCCAAACATGTCCTCGCAGGTCATTTCTCCAGACCAGCCAAACCTCAGGTTTCAGTTAAAGTTACTGCGCAGTACACCAACTTACAACTCCCCTGAACAGATGTGGCAATTTGAGTCAGAATTTTCCGTTCGTGATTACAGTGGAAAGTACTACATCAAACTCATTCCATGCACTGTTACTAAGGTAATTGCGTGAAGCTGGTGCCGGTCAAAGCCTGGCTGCCGATCATTAAAGAGACAACACACATAATTGATAACTAAAACAAAGAGTCAACGCTTTGGTCCAGAGGCGTGCCTTTCATTCGCACTGAAGACTTAGACCTCGGAGAACGTTTAAAAGCCTATCTTAAACCGCTTTTCCTGTGTTTTATGTAATGAAATGAAACTTACAATTTTCTTCTACCCTTATAGGACGTGAAATATTCTCTTCCTCTGAAATGTAATGCAAGAACTCCAACCACCCTCACGTTGTCGATCAGATTTCAGCAGACGAGAGATCCTGATGCCGTGGAATTTAATGTTCGTACCCAGTTCTTCCTTCTTGCTCGACGCTCTGTCTGGTTGTCAAATGAAACGAAGAACGTGATGGAGCAATCGGACGCTGCTTTTTCATTAGGTAATGCCGTGGTGTTCCTTTCAGTTGTACATTTCTCTTCGTCTTCCCGGTTGCGAGAGTGTTTTGTTATATTTTCTCATGACTTTAGTCAATAATGACCTCTTGTTTGCGTTTCTTTAGGCTCCGTTATTTACGGTCGTATCATGGTAGATCCTGAACAAAATTTAGGAAGTGCCTACCATGTTTCTGTTGAAAAGGTATTTGTGTGCAGCGGCCTGGACGGTTACATTCCTCAGTATAACCCTGATAGTGACGAATATGGATGTCTTGCCGACTCAGCATCGTTGGGTAATCGTTTCAAGATTTTGGTGAGTATCATATCCTGATCGTTTAATTTCCTGGTCGTTCGGTGTTAATGAAAATGAAGTATTCGTATATACAATGACAATGCTCAGGAACGAATAGTTGACTCCCTTTCTTCAACTGTTCCTGGAAATCAAATCCAATATAGAGTCCAAAGGAGTATAACATTTTAGTATGTAATCGCTAAAAACGGCGTTCAATTTATTCTGAATCTTTTAGGATCGCGGAGCTCCACAGAAGATCACCCGAAAGTTCCGTAACGTCCCATTTTCAGCTAAGTTAGCTATTGATGATAAGGAAGCTCATGCTTTGGTAGAACAACCAAACTCTGATGGCTTCAAATTTGACAGTTCTCCCTTGTTCCAGGTAGATGATGTTTTACTCCCAAAGTGTTGTTTTATCAAAGAGTATAGTTGTCATCATCGCATAACGACTTGAATTACGTTAGTTTTAGTATTTTGTATAGTCTGTCTGTTTGTGTGTGTTAATTGTGCTGTATCAACTACTTATATTCTATGGTATTGACATCAACACTTTATCTTACATCGATTTCTGTAACTAGGAAATCAGGCTGAGGGCGATTTTTGTCGTTATGACGAATCGCCTTACTTTGGACATATAGGGTATTCATTACTATCTGAACCTGAATTTCGTGAACCAATTCTCGTCGTTGCACAATTCTGCTTTTCTGTATGTATTTTGATCCGTCGTAGTCCAAACACCATTCAAAGATAACATCGGATTTCTTGTCGCTTAGGTCGCTAGCGGTCGTCAGTGGTATCTTCATGCCATCTATACAATCCGATCATTTGGCGCCTCCACTCGCGGTATCGGCAAACGAAGCACGAAGAGTCGTCGCCAATCTTCCCACGTAGTTCATTCCTTGTCTAAGCGCTCATCTCAGAAAACGTCCGACGAGTCACGACAAGGAGCGGCTTTGTTACGCTCCATCAAATTGGTGTACAAGAATGATGATGACACAGAAGATGGCAAAAATAATAATGTTAAGGAAAAGATTCGCAAAAATACCAATGATGACGAGAGCAGTTCACTTTCTTTTAAATGGGTCTTAATTGTAGTTGTTGCTGTCTGCTTTATTTTATTGGTTGCTGTGATTGTCTTGGTGATGTTGTACAGGCGTAAATCAAGACCGGTTACCACGAAGGTCGTGGATCCGGGTGAACAGATGCAAGGAACTGAGGTCTAAACCTGCATTTAGTTGTTAAGCACAATCACGATGATCTATAGAAAGAACTGCAGAGAGTACATGCACTTGGCGCATGCATGTCATGCAAACATACAACTCATGCTGATTCAGTCACGTGATAAGAAGAGTCTGTGGAAAGATCTGATTTTTGTTCAGACACTGCAGCAATGTTCCTGCTACAAGCTATGGTTAGAAAATTTTATCGGAAAATGTTGACCATTCTTGAAAGCAAAATGACAGTCCAGACGCGTGCTTGGTACATATATAGTAACATAACAATGGGGCCGATCTACGAAGTATTGAGGAAGACCGATCAGACGATTGACTTTGTATTATATATCGTGTGTTTCACGAATTGAACATTGTATCCTATTGGATATATTTACTGTCAATTGAACATAATTGGCTATTTATACAAGATTGTATATTTGATATATTTGTGTAAAGAGAAGCTATAAATAGTATTACTCTGGTTACGAAGCCAGTGATACAGAAACAATGATATAGTGATCCAAATGACTAATATAATAACGTCAAAAATCGATATATATATATATATATATATATATATATATATATATATATATATAATATTATATATATATATAATATATAATATATATATATATATATATACATATCGCTTCTTTATGTATAGCTGGGCAAAGAATTTCAAACATTAACTTTCTTGGATATAACATAGTCCTTCCTTCTTCAAAGAGATAACTTACACCGTATGGCTGACTTAGCCATTCTCTCCTGGAAATGCAAATTTACAACCGCGCGTAGTGCACTCAGGACAGCTCACTCTCTGACTTTCCCTCATTAATGAGTGAAGCCAAAATGGCGGATCATGGAGCCTTTCTTGTAGGTATGATCCAGCCTCCAGACCTCTGGTGCGGAAATTTCAAAGGAAAAATCATAATTGCCGCTCATCCTCTGTTGGATGCTGTGTGGAGAGCAACGGAGCTAGGCCCTAGGGACGAGCATGAATTGTCGCCATTTTACCTACGAACTTTCCGCGTGGAGGCCTGGATCATACCTACAAGAAAGGCTCAAGCAATCTCGTTCCCCGAGCCCGCGATTCCTCTGGCGAGAAAACAAAAACTCCAGAAATCCAGAAATCCTGGTTTCCGGTTTGTAACGGTTTTTTGCATTTCTAAATTGAAACGGTGCGTTAACAACCAATCAGAATAATTTCTGGTTTGGATTATCCCAGAGCCTTTGTTTCCTCACCAGAGGAATCGCGGGCTCGGGGAACGAGATTGACTTCCGACAGAGTGAGCGTTCCAGTCTGATTTGAGTTCACTGGTACCGAACCAGACCTCCACGAAACGTAAAATACGCGAAGCGCGCGTGGAAATTAAAAACACGAATTATAAAACTATGACGAAAAATAAAAAGCTAACATTTCGGACGTTACAAAGTTTTTCAAATTTCGACAGTTGTACCGCTGACCGAAATTACATGCAAAATTAAAAAATCTCGACTATCGCTTACATTTTTCTCAACTACGGCATACAACAAGGAAATTCTGAACTACAGCATTATGCACTTCTCGGGTGTCAATATTCAATAACAATTCTCAACAGTCGCACATATTGTATCATTTGTATACAGTTTTCGATTAACGTTTACAACACTTCTTGATATACTATGGCGCGCCAGACGGGACAGAAATACTTCCTTTAAAATACATGACTTGTTTTTAAAAATTACACCTATAAATGTGCGCATATAGAACTTTCCAAAGGATTTAAAACTTATCTTACAAAAACTACACCTTTTCAAAGAGAATAATATACTTTTTTTGGAACAATAGTTGTTATATTTTAAAACTATCCAACACGCAAAAGACTTGTTCCTTTTAATAACACTTCTTTTTTATTTGATCGCGGGCTCAGAAAATATCGCGGGCGCAGGTATAATCAATCATAGGATTCTCAAACGCGCGAAAATAGAAAAAAAAATAGTTCGTAAATCATGGCGGCGGAAATAGTTGAAGAAACAATTGTAGAAAATGTCCAACGAAATGCACAATACGGGCAAATTCGTCGATATCTTGTTCTCGGAAAAGATCTTTTTAATGAAATGGATCGTAACCGCTTAACGTACGACGAAAATTTGGCCGAAGTTCTTCATAATCGATGTTCTGCCTTCATCGAAGGGCTCGTCACAATTTCAAGGAATGTCGCTTTCACTGAAGAAATAGTCAACGACTTTTGTTCACTAATCAATGAATTTCAGCGCATGAAGTGTATTTATGAAGAACGTTTTGATGGCTTTGGTAGAGACGATTTACAATATGTGTGCCCAATAGATAAGCGACAAAATTCTGGGAAAGGACGTCCAAAATTTTTAATACCCCGTGCCCAGCTTGTTGGTCTACGTTCACTGAACTTCACATGGAAAGCAATTTCAGATATGCTTGGTGTGTCTGTGAAAACAATTTTACGTCGAAGACATGAACTCTCTTTACCAGTTGGGGAGGACACTTATACTTGTATTACAGATGAAGAATTGGACGAGAAAATTTCATCTATTCTCACTTCATCACCAAACTCAGGAGAAAGAATGGTTATGGGCGCACTTACTGCAAAGAATCTTAAAGTTAAAAGGGAGAGAGTCCGTGCATCAATTTTCCGTGTCGATCCAGTGAATCGAATGCTTCGAAGACATACCTCAATCAAAAGAAGAGTTTATAATGTCCCCACTCCAAATGCACTATGGTATGTGGGTAAAGGTGTAAATGTAATATGGGAGAATGTTTAAGCACAATTTGCAATGCCAGTTGTTATTCCTGGAATTATTAGCATTGGGATTCCCAATGCTAAGAATTCAAGGAGAAATAATTTGGGAGTGTTGGAAATAGTTGTTTGTGTAACAATGGGTTTCTGTTTTTTACCCTCCAATTACTGGGAAGAATTTCATAATCAAATATTACAAGTGAATATCATCTAATATACAATCAATGCAATTTGCTTTTGGTGACCAGATAAGGGATACACAATTACTAGTTATTTTACTTATTTACCAATATAAATGCAATGTTTACTCATAGGCATTTGGATGGGAATCATAAGCTCATACGATGGAGAATGGTGATTCATGGAGGTATAGATGGGTATTCCAGAGCAGTTGTGTTCCTCCAATGCTCTAATAACAATGAGGCTGTAACTGTCTTGGAACAGTTTTGCATGGTACTAGAAAATTTCACTTTCCTCGTCGTATACGCACAGATCATGGAACAGAAAATGTGGAAGTTGCAAGATACATGTTGCAGAAGTACAACATACAATCCAATCCTGTTATTACAGGCAGATCGGTCCACAATCAGAGGATTGAACGGTTGTGAAGGATGTCTTCACATATGTGCAACATTACCATAATCTTTTCTATTTCCTTGAGGCAAATGGTGACCTTGATACAGACAATGAAATCATATGTTTGCTTTACAATATGTCTTCATGCCAAGAGTGAACCGGGCACTTGAATGCTTTATAGCCAATGGAATCATCATCCCATCAGAACCGAGGGAAATCAGAGTCCATTACAACTTTGGACAGCAGGTTTTTATGAATTTGCTGAGTCTGACTACAGAGCAGTTCGAGATGTTTTGGATTTTGAAACAGTCAACTTCAATGAGTATGGTGTGGATGATGATGGGCCTACCCCACAATTGCAAACAAATAATCATGTGGTTGTACCAAGATCTCTTGTTGAACTCTCTGAGGAAGAGGAAGTATTCCTCCACAGTCATGTAGACCCTCTAAATGAGGATGGAAACTTTGGAATCACCCTGTATAAGAGATCTATAAACCTTGTAGAAGAGTTCCAACAAGAAATAGATTAGTGACAAGAATATTGCTTTATGAGAAATACATATTGGAAATAGGCAAACAGAAGCAAGCAAGCCATTTAGTTAAGCTGACACATGAAATGTATTTGGCTCTGTCTGAACTCTAAACACAACATGGTAATAGGAATACTCCTTGAATAGACAACAGTTGTCAATCTTAGAGAAAAGACCTTTTGTAAATATAAACAACTGAAACATAAAATGTGCAGTAAAGACATGCACAAATGAACACCAACAATAACATTAATAAACAATAGTTGCCATTTGTTTAGTAACTTAATAACTTAGTATGAAATTTAAAACTGAATGAGGGTGACATCTACACTCATACTACCATGCTACTACCATGGGTAGGTGCAGTACAAGTATGGATGTCACCCCTAATAAAAGCATAACATTTGGCAATGCTTGCAATATTTAGGCAGTATTGACTTAAGAATCATAAGCATGTGCAGTCAGTGCAGGTATACAAAATGCCTTGGGAAAATTAGTTCAGTAAATCAGCAACTTTAATATATTTTTCCAGCAACTCATTAGCTATAACAAAGATGCATAAATAAAAAAAATTCCTTTGCATGACATTTAGAACAATGCTATTTTGCCAGCTCCCCAAAAATTTGCCAAATGTCATGCTTTTATTATTCTTGTTACAATTTTCAAGCCAGCTGTTAATAAAGTTAGATTGCAATTCAGCAGGAATCTAAAGATTTCCAAAGCCACAACAGTCGCACAGGGCAGAGATAAGAAGGTCACCAAGTTCTTGAGATGAGCATGAATGAATTGGTAGTATTATCACCAAAGCACAAGTAGATGCTGTTGGTCTACACTTGCAACCACTGGGGCAATCATGCCTGAAATGGACATTAAGAGAGCAAGGAAAACCAATGGGTGGAATAGATTCACAACCAGTAATAAATTTCAACACATCCTTCAGTTTCAAGTCTGGAGCCTCACATATACCTACAGTAAAGAAAATTAGAAATAGTCTTTTGGGAATTGTTGTATTGTAGTTAGTTAAAATGTCAAATGATACCTTCATAGTACAAAGTCTGGATGAAATCTGTAAAGTATTTGAATATGTCCTGTTCTTTTGATTTCAAAAGCTGTTGTTCACTAAAATGTACAACTAATCGCTGGATGAGGTCATCAGCTGTGATATCAAAGCTGCTATTTGCTGTAAATATTGGTTTGAATAATTCTGGGTATTTTCGAATTTCATGTAACAGCCCATACTGTTCCAAACCTTCTCCTAATTGGTTAAGCATTGGTATCTTTGGGACCACAGCCTCATTCACACAAATGCATCTAATAATTGATGAATTTTAGCATTAATCACAATATTTATTATTGAAACGAAAATAATGGATGGGTTTTGATCCCAATAAGTTATCCATAAATTCATATGAATGTGTCTAAACACTGGAGTATGAAGGGAAAGAAAAAGGCTTGATCATAATAATTGCAAACATAGCAAATTGTGACTACCTTATTAGATTTTCCTTGTTCTTAACACTTTCTCTGGTTGGAATTCTTCTATAACCTATTCTATCTAACTCAGCCATCACTTCATCTCCGAGCAGAATTTCTTGCAGCTCACTATCAGATGTGGCAATTGCAATCTTAAAAAATGTGTGATATTACTGATATTAATAATTGATTATATATCAACCCACTATCTCAATTTCTTTATGTACTTAACATGTAAACTAGGTAAAAAAACTATTAAAATCAAAATGCTGATTAACATGAGTAAAAAAAAGCAAAAATATATTTAATAAAGCAACACATTTTAGTTCCTACAATAGGTTGAAAAAAATTACAAATATAGGCTGACATTCTCATGGAAATAGTTTTGATATATACCCATTCTAACCTTTTCTACTGCAACTTTAAGAGAATCTCTTTTTACATCATTGACTTGAATGGTCACTGCATCAAGGCCACCTGAAATAAACTGATACACCCAATTGGCTAAAAAGTTAGGAGCTGGACCACCTTGCAGAACACTTGAGGCCATCAGTAGACCTGCAACTTTGAAGTGTCCCTCAGTTAGAGCCATTGTGCTTTTAACTGGAATTCCATCACTGAACAAGCGAATTTCCATTTGTTTCATGGTTTCTATAAATTTTAAAATCTACAGAATTAGACTTTAAGAAAAACAGAAGTCCTAGATAGAAACATGAGAATATGAGATATGGTGTAAGTCACTGTACCTCATAAACATATAATAATGACGATATACAATGAATTCAGTAAATGTTTTGAATATAATTACCGCAAAAAAATTCTCGTTTCGGTCCTCCACCATCCACAGCCTTCTCCCCAATGAAGTTGACCTTGAGAGAATTTTGAGGATTAAACCACTTGTTGTGATTGTTAGCATCTACATAATCTTCCCATAGCAGTTTGCGACGAACATATATGGTACTTCTTGCTTCATGAATATTCTTCTGGAGAGCTTCTAAACACTCCTGAAGATTAATTTGATCATTCTTTGGCACTTCTTCAGCAACACAACTTGTTTCTGCATCCACATCAATAATGTCATCACATGGAAATTCCATTAGTAAATCTCCATATGTTTGCCTGCTGGAGGAAAAGCCATCTGCTAATTCTGCACAAGTGTCAGCATGTTCTGCAATCTCAGTTAAAGGGAAACTTCTGTAGCATGTGGGGCACTTGCTTTTTTTTGCGGTGACACCAGAGGTACTTGCTTCACCTTGGTCACTATCATGAACTTTAGCCTTAGTGTTATCTTTCTTACTCTGTTGGAATGCATGCACAAGCAGAACTTCGTCATCACTACTTTCCAATGGCAAATCCTCCACTTGGTCTGCAATACTTGAGTCATCATCGCTCCACGGATTGCTCAAGTCCTCTTGAAAAATTGCTGACACAGCACGAACATATATTGGTCCCTGCTTGTTTAAGTATTTTAAGACTTTTCCGGTGTATGTTTCACACGAGGGATCAACTATTTTGTTTCCAACTGCTCTAACAAATTTGAATTTTGGATCTGGCAAACCTTTCAACTTTTCACCAAATGCAGTGATCATTTTATTTCTGATTTCCTTTTCAGAGTGGCTATCGCAGATTTCAAAAGCAGAAATACAACATCCTTGCGTATACAATTTCTCCCGCTTCAACCCACGTGGCACATCAACGATTTTCGGCGATGGCAAAAGAATCACATCGCGCAAAACAGGTTTTTCTTTGTTGGAATTCCCTTTATCAGCAGAATTATCGATCTGCTTTCTCTTTTTACCCAGGTTCTTCTTTCCTTTCTTCGGTCGATAGTTGGTCGATGGCTCGAAGTTTCTAACACTAGGTACATAGCTCCGGTCAGAATCAGTGCTTGGATAGAGGCGCCTCATTGTATTTTCTATGGTCTGTCCATTACCTCTTAACTCTTGATTGTTATTGTTGTTATTTTGATTTCGGAGTTGACTTCCCTCTCTTAGATTATCAACAGCATTAATTAATCGGTTCATTAGTTCCTCGGCCATGTTTTTTATTTAAAGTTTAAAACTATAAGAATGTAAAACTTCGAAAACGTTTTATGTAAATGAAGAAATACATGAAGGTAAGTAATTTACAAATTTTTCCACATGCGCCCACGACACAGTGGCCCACGATCAAAGCGTGAGCCTTTTCTGAGCCCGCGATCAAATTAAAAAAGAAGTGTTATTAAAAGGAACAAGTCTTTTGCGTGTTGGATAGTTTTAAAATATAACAACTATTGTTCCCAAAAAAGTATATTATTCTCTTTGAAAAGGTGTAGTTTTTGTAAGATAAGTTTTAAATCCTTTGGAAAGTTCTATATGCGCACATTTATAGGTGTAATTTTCAAAAACAAGTCATGTATTTTAAAGGAAGTATTTTTGTCCCGTCTGGCGCGCCATAATATACTCCCAAGCACCGCATGTCTGACGTAATGAAAATAACTTGACCTTGTAATTAAATATTTAATTATATAGTAGCTATATAACATATGCTAATTTAGCTATATAAACAACACCAGCCCCGGAAACCTTATAGTTTCTTCTTTCTTCGATATCTGTCACAATTGTCTTCGTTACGAATAATATATAATCGCGTGCTTCGAGTTGATACAAAAAAGTAGAATAAACGAAGGTCTTACAAACGTAATAGGTCAGCAGAATCAAATTTATATCGACGATGAATGTTCTACAACTGGTTATTATATGTCTCACTGGTCGAGTTGTATTTGGCAAACCCGACGGCGCCCCGACAAAAAGTTGCTATCATATGCAGCCTGATCATAAAAGAAGAGACGGTTTTCCTCCCCTTGTTCAGACTCGTCCTTTAGATACGATTCCATACCAACTAAGAGCCAAAATTGAAGGCGGATTTATTCGTCTTTTTATAACCGGGTCGGAATCAGAATATGTTGCTGGATTTCTCATTCAAGCACGGGAAAGCGAGCGGGGAAAACCAATTGGGAAATTTGAATCCAGCGATCTAGCAAAGTACCAGGAGTGCGACAAAGATGATCAGGTACTGAATTCATCTTTCTGTTATACAGTATTGAGTAACTGAATTAAATAATAAATAATCAGCGTTTATGATGACTGATGTATATAGTTACGCTGAAGTCGTTAAGTTAAATACAATTTGAAAATACTGAGATTCATCGTTATATGGACAGAATATTTTGGAACAGTTTATCAATTATCAAAACGCCCCTCCTCTGACAGTGCAAAATTGATATTTTGAAACTTTTGCCGGGAATGGGGCCTGGCCTGCGAGGTTGGGAACTGGGGTCTGGGGTCTGACTGTGGTGGCTTAGACGATTGGTTTGGTTTGTCTGTAATTTTGAGATCTAATGTGAATGATGTCATTTTTTGAAAATTGCTTGCGTGCATCATTTTTAGATTATTTGTATAATATATTGTCTTCGTTGGTCTTGTGCTTCCGAATCATTTATAAAATTTCGTTCTTTCAATTCAAGTACCCTGAATTTTCAAGTATAACACATAAGGATTCTAGCCGGAAGAAGATGAATATCACATTCCTGTGGAGTCCAGCCGAGCCAATAACTAAAAACATCACTGTCAGGTTTTACGCGACATTGGCAAAGAATCATGAAACATTCTGGCTAAGGGCTTCGAGTAACGAAATATATGTTTTGGTAAGTGCATGACCGGCACGCAGCGCAACCCTGTTATGAATAATCCATAAATACAAAGATTTTATGCGTGCACTCAAAATACATGTGGACCATTTTACCATTTAGAGCGAAAAAACATACGGTTAAATCAGTTGTGCTAATGATACGTAATTTTTTCCGCTTTCCATTTACCGCTCAGACCGGAAAGAATATCAATTGTAACGTAATGACTATGTTTGTGTATATCGTTTGTGTTGGCTATAAAAATATAGTGACAATGACAATGACCGACAATAAAGATATCAATATGAATGTTGATGTGTGTCTAGACATGCAGTCACAGGGTAGACACGCGCAGGATATTATACAGGCCTTTCTTTGGCTTTACGGTAAAATCCTTTCTTCATTGCAATAGCTCTTATTCTCCATTTTGCTATATAAAGATGTATAACAAATATTTTCTCGTACTTCTAGGACCTGAAAAATGGCGCACCAGTAAGTATAGACAGTAATTTTTTCACGAGATATAAAAAATTAGTGAATATACGATTAAATTTTATTCAATGTTTTGAGCTGAGAAATGAAGCAAGTCGTTTTGACGCACTAATCACTATGAATAGGGCCTGAGTGTAAAAATAACTTTGTCCTGCATGTATCGATTCTAGTTTATTTCCATCGTCATAGTTATTTTACGTTAACACGGTAGAAATGCATATATACAATATATAATACAAATTCCTCTGTGCACAAACGTGCATCTTCCACTGAGCTTTGTTGAGTTGTACTGTTGTATATAACCGCAAACCACATATGTCTTCTTCTATTCTCTTGTTTATGTGGTTTTTTTGGCCCGGATTTATCTCTTTTTGAATATTTAAGAACGCGGTCAAATTATTATTTAAGATTTATTTTATCTTCCTACCTTTAAAAATTGATTTCATAGACCTATTTTATCCAAAAAATTCACCTGGTATCGGGTTCGGTTGGATGAGACTGATTAGTATTATGATTTATGTATTATATATAATAAATTAACAAAAATAATTTTGCTTTTTTCTAGGGGCAACATTCATTCTTTTTTATTTTATCATCTTTAACGATCTTTTTAACGATAGATTTGTCGTTCGTTCATTATTAATTAATGCAATATACGTAATAGAGCAATGTCATGTAGTATTTTGGAATTTTGTGTGAACAATTAAAGACCGCAAAATATGCGTATACCGAAGGAAAGGGAGTGGCGATCATTAGATGCTCCGTTCATGCATGTAATTAGAGAATAATCTAGGAATTTTCTTGTAATGCACGTTTTCACGCAGGTGAAGGCGTACGTGAGATTTCTATTCCTGTATGAATCCTCACTGACTCTTTCATCTCAAACCTCATAACCTGTAAGTTTTTTTAATCCCAAAATGCATTAAACACATGCCACATAAAATGAGCTTATTATATGTTAAAAGGGAGTAAAAGCTGAGGTCCATTGATTTTGGTTTCGATAACCTGATCTGAATCATCTGATATATATAGGTCGCCACGTTGATATCTTTTACATGGGTCTTGGGGCCGGTATTCAATATTTCAAGTATAAACTGACTTTTAACTGCAATTTCATAATCGCAGGATTATACTATACAATATTTTGGCAACTATTGTTAATAGAAAATCATTTTGTATATCAAAATTTAGGTTAGGCATCACCCAACTAAAAGGTCCCAAGTATCTGTTTAGTATAATTTATTGTTTTTACTTAATTTGTATAAACTATACCTTTACATACAACCGCCCCCTGGTATAGATTTTTCTGGCTCTGAAACGGCAAGGAAAAAAACTAAAGAGGCGAGTGAAATGCTAGGCCGGATAAACATCAACCTTTTCAAAAAGTTTTTTCATTATATCGGATTCACATCTCCAACTTTGACCATATAAGGAAGTCGGATTTCGTCTTGACTCAACCGGAAAAACATTGCAGTACCGTCTTACGTGTTCCCGCGACACTGTAGATATTTCATATATTATATATAATTAATTATTTGTCGATGTACATATCTATTATATTAGTTATTATAATATTAACGTTGGATCGGAACAATAAAGTTTTACTATTCTTAACTTGTCTATATTCTTTTTATCGCCCATATTGCTGCATCATTTTAGAAGTCTTTTATGCCAACTCTAAGAGACACAGGCAAAACATTTTAACACGCAAAACAAGTGGAAACAGGTGCACGTCATTCGTGAAGTGGTCACTCCTCAGCAAGGAAATAGTAAAATTCTTTTACGTATTTTCATCAGTAAATATTTTTGAACTATGCAGAATTAAGACACTCTATATAGTGAAAATTGAGAATATCAGCTAATCTTAAGACAGTTAATCCAAGAATCTGAGTGACGGAAATTTAACCAGAATATATCTATGACAAAACTTTAGAAAAAAATGGAGAATCCGCGGTTGACCTCCAATCGCAGCTGGTTTCACTTCCCTGGCCTTACTAAACTAAACAAATATTCTGTAGTGTATGTAATGTATAAATATCCATAGACAGTTATATTCCTTTCACAGTTATAAATAAGCGGTCTGCCGGTCTCTACATTCCTCCTTGCAAAGTTAAAGGCCGGTTAAAAAATTTCAACTCGACATTCGGTCCTTGATCGGATTGATTGTTACAAAATTGTATGCAATTTTCTGTTGGCATTATAACAGGTATTGTTTAAAGGTATTTCAGTTATTTCAACCCCGTTAAACGTGAAATATCTTTAATATTCCAAAGCATACTATCGGTATGTATATTTAATGCTAAATAAATATGCATGGCTGTAGCCGTAGCACAATCTTGTCACATCTTTGGCGATATTTCACTTTGAAAAATATAAATATGTTGTCGAAACGTTTCCGCTTCCCGAGCTATTGTCATATCATACTCAACCAATACTCAAGGGTATTTCCTTATCGCATACGCGAAAGGTCGCACAGGAAAAGGCGAGGGGGAACAAACATTCGCTATATGAAGCTAATACAAAGTATTGCATAATCAGTTGAATAATCTATGCTAAATACACATTTTTTTAACGTTTTCAAACATATCATAAAAATAATCTATCATTTCATGCGACTAAGAGTCTTTGAAACATATTGCATACTGCATTCACTGTAACGCAATCGGACAATGCGTATCAACTTGTTGTAGACCACACGCCCACAGGCCACAGACGTGTATGTTGACGAATACATTTCACGCCGGTTGCTTCAACATCGTTTAGGCTTTTATGAACCCACTCTTGGCTAGAACAGCAAACAGTTGAAAGTTGAATGGGAGGTATTGGTACAATGTGTCCAATAAAGACTATCGTCCTGGTTATTGTTTTTAAGTGTGTTTCATCTTATCCAGATGGGGCTCCGTCACGCGCTTGTTTCAACCTGAAGCCATGGCATATTATTCCAAGATCGGGCCGATATGCTGAAACTCAGGCAATCCCAAGTCCGTATACATTCACTGCTAAATGGGACAGGCATATGAGAATGATTCGTGTTTCTGTCGACGGTAATGGAAATAAAATACAAGGTTTTGTCATACAGGGTAGATTGGGAATCAACAAACCCGCAATTGGCAGCTTCATAAACGTTAAGAATCCTAACGAGGCTAACGAGGCTAACGTTAGGTATCTGGACTGCTCACTTGCTGAGGTAATTTATAAATTGTAAGGGCACCTTCAGTAGCTTGAACGGCTTGCGCATCATGACGAGAAATCGATTGTAGTAGGTTATACATGTGACTTCATTGCGATTTATATTTCTTGGTTGGTTGCTTTTAACATTTACAATCATATAAATGATATTAGAAGTAATTAAAGATTAGCAAGTGCGTTCGGTGATAGGATTTCTGATTTCTCATCGTTGCAAGATAGATTCCTGGGGCCGGTTGTTTACAAAATAGTGATTTTATTAAGAAGAGATTTTTTACAAATTCGAGTATTGAGCGCTTAAAACCAATCAGATTGCTGGAGTGTGGAATTAATTTACTGAATAAACAATTTTCATCTAAAAAATCCATAGGTTTTTATTTAGGTATTTTTTGTCAAAAAGGGACTTTATGCGTTTATATGCGAACCTTAAGTTTAGCCATTAATCAAAATTCAGCGCAGAAGTGTCTCCGATCAAACTAATTTATATTTTAGGATTAGCCCCAGTTATTGTAGTGTGCAAAAAATACAGTTTTGTTCAAATTTGGGTTGTAGGTTCGTGGTAATTTTTTGACATTTTTGAAATCGACCATATGTTGTATATTTACTTTAGGCATTAGTATACCAAGTGGCACCTGTATTAACAATATTATTAATATAATGGAAATACCTAGACAATTATATTTATAAGTGGTTGCTGTGAAAACAATAACTAGTGGCACAATAACTTTGGTAGTTGCCAATGTAGTTAATGTGGCTTTGTTATGTTTTTTTCACTTGAACGAAATTTGCTAGGATTATAAATTCCTTGTGTTTAACCATAAGAAAACAATGCAAATGTTCCAATCAAATTTTCTCTGTATTCACAAAGATGAATATTATAATCCCAAGCCTTTTTCAGTGGTGTTGAAAGAAGAGAGCCTGTGTTGTTATGATTGACAGGGCTAAGATTTTGGTGTATGTCTTCTAGATGTAAAGTAATCTACTCAATTAAATTTACTGTTTGATTTGGAGTGGTTTTGCGGTGCTGGCTGCGTGACAGCTGACTATTTTACTTTTAAGTTTTAAAATAGCATAATTATATATCTAACACAGTGCATGTAGTATTGTTTAGTACACTGATGTTGCTAAGATGTAGTATCATTTTGTCTTCTTTTATGTTCAGTTTCATGAAAACTCAACTATAACACACAACAACTCAAACAGGCAGGATAATTTGGAGTTCTACTGGAAGCCTCCAACAAACCGTAGTTTTACAGGAAATGTTACGTTTTATGCGACAATAGCTGAAGACAAAAATACATTTTGGGTGATGGAAAAAAGTAATTTAGTGCCTTTGGAAATGGTAAGTGATGCTATTAAACAGAACTGGAATTTTACAAAAGTTCAGTATAGTATCATAAAACCTGTCAGTAATGACCCAATTTTAAAATTTTGGATCTGTGGGTTTTACCAAGTATTTCATATTCAGTGATTTGAGTGCAGTCCTAAATGTTTTAATTAAACATAAACATAAATGAAGAAGTTATACAAAATTGCACTTATTTGCTACAAAATACAAACCGGCAACACATATGCATTGATCATGAACTGCGATTGTGCACAGTGCCTTGATTTTGAGTTGCTCCATGAAATCTATGATGTCATATGAAATCCAAGAATACAAGATGATTCATTTTAATAATGCAATATACTCAAGAAACTTTAATTTCTCTTCAGGGCGATGATGAAACCGAATCAAGCAAAGACAAAGTGTCTATACACATCCTATTCCTATCAATTTTAGTACTGTATTCTTGTTTCAGAAATACTTTTTAATTGTATATTATTTTATGATAGTGATCGACTAATCGTCACGAAAGATTTTTTAAATTCGACTAACCAGTTTTTTAAAGCAAGCTCTGTTGATAATGAAAATTTAATAACGATCCAAACTAATATCTATAAATCTTTAATTTAAATATGATTATGTGTAATATTTTTGAAATGATAAAATTTAGATGTAAAATATAATTAAAAATTGCTGCTTCGTGCATAGTATTTATTTTCCCACAACTAATTGAAATTTTTTGTTTAGTTGCATATACATAGCCATAGGACTATTGAATAACGGCGAATGGTTAGGTAATAAGAACAGATAGCAGAAAACCTTGCTATAGAATTTCCCTCACAGTTTTGAAATTAATCAGGAGATGTGACTTTCCTTGCGACGCACCACGACTGTGCAGGTGATTCATGTCAGTTACCTTATATTTAGATACTTTAAATAAAATCATTTCAGATATGCCAAAAATGATCCCGTCGTAAAGAGAACACAAGAATGGGAATGCGAAATTTCTATGTTCAGTAGGTTACTATACCTGTTCGCCTTTTCTCGTCAATGATATGTTTATTCAATCAAATATAAAAATGCGTACGATCCATAGATTAGTTTAGAAATAAAATGTAAAATTTGTATTTTTAGTGCAGTTTCTATTGTTTGTTTTGAGAGGTTTTCTTCTCAGTTCTAGTTTATTCGATTTGGTCATGCATGTAACACACGTGCAACAAGGAAGAAGTTTTGCGGCTAACCCTGTAGTAACTTACTGAGATTAGTGAGATATGAGCGCTAAGGTGATCGCTTTCTGTTCTGCTTACATTGTGCTTGCAATAATTGGAATCATCGGTAAGTATATATATGAAATAATAATTATGCGTGCTGTTTTTGAATATATAAGTGTTCTTTTCTTTGGCACTTCATACTCTTACTATGCCTATGGGTTGTATATATCTATATATCTAGAAGGCTATATATCTTAATTCAACATGCAGTTATAAAGATCTGGCTCGTGCACATTTTCACTATTATATAATGTTGCGAGCACTCACTCACACTTCTCAGTAAACGGGTGTATTGTTTCGAATATATAATAAACTCTCATGCAGGAATGTCAGAATCAATCTTTTATCAATTGCAACTCCTAGAGAATGGCACGATTATAAGACCATGTGTCGGTGTCATATTTTAGCACCTGCCTCCATGTTTTCGAGGGGAGTGATACATAAATATCAACCGAGTTCACAACTGACATTAGAGTTACAAATGCGCGATAAGATAATGTTGTTGTATGTTTCCTAACCAGATTCCTTTCCATACAGTACTATTCTATCTGCCTGTATTCTCCAATTAACAGGACACCAATCAGACGTGGTGTTGTGACCATATATTTTGCTGATAGTTTGCCTTTCATTTCATGTTTATCATCAGTTCTTTTTCTACATATATACTTTACATATTCATCGAACGAAAATTCATCTGTCTATTTCAGGAAACGTCATTGTCCTGGTGGTGGTGAAAAAACAAACTACGCGGAATATTATCGATATTTTGATTGCTCATTTATCTATATTTGACATCACGCTGATAGTTTTTACGACACCTCCACTATTTCTGCAGCATATCAACAACAGCATTCAACTTGGAAAAATCTTCCAAAAAATTTTCGAATGTGTAACCACCTTTTGTGCGGTTATTTCTGTATATACAGTAGTAGCTATAGCAATAGAAAGGTAAAATTGATATCTTGACATAGCTGCAGTAAAGGACTATTAATTTCAATATACTCTATATATGCAGAATAGTTCGTCCATTTTGACTATTCGTATATATCCGTGCATGTATTTCTTTCAGCATCGTTTCTTTATATATTTTAATTACAGGATCGATTTTCTATCTTTATTCGGTCCACTTCAATTCAGCATTCCAATTGTTTTAATATATATAGCTGAGTCAGTTTTTTTTTGACAGATTCCTGGCCATCGTTCACCCACTTAAACAACTGACAAAGAATAAGAAAATTACTGTCATGATGTTGCTAATCACCATTTGGGCTTTCGCATCAAGTCAACTTCTCATTAGAAATACTGCTCCTGTGTTCAAAGAGAAGTACTTTCCATTTAATGAAACGAGTAAGCATAATGGTTCTTTGCAATACCTGCCATATGTTCAAAAACCAAAATATTACCTTATCAGCGTATTTTTTGCGTATAATGTCCTCCCGTTTGTGACAGTATTTCACTTGTATTCACGGATTATTATGAAGCTCCGAAGTCGTGGTAAAGAAGTGAGACTGTCACACGCGACGAGAAGTCAACAGAGCAACTTTACGATCAACAATCACCGCAAAACCATGGTTATGTTAATCACAGTTCTTGTTGCAATCTTGGTATGCCATTGGCCATACACAATATTTCATATAATCATGGCATTCAATGAAGTACGAACAATGAGCACCACCCTAGAGCTACTTAATTCATCGCTACGACTACTTTCGTTTCTTCCACCAATCATCAATCCTATCCTTTACAATTTTTTCAGCGATAAATTTCGCGCTGGTTTTCGTCAAGTGCTTTTAAGCAATTTGTAACAATAATTCACGACAGCACTAAATACCATGGCCATGCACTGAATCACCTCCTCAGAACCATTGTTAATCTTCAGTCGTCGAGAACTCTATTGGCGTGAAAATGGCATTTCTCATCATCTTTAAAAAGCCCAGTGCTCCTGAGTTTTGGGAACAGACACAGAAACAAGTATAAAACTATTCTTGAGGCGCGTGCACAATTTCACTATGTACTAATGATGGAATATTTACACTTCTTAACACAGTTTGAAAACTCTTATTGCTTCTCGCGGTCGCCAATGCATGGCACCAAAGAATCTTTTTCTGGACAAGAATCGTGGGATACATACTGGGCCTCCACAATCGCAGAAAGCATTTTTTGCATAAACCTGAACAATAGCATAGTTAATGATTAGTCTCCAAACCATGTATATTCTATTAACTGTGGCGTGGTTCACACGAGTAAAATAAGCATATACAGGGTGTCTCGCAACCACTTAAATATGCAAGATATTATTAACACAAGTCTAAAGCGCAATAGATAAGCACCTCTGGGAATTTAAAATGGCTCTTAATCCTTCATTTAAAATGCTAAAAGTCATTTTAGCTGAACTATGGTATTTAAGTGGTTGCGTTTTTTTTGAGACACCCTGTATAATCAGGAATACAAAAGAAATCTTTCCTTTAGGAGTCAAAAAGACAAAACCAAGGGAATTTTCAAATGTCTTTTGTTCCAGTTTCGCGTATGCTTCGAGTCTTGTGCTTGTGCTTATGCTTGTGCTTAGTCGATGCTTATGTCGCTTCATTGCATTTCTTTGTTTTGCCTATTGTCTTTCCTTACGCTTATTTCACTCGTGTGAACCAGGCTTCAGAGGCTCACAAACCAAAAGGCTTGCCGTTAAAAATGAAGAAAACAAATGGCTTTTACGACGGCGTTTATCCTTTTGTCTTCAGCTAACCCACTTACCCACCAGTCCTAAAAAAGCAGTACTTAGTATGCAACAGTCAATGAGGAACAACCTAAACTTGCTGGAACGTATTCTGGCCAGTATTACTCATATATGGGCCCAATAACATGCAATTCAGAGCAAGCGCAGATTTAACAACTCAAGGTCAGTTCTGCCAATCGAAGGGGCAACTATTTATTGTATAATTTCATTCTTTTGACTATAATCATGTCCCACAGCGACGACGTGACATAACAAGACAATTTCAATGCGATTTATGAGAGTATACTATAGGATATATAAATAAATAAATATCTTTACGATTCCTGGTATGTTGTTTGAAACCCATTGTCCTGGCTGTGCATGCTGAACCGCTGGAGGACAAGATACCGGACAATCTATCTTTGTATCAGTATAGTGGCCCGATTTATACTAGAGACCGTTCGACAGATCATTCGTCTAGTATAAGCATACGACAAACTATCTAGACGAATTATATGTAGACGAATATGTCAAACGAAACTGAATCGCGTGTTTAGAAACTGCACGCAAATTAGGAAATTATACTTGTGCGGTAAAAAGAGTGTACAAGACTGTCAAGAGCCGATTTATGATGAACTTTTTGTAGTTCGTCCCCATCTCGTATTTATGACGAACGGAGAAGACGAACTACCATTCAAAACTACCATTCTAAATAGACAAACTATGCCGATAATTCGTGTTGACGGATGATCCGTCTGTTTGCTCTTGTTTACACACAGACGAACTAAAAGACGAACTATAGAATCTAAATCGGGACAGTCCTATGACAGTCCTTAACCCGGTACGGACGAGGAGGTTTCCCTTGAAAGAATACTTCACTAGGTCACTAGTGTGCTTATGTGACTTATTTCTCATTCCATAGCCATAATCATAGCCAAAGGCATATAGAAGCATTTACCCTTTGACAACATTTTCCTTGCTTTTTGGCGCCGGCATTAAGGTGCTGTTACACTATGCAATTCTCCTTGCATATGGGATGTTAAGTTGCAAAGCGTGTTCGAAATGCTAGGGAAACGTATTAGCAGATCGTATTCATCAACTTGGATGCCTTAGGATTAGAATTGCATTGCAAGTTGCAAGAAAGGTTGCACAGTGTAACATACACCGCGGCCGCCGCCTTTAGCAAAGGTTGTGTGGGCAGGCTCAGTGTTGAAACGATTGGCGTGGCGTAGCTTTTTAACAAGGCTCGATGTCAACGAAAAATTGTAAGCTTTTTCGACAAGAATAACTTGCAATTGCTCGTTTGACAAGTACGGAGCTTTAACCGCGGCTGCATAATTAGTTTCCTCAAAAGTCAAATTCATGCTTGTAAGCCGTGTTCACACTACAGACCGAGGGGTGGACTTAGGCCCTGTCTACACTAGTGCGTTTTCGTTTGAAAACGCATAGGCCGTATTCTCTGGCACGAAAAGTCGCTTAGAAAACGATTTTCGTTGCCCCCCTTCGGGCACTACTTGAAAACACGATAGAAAATTAGGATAAATTATAGAAAGTCTAAATTCACTTGTTTTCACCTTCACAAACCTGCAGTTTTCGAGCATTTCATCTTCGAAAAATCAGTAAATTTGCATGTTTTGCAATACACCGACGCCATTTTGATTCAGGAAATGTATTGGATACTTGGTGTAATATACGACATATATTGCAGATTCAGCAGTTTTATACCGGGATTTAAATGAAGTTTCCAGCATTTTTGCTGCGCAAGCAGGTTTCAACAAGGAAGCTTTGAGTGGAGTTTTACGAGGTTTTTCACAAATTTTCATAGTTTTTCTAAACTAAATTAGTCAGAGAAGACTTAGACAATTTTGCTTACACGCATCAAAATCATCCACGGGCGTTTTGTTTCAGTCAAGTTATATGAAATAATTACTACACAATTCCTTTCCTGCTTAACCTTTGTTTTATATTAACTACTTTTATAATACACACGTTTTCTCAACAAAACTATTTACAACATCTCAGTTTTTTACAAAGTTAATTACCAACGCCTTTATCTTATTATCATCAATCCACTAAAAAAACGAATTTTTTGAGCGAAGACCCAGACATCTTTACGAAGTTGAAAGAGAACAAATTTCAAACATTTTCCTTATGAAAACGTGAGAGGACTTGTGAAAACTGCCAAGTTGGCCCAGTCTAAACTTGCTGAAGTATTGGAACCTGAATCTGGAAATCCAGAAGTCAATGTTATTCAGTCGATGAAAGGAAAATGCAAAACATTTGGCGATGATGCAGAGAGACAACGAAGAGCTGAAAAGTGAAAAAGGAGTCCAGAAAGTTCACATCTTCGGAAAAGATCAGAGTGTTCCAAAATAGTGGAAAAAGTGTTTAAGATCCGGTGAAAACAAGGAATCCCTCATATATTTTTTATGTGAACACTGGAGGTGATGGGACTCCTCCCGGTGGTTTTCCATTTCAACTATGTACGTAACTGCTAAAGAAAGATGCTATGTTTTATATCCCGGTGATCCCCGAACGATAGTGTTACAAGTAATGAGGTGTCTTCGCTTCATAGCAACCACGAAAAAGCAGACACTCGTTTAATTCTACATGCTAACCACGCAGCAGCAACGTACGATAAAGTTGTTATCAAAATCCCTGATACAGATGTTCTTACACCTGCGATTACCATGCAACAACAGATGCAAAAAGAGATTTTCTTTTGACTGGCACGGGAGATGGACGTCGTTGCGTATTTGTAGCAATTATCTCGAAATTCTTGGGCGTAGATGTTGCTCCTTGTTTACCAGGCTTTCATGCTTTTACCGGTAATGGCATTAGCAATCAAGCAGCATCATAGTATCAGTGTTTAAGTGCAGAAATTGATCTTTCATCACCGGTTGGCAATGGCTGGACGTTTGACGATAAAGAGCTAGAGATAACTTGGATGACACGCCCACCCGCTCCGCGACTTAAATTGAGTGTGCTGAGTGAAAGTGCAAGACTGGATGCTCGACCATGCGTTATTCCTGCAAAAAGGCTGACTTAAAATGCACCGACCTATGTTTGTGTGGTGATTGCCAGAATGCAGTGGTTGAAGATGGTAATGAGAATAATAGCAGTTATGGCCTGGCTCAATCTGATGACGATGATGAACTTGAAGGATCAGGATCTATTCTGGATTTCGGAGATGACGTCGATGATGAGTTGTGGTATTAGCTGTCCGATTAAAAGGGTTGAGTTCAACGTTTCATTTGTGTTTTGAAATCATAAGGCTCTTGTAATTCTCCCACAATTTTATTTGGTTGAAATTGATTTAAGATACGCAGTATGTTGTTTCTGTATTATATAGTTTTAACTATAGCAAGTTAGTTTATTATAAAGGAGAGTAGCATCAGTGTATGGGGTAGTAAGGTTGTAGGATAATGCGTTCTTTTCTTATTTGCAAAATTCCAGACTTTGTTGTCTGCCAATTTGTTATGTGTTTTCTTTTCGGGTCAAAGAAAGAAAGATCAGCAATGGAAGAATTACCACAATTCAATTCTAAGAAGAAAGAGAAGCGTTGGCTTTTAACCTGTAAAAGCGTTGCTGCAGCATGGGAGGGAGAACACGCTCCAGATTTTCCCAGATTAAAAGAATTGTGTAGTAATTATTTTATATAAATTGACTAGAAAGAAAACGCTCGTGGATTATTTTGATGCGTGTAAATAAAGTTGTTCTTATTTATTTGTAAATTCCAAGAGCAGAATGCTATAAAAAAATCACAAAATGTCGGATGTTTTTCCGATTAATTTTGTCTGTTCTCTGACTAATTTAGTTTAGAAAAACTATGAAAATTTGTGAAAAACCTCGTAAAACTTGACTCAAAGCTTCCTTGTTGAAACCTGCTTGCCCCGCAAAAATGCTGGAAACTTCATTTAAATCCTGGTATAAAACTGCTGAATCTGCAATATATGTCGTATATTACACCAAGTATCCAATACATTTCCTGAATCAAAATGGCGTCGGTGTATTGCAAAACATGCAAATTTACTGATTTTTCGAAGATGAAATGCTCGAAAACTGCAGGTTTGTGAAGGTGAAAACAAGTGAATTTAGACTTTCTATAATTTATCCTAATTTTCTATCGTGTTTTCAAGTAGTGCCCGAAGGGGGGCAACGAAACTGAACGATAATCGGCCACAGAATACGGCCTAGCATACATTTCGATGCGTTTAGGCCTTCCGTTCACACTAATACGCTCGAATACGCTCAGCGTATTCACCGAAAACGCATCGATTTGAATACGCTGTTGAAAGTGAATACAAATGAAAACGCATACATATCGTTTTAGTGTGAACACTTGAAGACGATACTTTTGAAAACGATTACGTCACACGCATCGATAACTTCGCATGTTTGTGTATAGGGATCGCAAGATCTTTTTACGTCTTATACACATACGAATGATTGGTTGATCAAAATCCACCATTAGGTATACTTTCGGATATTTTAAAAAACGGTTAGACAATTTTGAAAATGCTCTTAATTTCACAAATCTGTTCATGAAATTTAATGTTTGATATGTGTTTGAGTACCCTTTTTTTGAAAGCATCACCGAAATTTCATCATAAATGAAATAAATGCCGAATGTTGCATACATGAAATCAAATAAAGAATAACTTTTATCATTTCTGGGCGCAACCCACTTTTAGCTGAGAAAAAGTTTCCACCCTCCCGCTTTATATTTTCTATATTTCAAGTACTCAAACAATCCATACATATCAAACATTAAATTTCATGAACATATTTGTAGAATTGAGATCACTTTCAAGATTGTCTAACTTTTTCTTATACGTCCTGTAGCTTATAACTGATTATTGACCGAGCGTGAGGTCTGTACTGGGAAATATCAGACCGAGGCTTTTTAGTATGGACCGAGCGAGGAAGGAGCAAGGCCACGGTCCGGTTATGGGTTTCTTCGGAACGCTCGTCAACCAATCAGAATAGATAATTTTGAAAAGCCATATAATGATAATGCAGCATTAATTGCAAGCAAATTTTCATCAGTAGTGATCAACGCTTTACATTTGATCCTGTCGACGGTTTGCATGCATGGTATCCATTTTATACTGTATTCAACTGAGAGCTAACCAATGTTCGTAAATTACATGTTCGAAGAGTGCCAGTGGATAAAAACATTGTGCTATTGCTAATTCGAAAATTACTTATTCAACGAGAGTATTTTCAGGGCCAGTGGAATAACAAGATATATCAGGCAATGTTTACGTCGCATTTTGGTCGTGTCGAAGGCAATTCGAAAAACTTCGAAGGCTCATTTAGCCTCATTATCATCTCATCAGCCTCATTATCATATTGACCAGCTAAAACTACAAATCAAGCCTGCATGAGTTTTTGCCTGACACGCTTTTATATTATAGCGCATAATATAAACGACGGATGTTGCTACAATTTTAAGGCCCAGGTTATACGTCGCATTTTTGTCGCTCATTTAACCAGCTCATTATCTATTGTTTGTATTGCATTCGAGGCAAGTAAACCTTAACCTGGGCCTAAGTTAGTCAGGGGAAATACAAGTCCAGTCAGGCAGTGAATCGGGATTTGTTTTTTTGAAGGCAAACAAAAAACTTGTTTTATAACGACAGGAAATCCTATTGATTGCAACTAAGAATGTTGATTGAAATATTGTCATCGCGAGTAAAGGAGTTCATTATCATACTGACATTTCCCCTGAGTTATAATTGATAGTTAAGAAAGTAAAAAAGCGACTGAGTTGATTTCCATTGTTAATTTGGAGCTGTTCAACATCTTTATCGTATTATTAATCGTTAGATTACTGCCTATACATGTCTCAGTAACTGATATGTCAGCAATTTTAATGAAAAAAGTGGTTTTGCACGTGCTTTTGGATTGAATGCCATTCATTTATCGTTCAGGGTTTTTTTTTGTGAATGATATATTGAACCGGTAGTGTTTAATATCAATCATTAATATTGGGCATACAAATATGAAAACATATATTAAATCCTCTTTGTTGAGAGGAAACACAAAATCAGTCAGGCATTAAATCGGCAACGTGAGACGCATATTAAATATTGACAATTACTCTAGCTATTCAAAAGACCTTACTGATTCAGTTAATAAGCTCACCGGATTTTGCTTGGCTGCATTATGAAGACGGTCTGCGAGGCAGCTAGGTTGGGTAAGGCGAAAGAAATAACGTTGTAGTACCGTGATATTCTTCACAGGGTCGACTTAATTGTTCGTGGTGATAAACATCTCAACTATATGTGAGCACCAAAAGTAACCCTTCCCAAGTCTGTGCATCGGAGGACGGGCTACCCAGGGTAACCTCTTTCCTAAGGTTAATTTAATCTTGCACCAACACAGACAAGTGAGAACAAACGTATATAATTTGTCCTGGAATCAAGCGAGATTCCTAATTTTGTGCGTTTTATTATTATTAATCTCCGTCATTTTGCGTAAGAGATTAAGGAACAGTGCAATTTTTAGTAGAAGAAAACGCATTAACAATTTGTGCGCATATGGTTTTCAGCGCATGATGAAAAGTAATTACAACTCACTCTGGGAAAAACCATCGTGCCTTGATATGGATCCATTAACAAACAGGAAATTCCTACTTTTACAGCAAAGGAAATCCCTGACGTATACATCAAGTCCTGGAAGCTTTATTTAACCACAGTTTTAACCTGTGTCATTAGCTAAATCATTGTCATATTTCACAGGTATAATCGTACACGGTACATCGTTTGTGAGCAAGTCTATGAAGAATGAAACTGCTTGCTCAACTTTGCATCTGCGTCATTACTTTGTGGTTATTTCCATTACCACTGACAAAGGCAACAAAAGTCAAGGGAAAGGTATGAGATATTGAGTCCCATATCACTAAAAACTAGTAGATGAGAACAATCGTAATATGGTTTAACAGTTAAAGTTGCCACTGTAAAATTACAATCAGTATTTAAGTATTCGTAGTTATATATATGCAATGTTAAGTTCGTCCAGACGGATAATTTGTCATCAAGTATAAACAACAACAAAAGTCAAAACGAATTTCCGCCAAATTTTTACGTATTTTGTGAGACATACTTCGTGTAAGTCGTTACATGACTAATGACTTTGTTATCGGCCTCCTTTCCGACTTCTCAGGCAAAGGTTCATTCGTCTCCAAATACATCAAATTTATAGATAATAATTAGATAATTTTCACCGTAAAACGAGAACGAACGAATACGCAGGGATGTTAATTACCTATATAGAATTTCATGCTCGGTTATATGAATTTTATTACTTATACATTATAGAGTTTTATCGTTTACGTCGTTAAGACGTACAGAGGCGCTTTACCATGCAATAGCTGAAAACTTGAATATACCCTGTCATTATATTTTACACATCTTTGCGCTCAGCTTAGTGCTGATGGGGTATAGAAATTCTAACAAGAGCCGATTAATAATTCTGAAATCTCATAAGAACCTGCACTTGTTTCGAAATAAAAAATCAATTGCATGGCTATACCTGGGACCGGTTGTTCGAAAGGCGTCTATCATCTTTCGTCCGTAAGGCTTTATGAATTATGTTTAAAAATGCATGTTTGCGTATTTAAGTCACATAACAAAGGCAAACATCTGGGAACATACGTTTAACAAATCTTTCATCGCGTTAATGATATTAATGAAGCTTTTCGTTCGTTCTTGTGCTACGGTGAAAGTTATCTATTAGACGTATTAAATGCAAGCACGCAATTTCTGCCCCATTGTTTTAAGGCGTTTTAACGACAAAACGTTAAAAGGGTTTTCTTTTCAATTGTGGTCGGTCAAGGGAATTATTTTCCACCTATTGGAAAACCGCCCTTTCATGCCGTGGTTTGTAGCTACTCTTGTAAGACAAATATAACACATAAGGCCATGGAAAAAATAATTGAACTCAGTTTTCACCTGCAACACATCGAAAAGTAAACATCAGCTTTGCTTCTTCTTTAACATTTATTGAACGTTTTCTTTTAAACTTGGTTGTTCGAAAGGGAATATTGAACTACAACTATAGTGTGTCAATCATTGTGTGTCAATTAAGTTATTATTTTTAGACAAATAATTTCGCGTCATGAGCAACGTTAGCTATGATGATTTTTTGCACCTCATAAACGTGTATGCTTAATTAAGGCTCTTGTGTCAATAATTTTTTAGCATTCTTGTTGATAGTGACATAAAATCGCTCACCAGGGGTCCATCTTAGTTGATTTGACAATTGTTTCTTCTTCTTTTAAAGAAAACAAACCGAGTTGATAATAAGGATTTTCATTCCTAATAATTCTTAATGATTTAGGATTTCTTCTTATTGTTTTTTTTCTGTATCCAATTTCTAGTGTGAACTGGTGGTAAACTGCACTAAGAAAGCAGAAAATGCAAGTGAAAGTTGCTATGAATTCATGAATCATCTTGATAAAAACTGCGGAGGAGGAGCCAGTTATTGTGATAAGTATAAAGCTGATCTTATCAAAGCATGCACAGAAGGTACGTAGTAAATAAAGACGAATTGGGAACCGTTAGTTCGCTGCTAAATCAATAAATTACACTTAGGTTGTTAACAATCTTAATTAGGTTCATTTAGAAAATGTTGATGCATAAAGTGTAAACTTTATCATCATATCGCAGGCACATTCCAAAGGCATGCATGTCTATTATGTGCGGCGTTATGCACCTACTAGCTAATGAAGATAATGTCTATTAGGTTGTGGATCGACTTATATAAAAGGACGTGCAATCCAGCAATCAAAATACTTTGATGAGTTCTATTTTACTTACAATTGGGTGGATAGTTCAGTTTATCTTGCTGTAATGTCGTAATGTCATAAATCATTAGCATGCATATATCGCTATATAATGACAGAGTATATACGCTTTAAATTATTTGCAGGTTTCTGTAAGGAATGTCTAGAAAACGCAAACAGGGCTTATAAAGATTGCATTAAGTTTTACAATAAAATTGCTTCTTCGGACCAAGATCTAAAACACTGCAAGAGTGTGAAAAAAGTCTTATTTCAAAAATGCCCTGATGTTTGCAAAGGTATGTTATAGACCTTTTTCATAATGACGTCAAAACGCGAAAGTCTGATGTTACACGAGGTTTGATTGGCTCGATAATTTCGAGTTACAAATGAAATGTTTGATAGTGAACTCGATTCTATTATGATATGAGACTTTTATTACTAATCGCCAATTCAATCCATAGACTCGTGCCTCTTAAATTTGAAGACAGCGTTGGATTAGGCCTGGTTCACACTAGCTCCTAAGAATTGGGGATCCATTGTATTATTTTCCGATAGACAAAGCATTTTGCACACCAGCGACCTCCGACAAAGGGAATCCCAGATTCTTAGGACAAGTGTGCACCAGGCTTTAATAGACGTGTCGGAAAAAATCTCTGCGGATTTGACCAACTTGCCGATAGAAGGTGATTGAACTGCATGAATTAGTAAGATATTCCTTTTTGAATACTAATATAACTCGAAGTTGCATATAGAGTCTGCTTGCCAAACGCGCTCATATAATATCTTGGCTCAAAAAATGTTTTCATTTTCTGTATGAAAGGTGCTAAAGGTCAAACGAAAGACAACCCAGGAATAAGTTGCAGAGATATTTTAGACTCTAGCGCGTACGATCTTAAGAGTGGCTTGTATTGGGTCAGGCCGGATGGCGATGCCTCCGCCGTCCAATCATATTGCGATATGAAGTACCAGGGCGGTGGTTGGACCTTGGCGAGCTATGGGTACGTCGCTGGTAACGGTTTCAACGATGGAAATAAAAATATTCCAAACATGAACCATCCTAACGGCTATACCTGGCATCCAAACCAACGCAGTAATGATAAAGGCGTTATAGCACTTCAACACGGTGCGGTAAACTTGGCTCGAGGTGCGAAGTTTATGATAATGGCAGCTGGGAACAATCCTGCTTCGGGTGGTATCAACGAATACAGTTATGTGTTTTTTATTGATATTAGTCACAATCCATACAATATCACGTTCGCAAACCACAACCGTCGCCATGGAGCTGTTGGAACTTCCACCATTCCCAAGATGCATGTGGTTGAGTTTACAGTAAAGGCATTGAAAGGTGAGACTGGAAGTGCGAAAAGATATGCGCTGGCTGAAGCTTTGGGTATTACCTGGAGTGATACATACCCAACCGGTTACGGATTCTCGCCGGTAAATGCTCATTTTGGCACTTGGAACAAAGGCCCATTCTTTCCCAGCGTTCATTCCGGTGACAGACAAGCTGGAGGATGTCGCACACAAGCGGCAAAACCTTACGCACCAGATGTGGAGAAAGGATGTCTCAACTACGCTCATCTTGGATGGCATTCCTTGCATGCAACCCAGAAGTCAGGACAAACATCAATATGGTTCAAATGATGGCTCATTCTCTCATTGATGAATTTTAAACAAAACTCGCTAAAACATTTTTTATAGAACGCTGTCGTAGTTGTTGTATCCTTATACTGATAAATAAAATATTGTATGGCTCTAAAATTCATTCTTATTTCTTAGGAACAGCATATTGAACAACATTAATCGGTATTCTATGGTCGGTAATGGACTTACTTATTTACTTACTTCGTGCATGAAAAATATAGACTTTTAAAATATATTATATAGCTCGTCTTTTACTTTCAACCGGATGTACTTCACAATACTATACACTCTTGAAATGAACAGAGTATAGTATAGCCATAATTCATAGGAATTGATAGTATCATAGATATAGGGATCTCATTTCTCTCGTTGGTTTTAAATATTCTCTTATTATTATTATTTATTTCAAAACTTCATGTACATGAATAACAACGACACATACATAGGCAGGTGACAACAGGGCTATAACACCCTAGCTAAGGCCACCCACCTCTATTTAAAAACGAAAACAGACAGAAGGACAGACGGACGGACAGAAAGACAAACGGACGGACATGATCTATAATACTAATCATGATCTAACAACAAGATGAGTCAAGTGACGGTTGGAAGAAGTTTCTGATGGTGTTGCAACGTAGACATATCGATCGCCAGGTTGAATTGATGTCAATGTCGTAGATATTTCGAAGAGCGGAGGTATATGTAGTTTTAAGGATTGCTTTAAAAGTGTTATATACAGGAATTTCTTTTAGAGGTGTAGGTAAAGTGTTCCAGAGTCTTGAAGTGCGAACAAAGTAGCTAGTTTGAAAGCATTTAGTCCGAGATTTTGGAACTTGCAGATTTAAAGAGCATGAGTTTCTGAGGCTGTTAGGTGGTAGTGTTGGCAGATAGTTTGGTAAATCAATGTCATATTTTCCATAAACACATCCATGTAGAAATAGTAAGTCCTTGATTTCATGCCAGTAGGAGAGAGGAAGCAGATTTGTCCGGGTTAAACGTTCTTGATATGGAAAGAGAACCTGGTGTGCCAAGAATATAAGAAGCCCGCCGCTGAACTCCCTCGATGTCCTTCATTTGGCTGATGCTCTGTCCAGACCAAACTTCGCTCGCGTAGTCGACATGGGGACGCACAAGAGTCAGGTAAAGCAATCGCTTAGACTGCTCACTAATGACTTGGTGTGCCGCTTCAACAGGCCAAGCATCCTGCACGATTACCCACTGCAGCTGATGTATGCTGACTCCATTTGAGGTCGGATGTCACAAGGAACCGAGGTCTTTTGGCTCGTGGTGGATGTTATAGCATGGCTACCTACCTTATACCCAAAGCACACCGGGGTTCTCTTTCTGGAGATGGTGAGTGATTCACATTTCTGTTGGTTAAATCTCAAATGCCACTGTTGACTCCATTGAAACAGAATATCAAGTGCTGCTTGAAGAGAGTTGGCATCCAAGGTGTCACGAATAGTTTTTGAGCACTTCGTATCGTCAGCGTAGAGGTAGAGAGAAGAGTCGTCAACGCGGCAAAGGAAGATCGTTTACGAAGATCATGAACAATAACGGACCCAAGATGGAACCTTGTGGTACGCCAGAGAGTACGGGAAGAAGGGAAATATGTCCATCCACAACGGTTCTCTGTACTCGAATTGGATAGATAGCTTGAGAACCAACTGAGAACACTTCCGTCAACACCATACGATTTTAGTTTATGGACGAGGAGAACATGATTAACGCTATCAAAGGCTTTGCTGAAATAACGTCAGTCTGCAGACCTTTATCGAGAGCACAACCAAGTTCGTGAAGGAAGCACAGCAGTTGAGTAACTGTTCACCGACCACTGAGGAAGCCATGCTGAGCATTGTGCAGTTGTGGAGCCAAGTGAGCGATCAGCCTCGAGAAAACACAACGTTCCAGCACTTTGGAGACGATGCACAAGAGAGATATAGGACGATAGTTGGAGATCATCTCTTTGCTACCTTTCTTATGCACGGGAACAACGTGGGCAAGTTTCCATTGCAAGGGTAAGTAGCCAGTTTGAAGAGACAAGTTGAAAAGAGAACACAGCGAGGGAGCAATTTCATCAGCACACTCCTTGAGTAACCTGGCAGGAATACCATCAGGACCATGAGCTTTGTTGGTGTCAAGCTTGTGGAGTATGGTGGCGACTTCCTCGCTGGTGAGAACAATTGTATCCAGTACTAGTTCAGTAAAAGAAGAATCAGGACCTACATCAACATCAGGTAGAAACAGTTCATCAGAATTTGTGGAGGTGAATGAAGAGAAGAAATAATCATTGAATGCCTCCGATTTCTCTTTCGGGTTGCGGTAGTAATGTTCATCGAGTTTCACAATGTTCGGAATAGAGCCAGATCTTGTGCGGGATTTTAAATAGGACCAAAAACGCTTCGGGTTATCTTTAAGAGAAGTTTGTAGAGACTGGATGTAGATACTGTGTTTCTTCCTGATGGTTGACTTAACCAAACGGCGAAGATGACGAAACTTTTCCCAACATGAGCTGTCTTTACCACGAGATAAGGCCTTCCTTCTGGCTGTCTTCTTTTGGCGGAGTAGATGCATGACTTCACCATCAATCCACGGAGGACTACCACCACGGATTTTTCTTTTCGGAACGTGCCGATCGACCGCTGACGTAAACAGGTCATACCAACGTTGCCAAGCAAGGTCAATGCCACTGACGCCATCCACGGGATCATCAAAGGTTGTGTTCCGCAGTGTGTCCCTAAGAGCCAAGAAGTCAGCGTTCTTGTAGCTGTACACCATGCGGGATGTTTTTGCAAGAAGTTGTGGTTTCACAGTGAAGTCAAACACCAACAAGGAATGATCTGTACGGAACTGCGTCTCATTAGGAGGTAAAATATCAAGGTTTATGACATGTTCTGGGAAGTTAGTAATAATTAAATCCAGTATGTTTCCATCAGAAGAACCAGCACTTGATGGTCTTGTTGGACAAGCGACAACTTGTGTCAGAAAATAGTCATAGAGAGTTTCGCAAAATAGAGATTCATCACTCGTAGGCGACGTGAAACAAGGCGACGACCAGTTGATAGTTGGAAAGTTAAAATCACCAAGAATTACGATCTTATTGTTGGAATGTAGAATGTCCACTTTCTGGAGAAAGGATGAAAACCCACTGACGAAATTTAATGAACATTCCGGAGGTCTGTAAAATGTCGCAAAAATAACATTTGGCGCATCTGCCAGCTCAATCTCAACCACTATCATTTCAAGTTCAACTTCAAGATCCAAACGACGACACGATATGAGGCTATTTTTAACCATTAGAAGAACCCCACCGGCTCTTCGCCCGTCATGCCTATCATTACGGTAGCACGTGTACGAGAGATCTGCCGAAAGTTCACTGTCCCGAATGTGTGGACCAAGCCATGTTTCCGTTATCGCAAAAACATCAAAGTTTTTGGAGAGCACGAGTTGGTGAAAGCTGTCCAGTTTATTACACACAGATCTAACGTTCATAAGACCACATTTCATTGATGATTTCATTGAACGATTGCGTTTGATGTATGTCTGACCATATGGGACACCGGGTCCAGGATTAGTTTCCACATCACCTGACAGGCCAATAACCAATGCTGAGATGTAAAGGTAGCAACATATCCGGAGACCAAACGATAGTTTTGCTTTCAGCGGTAGTGAATGTGGTTTTACCATCTTTTTTCTTGGGGCGAACGTGCGAATTTTAACTGGCAAAGAGATGTTGATATCCACATGCAAGAGTTCAAGGTTCAGTGAACATGAAATACAGCGTTCCCGACGAGTAAGACCATAAGCCAGAGTGAATAGATGAAGGAAACAAACCAGCGCAAAACGCCATCTCATTCTGTTTCTAATTGGCATTTTAGAATAGTTCTTGATCCAAGTGAGTGTTCTAATTAGGTTAACGTTGTTCATAGACATTTACAATATTGTTTTTTATTTTGCGATGATGAAACATTCATCCGGCATAAGCATAGAACTGATAGAATCGTTTTATCGCATATTCAGCCGTTACCGCATGACGTGTTCGAGATTTTCCACTGCCTTGCTTATACATCGGCAATCACTTTAGTGAATCATGTCATAGCATTGCATGTGTTTACATCGATCTCGTAGTTGAAGTTGTTTTAAATCATCATTCATCTATTTTTGTTGAATGTTATAGGCAACCTCGATAAAAGATAGAATAATTTCCAGAATTTAAGTTCTTCCGTTCCTTATGTAGCTATTACACAGGCCACTACAGGAATTACAAACACATGCTGCAGACAATAATATCATTATTGTCTATTGAAATACCAGCATTAAAGTTGATATGATCTCGTGAAGCAAGATTAAACCGTTCGCCGAAATACATTCAGATTTATAGCTGGAGAAGTTTTCTTCCGCTCTCCAAGGTACGTTATTCTTTGTTTCATATTACCTAACCTCTAGAAATTGATTACTGCAGGACCTGGGGCCAGTTGTATGAAAGCCGGATAGCACTATCCACCGGATAGTGTTTTTTTTCAATCTCCTCCAAATCGCCCGTTGTTTGGTATAACTTCGATTAAATCTTAGTATTCCTAAATTAAGGATCCTCTTTAACGATTGTTGGTTCCAAAGCTGAAATTTTTTTGCTCTTCAAGCATCTTTAGAACGGTTGAAAAAATCACTATCCGGTGGATAGCGCTATCCAGCTTTGATACAACCGACCTCAGCTGTATAAATTGGTTAGCTATACTCTGGGTTTCTGCCGTTACTGTTTTCATCGAATACGTTTTGCACTAAAATTGTTTACTCCAAAATCCTCGATTGTGGCTGTTGGTGGTAAACTTTCACTACTCTTTTTATACAACTGGCGCCTAAAATTTATCGTTACTCGATCGCTATACTTAAAGCGAGCATGCAGAGTGAAAAGTACATCTGCATGCTTCAGACAAACCTACGTAGCTATATCATGGACGATTCTTATTCTCATATTATATGTTCTGATATCACATAAAATCTGCAGCACACATTAACCGTTTTTGGACGGCTTTGAGTTTCAACAGAATCTGTTTGTCATCTGGGGTGACGCTTTGATTCGATGTCCTGGTCTCCCTCTTCTTCTTCCTCTTCCATTGTATTTTGTTCAGTGATGCTTTGCCCAGGGATATCTTTCGCATTTTCAATACTTGCCTGGGTACTATCCCGATCTGCGTATTTGTGAACACCAACATCCTGGTTATGAATTTCTTTAAATTTCCTCTCATGATATGTTTTTGTCTCTTGGCTGGTTACGACTAATACTGGGTTGTAACTAACCTTAGACGTTTCAGCTGGTAAATGGCTTTTTTGTTCATTTCCAAACTCTTCGTCGTCGGACTTTGAAGACTCGTCTTCCGACGAGCTTGCAAATATTGCTTTAAACAAATCCATTGATGGTTTTTCGCTAGGTTTTTGCTCAAAGGTATCCATCACGCCAGAATGATATATTGAACCGGTAGTGTTTAATATCAATCATTAATATTGGATATTATATAGCTGCCATGCATACAAATATGAAAACATATATTAAATTCTCTTTGTTAAGGGGAAACACAAAATCAGCCAGGCACTATAAATCGGCAACGTGAGATGCATATTAAATATTGACAATTACTCTAGCTATTCAAAAGACCTTACTGATTCAGTTAATAAGCTCACCGGATTTTGCTTGGCCGCATTATGCCGACGGTTTGCGAGACAGCTAGGTTGGGTAATGCGAAAGAAATAACGTTGTAGTACCGTGATATTTTTCTCAGGGTCGACCTAGTTGTTCGTGATTGTTACATTATGTAATAAGATTGATATTGGTTATAATGGGGTTAATATTTAATGAGTTGTCAGGATTGTGTGATTGATAAGGGGGCGTAAAAAGACAGGGTCATAAGTGAAAAGGCTGTAATTTGTTGGACATAAATGTATATATAAAGGTCTATGTTACGAAGAGAATAAAACTTGAAACATGGTGGCAGCGGTGATAATTTTTTAGTAGCGAGAAGCAACTGTCGTTATGTCGAACGAGGAAGTTGGCACAAGTGAAGCTACGCGAAATACGCAGGCGGTAGAGCCGCAAACCAGTCAACAAAATACGGCGTCGGTAGCTCCTATCACACTAGCTGGCATAAAACCACCGAGTAATCTGAATATAAAGGACAATGTAATCGAAAACTGGAAGAGTTATAAACAAAGATGGGAAAACTACGCCGTTGTAGCTAATTTGGCGAGTCAACCGGAGACATTTAAGGTAGCATTGTTTTTACATTGTCTGGGCGAGGACGCTCTAAAGGTATACAATGGATTGTCGTTTGAGTCGGAGGACGATAAGCAGAATCTAGCTAGGATCATAGAGAAATTAGAAGAGTACGCGATTGGTGAAGTTAATGAAACATACGAGAGGTATGTGTTTAATAGCAGAAATCAGGGTCCGTCTGAGTCTATTGAAGCGTACATTACAGAGCTACGCAAATTAAGGAAGTCATGTAACTTCTGTGACTGTCTCAAAGATTCTCTTTTGAGAGATAGAATCGTACTGGGGGTAACTAACAAGAATTTGAGAAAACGATTGTTGCAAGAACGGAAACTAACACTTAAGAAGTGCATCGATATTTGTCGCAGCATGTAGCAGCATCTATCAACTAAAGGCGGTGTCAGACATGACAATTGAGGAAGTAAACAAAGTAAGCGCGCGAAATCAGCGCAATCAGATCGATCGAAGCAAGGGCGGGTATACAACACAGCCCCGGATCGGGATCACGATCCTGTAAGTTCTGCGGAGGTGAACACGCGTTCCAGAAGGAAATGTGTCCGGCGTGGGGACAGCGATGTCGAAAATGCGGCGGTAGAAACCATTTTGCTCGAAAGTGTCCTAACCAAGCGCGAGGACAAGAACAACAGCAAGGAGGATTCGTAAAGCAGTTAGGCGAGGCATCTGAAGAATCAGACTCGAGTGATGTCGAATTCGTTGCGGGTATCACAACCAATGTTAATGCCATTGAGGTCGGGAATTCAGGATACTCCAAAGAAATATATGCTATGATGGAAATTCAAAACAAGACCATTCGTTTACAAATTGACAGCGGCGCATCAATCAACGTCATTACGCAAGATCTCATTGGGGCGGGTCCTTTAAAACCGACTAAAACCAAGCTCCTAATGTGGAACAAGTCAGAAGTACCGGCTTTGGGGACAGCGAGATTAATCATCCGAAATCCCAGAAACAAGAAAAAATATTCAGTCGAATTCATCGTGGTAAACAAGGGTCTTCAGCCGTTAATTGGGGCGAAAGCTGCACAACAGATGAAACTATTAACCGTGCACCAGGAAAATTTCGTTCCAGCATCCCCACCTGTCATTCAGTCAACTGTAACCCAGGTCACAACCAGAGAGTACTTAGTTGAGAAATACCCGGAGGTATTCAAACAACCGGTTGGCACACTTCCGGGGATGGTACATTTGGAGATCTCGCCCGAAGCAAGGCCAGTAATAACACCATCACGTCGTATACCAACAGCCCTAAAAGATCCGTTTAAGAAAGAATTGGACAAATTAGTAAGGGACATGATCATAGCTCCGATCGAACAACCTACGCCCTGGGTGAGCAGTGTTGTGGTGACCACAAAAAGTCAGGAGCGCTCAGAATTTGTATAGATCCTAGGCCACTTAACAAGGCCCTCAAGAGAGAAACCTATCAAATACCAGTCCTGGATGAACTTTTGCCTGAACTTGCACAAGCGAAAGTTTTCTCAACGGCAGATCTTCGCTCGGGATTCTGGCATTGTGTGTTAGATGAACAATCTAGCCGTTTAACTACATTCTCAACACCCTATGGCAGATACCGTTGGCTTCGATTACCGTTTGGATTATCCGTGTCGCCCGAGATTTTCCAGAAGCGTCTCATTCAAGCAATTGAAGGTTTAGACGAGTTCTTAATATAGCGGATGATATCCTAATTTATGGCATTGGTGAAACTGAGAAGATTGCGCAGGCGGGACATGACAGAAAACTGCTAGCACTTTTGGAGCGATGTAGAGATCGGGGTGTGGTATTGAACCCGGAGAAACTGAAGTTACGCCTCAAACGAGTTAGATTCATGGGTCATGTACTTACGGACAGAGGATTAGAACCAGACCCAGACAAAATAAAGGCCGTCGAAGAGATGCCCAGACCACAAAATGTGGAAGATGCCCAGAGACTCAATGGGTTCGTTAATTATCTCGCCAAATTTCTACCGCACCTGGCAGATACTATGGAACCGATTCGTCGTCTTACACGGAAGTGATGCATGGACCGAAGAACAAGAACGAGCTTTCTGCAGAGTTAGAGAGATGGTTGTGAAGTCACCAGTCCTCAGCTATTTTAATCCAGCTTGGCCGCTCGAGATCCAGTGTGATGCTAGTCAAAAGGGACTTGGTGCAGTCTTAATGCAACAAGGAAAGCCAATAGCTTTCACCAGCCGTGCCCTAACACCGACAGAGCAGCGGTACGCGCAAATGGAGAAAGAGATGTTGGCCATAGTATTTGCGCTGGAAAGATTTCATCAATACACATTTGGCCGTCCAGTTCGCGTATACAGTGACCACAACCCCTAGAGTCAATTCTGAAGAAATCGCTGTCGCAAGCACCAAGAAGGCTACAAGGCATGATGATGCGATTGCAGAAATATAACGTCGAGGTAAATTATGAGCGAGGAAAGAATATGCTGATAGCAGATCTCTTGTCAAGGGCGCATCTACCAGGTTCCCAGGATACCGACCACAAGGAGTTCGAACAGGTTAACTCAGCGAATCTGCTCCCCTTATCAAAGTCGCAGTTAGACCAAATCAGAGTAGAGACCCGACGTGATGAAACCCTACAAACTTTAAAGACGGTCATTTGCCAAGGATGGCCCAACGAGAGAAAGGACCTCCCGGCGCAGGTTCGAGCGTATTTTGACATCAGGGATGAACTGACGGTCGAAAACGAGTTAATCTTTAGAGGGGAACGGGTAGTCATCCCAATCGCGCTGCGGCGGAGTGTAAAGCAGAAGGTTCACACATCACATATGGGGACGGAGTCATGTTTACGTCGAGCACGAGACTGTGTCTTTTTGGCCGGGTATGTCGGCCGAAATTCGTCAGCTTGTGGAGGCATGTGCGACTTGTCAGAAATTCTGCGCTTCACAGCCAAAGGAAACGCTGAAACCTCACGACGTTCCCAGTCGCCCGTGGGAGAAGATAGCAACGGATCTGTTCACATTCCAGAACAAGGAGTTTCTGATAACAGTGGATTATTATAGCAACTTTTGGGAAATCGACGAACTGTCAACCACGACCGCGCCCGCAGTAATCTCTAAGCTGAAATCTCACTTCGCCAGATATGGGTGTCCAGATACAGTAATCAGTGACAATGGACCCCAATTCTCGAGTGAAATGTTCGCTACGTTCGCTAAAGATTGGGAGTTCGAACACCGTACTATAAGCCCTTGGAATAGTAAAGCGAATGGAAAAGCCGAGGCGGCCGTCAAAGTGGCAAAACAACTACTACGGAAGGCACAAGACAGCAAGACAGATATTCGGCTAGTGCTGTTAGACCAAAGAAACACACCGACACAAGGGATGAACACAAGTCCGGCACAAAGGTTCTTGAACAGAAGAACGAAAACGTTGCTCCCAACTAAAGAAACACTTCTCCGCTCAAGAGTACCAAATTCAGAAGAACAACAGCAAAAGATGAAAGAGAAGCAGAGGACCCAAGCACACTATTACAATCGAAACGCCAGAGATTTGAAAGAACTGAAAAAAGGGGACGTAGTACGCATTAAGCCGTCGAAGCCGTCCACACGAGTTTGGAAGAAAGGAGTCGTAGTAGAAAAAATCGACAGCAGATCATACGTCGTCGAGACGACGGAAGGAACGAAATACCGGCGTAACCGTTACCATCTCAGAAAGACGCAGGAACCAAACGAGGCAGAGGAGGTCGAGTTTGGGATAGAATCTGAAGAGACCAAGAAAGACAAGGGGCCTGCGGAGCAACCAACGAACCAAACCTTGGAAGCGAGGAGAGTTGAGGCCGATACACCGAACTTAGTCGAACAGCAGTTAGAGCCGGCTAATCCAACATCTGCCAGACCACAAAGAGAAAGACGAAAACCAGCGTATCTTATGGACTATGAATGAGAAAAAAAAAAAAGAAAGAAAACAATAATTGTAAGTAAAGTTTGTACATAAAATAGTCGGACACTCACGGACTCGTGGAAATATATATATATATATATCAAGCGAACAACTAATTTCAAAAACGGGGAAGATGTTACATTATGTAATAAGATTGATATTGGTTATAATGGGGTTAATATTTAATGAGTTGTCAGGATTGTGTGATTGATAAGGGGGCGTAAAAAGACAGGGTCATAAGTGAAAAGGCTGTAATTTGTTGGACATAAATGTATATATAAAGGTCTATGTTACGAAGAGAATAAAACTTGAAACAGTGATGATAAACATCTCAACTATATGTGAGCACTAAAAGTAACCCTTCCCAAGCCTGTGTATCGGAGGACGGGCTACCTAGGGTAACCTCTTTCCAAAGGTTAATTTAATCTTGCACCAACACAGACAAGTGAGAACAAACGTATATAATTTATCCTGGAATCAAGCGAGATTCCTAATTTTGTGCGTTTTATTATTATTAATCTCCGTCATTTTGCGTAAAAGATTAAGGAGCAATGCAATTTTTTAGTAGAAGATAACGCATTAACAATTTGTGCGCATATGGTTTTTAGCGCATGATGAAAAGTAATTACAACTCACTCTGGGAAAAACCATTGTGCCTTGATATGGAGCCATTTAAAAAAGCGATTAAAATATAATTTGTCAAACAGGAAATTTCTAGTTTTACAGCAAAGGAAATCTCTGACGTATACATCAAGTCCTGGAAGCTTTATTTAACCACAGTTTTAACCTGTGTCATTAGCTAAATCATTGTCATATTTCACAGGTATAATCGTATATCGTTTGTGAACAAGTCTATGAAGAATGAAGCTGCCTGCTCAACTTTGCATCTGCGTCATTACTTTGTGGTTATTTCCATTACCACTGACAGAGGCAACAAAAGTCAAGGGAAAGGTATGAGATATTGAGTCCATGCATATCACTAAAAACTGGTAGATGAGAACAATCGTAATATGGTTTAACAGTTAAAGTTGCCACTGTAAAATTACAATCAGTATTTAAGTATTCGTAGTTATATATATGCAATGTTAAGTTCGTCCAGACGAATAATTTGTCATCAAGTATAAACAACAACAAAAGTCAAAACGAATTTCCGCCAAATTTTTACGTATTTTGTGAGACATACTTCGTGTAAGTCGTTACATGACTAATGACTTTGTTATCGGCCTCCGACTTCTCAGGCAAAGGTTCATTCGTCTTCAAATACATCAAATTTATAGACAATAATTAGATAACTTTCACCGTACGAACGAACGAGAACGAACGAATATGCAGGAATGTTAATTACTTATATAGAATTTCATGCTCAGTTATATGAATTTTATTACTTATACAGTATAGAGTTTTATCGTTTACGTCGTTAAGACGTACATAGGCGCCTTACCATGCAATAGCTGAAAACTTGAATATATGTACCCTGTCATTATATTTTACACATCTTTGCGCTCAGCTTAGTGCTGGGGTATAGAAATTCTAACAAGAGCCGATTAATAATTCTGAAATCTCATAAGAACCTGCACTTGTTTCGAAATAAAAAATCAATTGCATGGCTATACCTGGGATCGGTTGTTCGAAAGGCGTCTATCATCTTTCGTCCGTAAGGCTTTATGAATTATGTTTAAAAATGCATGTTTGCGTATTTAAGTCACATAACAAAGGCAAACCTCTGGGGACATACGTTTAACAAATCTTTCATCGCGTTAATGATATTAATGAAGCTTTTCGTTCGTTCTTGTGCTACGGTGAAAGTTATCTATTAGACGTATTAAATGCAAGCACGCAATTTCTGCCCCATTGTTTTAAGGCGTTTTAACGACAAAACGTTAAAAGGGTTTCCTCTTCAATTGTGGTCGGTCAAGGGAATTATTTTCCACCTATTGGAAAAGCGCCCTTTCATGCCGTGGTTTGTAGCTACTCTTGTATAACAAATATAACACATAAGGCCATGGGAAAAATAATTGAACTCAGTTTTCACCTGCAACACATCGAAATGTAAATATCAGCTTTGCTTCTTCTTTAACATTAATTAAACGTTTTCTTTCAAACTTGGTTGTTCGAAAGGGAATATTGAACTACAACTATAGTGTGTCAAGTTATTATTTTTGGACAAATAATTTCGCGTCATGAGCAACGTTAGCTATGATGTTTACATAATTTAAGGCCCATGCAAGACAAGTATTTTTTGCACCTCATAAACGTGTATGCTTAATTATTGTGTCAATAATTTTTTAGCATTCTTGTTGATAGTGACATAAAATCGCTCACCAGGGGTCCATCTTAGTTGATTTGACAATTGTTTCTTCTTCTTTTAAAGAAAACAAACCGAGTTGATAATAAGGATTTTCATTCCTAATAATTCTTAATGATTTAGGATTTCTTCTTATTGTTTTTTTTCTGTATCCAATTTCTAGTGTGAACTGGTGGTAAACTGCTCTAAGAAAGCAGAAAATGCAAGTGAAAGTTGCTATGAATTCATGAATCATCTTGATAAAAACTGCGGAGGAGGAGCCAGTTATTGTGATAAGTATAAAGCTGATCTTATCAAAGCATGCACAGAAGGTACGTAGTAAATAAAGACGAATTGGGAACCGTTAGTTCGCTGCTAAATCAATAAATTACACTTAGGTTGTTAACAATCTTAGGTTCATTTAGAAAATGTTGATGCATAAAGTGTAAACTTTATCATCATATCGCAGGCACATTCCAAAGGCATGCATGTCTATTATGTGCGGCGTTATGCGCCTACTAGCTAATGAAGATAATGTCTATTAGGTTGTGGATCGACTTATATAAAAGGACGTGCAATCCAGCAATCAAAAATACTTTGATGATGAGTTCTATTTTACTTACAATTGGGTGGATAGTTCAGTTTATCTTGCTGTAATGTCGTAATGTCATAAATCATTAGCATGCATATATCGCTATATAATGACAGAGTATATACGCTTTAAATTATTTGCAGGTTTCTGTAAGGAATGTCTAGAAAACGCAAACAGGGCTAATAAAGATTGCATTAAGTTTTACAATAAAATTGCTTCTTCGGATCAAGATCTAAAACACTGCAAGAGTGTGAAAAAAGTCTTATTTCAAAAATGCCCTGATGTTTGCAAAGGTATGTTATAGACCTTTTTCATAATGACGTCAAACGCGGAAAGTCTGATGTTACACGAGGTTTGATTGGCTCGATAATTTCGAGTTACAAATGAAATGTTTGATAGTGAACTCGATTCTATTATGATATGAGACTTTTATTACTAATCGCCAATCCAATCCATAGACTCGTGCCTCTTAAATTTGAAGACAGCGTTGGATTAGGCCTGGTTCACACTAGCTCCTAAGAATCGGGGATCCATTGTATTATTTTCCGATAGACAAAGCATTTTGCGCACCAGCGACCTCCGACAAAGGGAATCCCAGATTCTTAGGACAAGTATGCACCAGGCTTTAATAGACGTGTCGGAAAAAATCTCTGCGGATTTGACCAACTTGCCAATAGAAGGTGATTGAACTGCATGAATTAGTAAGATATTCCCTTTTGAATACTAATATAACTCGAAGTTGGCTTAGAGTCTGCTTGCCAAACGCGCTCATATAATATCTTGGCTCAAAAAATATTTTCATTTTCTGTATGAAAGGTGCTAAAGGTCAAACGAAAGACAACCCAGGAATAAGTTGCAGAGATATTTTAGACTCTAGAGCCTACGATCTTAAGAGTGGCTTGTATTGGATCAGGCCGGATGGCGATGCCTCCGCCGTCCAATCATATTGTGATATGAAGTACCAGGGTGGTGGGTGGACCTTGGCGAGCTATGGGTACGTGGCTGGTAACGGTTACAACGATGGAAATAAAAATATTCCAAACATGAACCATCCTAACGGCTATACCTGGCATCCAAACCAACGCAGTAATGATAAAGGCGTTGTAGCACTTCAACATGGTGCGGTAAACTTGGCTCGAGGTGCGAAGTTTATGATAATGGCAGCTGGGAACAATCCTGCTTCAGGTGGTATCAACGAATACAGTTATGTCTTTTTTATTGATATTAGTCACAATCCCTACAATATCACGTTCGCAAACCACAACCGTCGCCATGGAGCTGTTGGAACTTCCACCATTCCCAAGATGCATGTCGTTGAGTTTACAGTAAAGGCATTGAAAGGTGAGACTGGAAGTGCGAAGAGATATGCGCTGGCTGAAGCTTTAGGTGTTACCTGGAGTGATACATACCCAACCGGTTACGGATTCTCGCCGGTAAATGCTCATTTTGCCACTTGGAACAAAGGGCCATTCTTTCCCAGCGTTCATTCCGGTGACAGACCAGCTGCTGGAGGATGTCAAGCGGCAAAACCTTACGCACCAGATGTGGAGAAAGGATGTCCAAACTACGCTCATCTTGGATGGCATTCCTTGCATGCAACCCAGAAGTCAGGACAAACATCAATATGGTTCAAATGATGGCTCATTCTCTCATTGATGAATTTTAAACAAAACTCGCTAAAACATTTTTTATAGAACGCTGTCGTAGTTGTTATATCCTTATACTGATAAATGAAAAATTGTATGGCTCTAAAATTCTCATTTCGTAGGAACAACATATTGAACAACATTGGTCGGTATTCTATGGTCGGTAATGGACTAGCTTATTTCGTGCATGGGATGGTTTCCTTTGTGTCCACACGTAATATAGACTTTTAAAATATATTATATAGCTAGCTGGTCTTTTAACCGGATGTATTTTACAATGATATACACTCTTGAAACGAAGAGAGTAGTAACATGCCTCTGCATAGCTATAAATCATAGGAATTGATAGTATCATTAATAGGGAACTCATTTTTCTGGTTGGTTTTGAATATTTTATTTTCTTGTTCATAGACAATATTGTATTTATTTTGCGATGATGAAACATTCATCCGGCATAACTGTGATAGAATAGTTTCATTGTATATTCAGCCATTACCGCATGACGTGTCGGAGATTTTCCACTGCCTTGCTTATACCTTGCCAATTACTTTAGTGAATCATGTCATAGCATTGCATGTGTTTACATCGATCGCGTAGTTGAAGTTGCTTTAAATCATCATTCATCTTTTTTTACTGAATGTTATAGGTAACCTTGATAAAGAATAGATAATTCAGACAGAGGTTCAAAGTTGATTCACAATAAACAAAAAACTCGTCCAATTTTAGAATAATTTTCACAATTTAAGTTTTGCCATTCCTTCCTTATGTATTACACAAGCCACTACAGGAATTACAAACATATGCTGCAGTTAAATAATATCATTATTGTCTATTGAAATACTAGCATTAAAGTTGATACGATCTCGTGAAGCAAGATTAAACCGTTTGCCGAAATACATTCAGATTTAAAGATGGACAAGTTTTCTTACGCTCTCCAAGGAGCGTTATTGTTTGTTTCATATTACCTAACCTCTAGAGATTGATTACTGCCGGGCCAGCTGTATACAGTAGCGTAGCCAGCCTGTCGATTTGTCCCGCTATGCTAATATTTTGGTGTTCACTGACTGTGAAAACAATGGATTTCTAAAGACATGAATAATTATAATAACTCGAAATTTACATAGCGGGACAAAATAGTCAGGCTGGCTACGCCACTGGCTGTATAAATTGGTTAGGTATACTATGGGTCTCTGCCGTTACTGTTTTCATCGAATACGTTTTGCACTAAGATTGTTGTTCACTCCAAAATCCTCGATGATGGCTGTTAGCGCTAAACTTTCACTAACTCTTTCTTATACAATTTGATAACTGGCGCCTAAAATTTACCGTTACACGATCGTTATACTTCAAGCGAGCATGCAGAGTGAAAAGTACATCTGCATGATTCAGACAAGTCAACATAGCTATATCATGGAAGATTCTTATTCTCATATTATATGTCCTGATATCACATAAAATCTGCAGCACACATTCGCCGTTTTTGGACGGCTTTGAGTTTCGACAGAATCTGTTTGTCATCTGGGGTGACGCTTTGATTCGATGTCCTGGTTTGCTTATCACCTAAGTTGGAATTGAGAGAACTCGATGAGGTTTCGCGATCATTTTTGTTCATTCTATCTCCTCTTCTCTTTGACTTTTCCCTATCCCTGTCTTTACTCTTGTGTTTCGTCTTGTGTTTCTGCTTCCTTTTGTGTTTTCGTTTAGGTCTATCGCTATCCGACTCGCTATTTGAATCATAGCGGGAAAATGGAACAGTTTTTCTGTATTCTGATTTATGATAACTCTCTTCGGGTGTTTGTGTCTCTATTGGTGGTGGTCTAGGACCATACTCCTCTTCTTCTTCCTCTTCCTCTTCCATTGTATTTTGTTCAGTGATGTTTTGGCCAGGGATATTTTTCGCATTTTCAATACTTGCTTGGGTACTATCCCGATCTGCGTATTTGTGAACACCAACATCCTGGTTATGAATTTCTTTAAATTTCTCCTCATGATATGTTTTTGTCTCTTGGCTGGTTACGACTAATACTTGGTTGTCACTAAACTTAGACGTTTCAGCTGGTAAATGGCTTTTTTGTTCATTTCCAAACTCTTCGTCGTCGGACTTTGAAGACTCGTCTTCCGACGAGCTAGCAAATATTGCTTTGAACAAATCCATCGACGGTTTTTCGCTGGGTTTTTGCTCAAAAGTATCCATCACGTCGGAAGTTGGGTTCAACCTTGTATTTTCCTCCGTGTTCACATTCTCTGCAGTAACCTGTTTCCCAGATACGATTGTTGAATTGTCCGGCACATTTGTCACTTCTCTCAAGCAAGTGTCAACGCTTTCGTCCTTTTGTGACGTTTCAAAGAGTTGAGCAAGAGTAAACTTTTCTTTCTTCTCACCAACAAGACCGGTTCCACTCGACGAAGGATAAGGTTCTGGAATGTTGAATCTCTTGCATAACAGCTTGGCTGGATGCCATTCGAATGTTTTCCTGGTTAGTTTGCCAAACATCTTCATCTCTGCAGCCTTTTCTTCAACGGACTTATTCTCGTCTACAGTTGACTTGGATTGGTTCTAAAAAGGAAATAAAAATTATGTATAGCGTGTTATGCTTGATATGATTGTCGTAAACCCGAAATTCGGATTTTTTTTCTACCGAAACAGTGTAGGACGTTATGGTTCCTGCACAGCGGAGCCTGGTTTTTATTTTGAACTCATTTGTACAGAAGTTTTGGTATCGGGGTGAGAATTACAACCATCATTCGGTGCTACAATTTATTCTGTTCCGTGCAAACACTTATCGATCAACATACTTTATCAGGGAGATCATCATCGATGTTTCTCCCTCTCGTGAAACGAGCGGCAATGTCTCCCTTCAGCGGTTGATAAAGCATCGCCGACCTTGAAAACTCTTCTTTTTCACGCTCCCTTTCCCATTCAGTCAAACTACACCTAAGTAATAAAATAGTAGACGTCTACACTCCATTCAAAGTTTGTTTGGCAAAACTTGGAATGACAGGATAGAGGTAAAAGAATCGGGACTAGAAATTTGTCTCATTTATGTTCTCGTGTATACGACGAACAAACCGTTCTATGGTCGGCCAAACACACGCACAGTTTTTCCAATATAAAATCATCCAGAATAAAAACATCCAATTTGAAATGGGGCATCTTTAAAAGTAGCTTAAATTGCATAAAATTGTTGCTATATGTAAATAGTTTTCGGAGGGCAGCTTTGGAAATCCGTTGTACACAGTGATAGTTACATGTCCCACGTTGCCATTGGCGGTGGTATGCAAATTGTTGCATATCGCACTTAGTTTTCACTACGTTTTATTCCGCTAGAAATTCGCTTCATATACAACTCCTTCAAATCATCGGCAATATATTTAACAAACAGACCGTAAGTCACTTGGTGCATTTGATTCCTTGCCAGTCTTCCGAGACTCGAGGAAGCTTTCATAGCGAGCCTGTTTAGCTGGATCTTTGGCAAACGGTTGAAAACCCGCTGCACGAAGATTTGTACCGGGTGGAATTTTTCCCGCGGGATAATTCGACTGTAAAGTTTTCTTCGTCGACGCAATGCGCTCTCGATCATCTTTGCTCATCAAATCAAACACAGACTTTCTTGTTTTTAGTAATGGTTGTTCACCAAGAAGTGTGCCTCTCGTTTCGGAAGTATGACGAGTCACATTCTTCTCGTCAAGTTTCTTATCGTAAGTTTCTTTCACGGAAAACGGTTGGTATCCTTTGGGGATTGATGGTGGGGCAAATACTTTGTTGGCTGGTTTTGGTTTAGAAGCTTTGGCAAAAAGGGAAAGCGCTCCACCTAAAATATTGTATCATACGAGGCACGTAAATGTGAAAATATTTTTTTCTTATATACATATAAACTAACTTTTAACTTTTAAATCAAACGTCATTTTCATGAAAACATCACCATTCCGATTATAATACCTTTAATTGCCTGTCCTGGTGGTCCTGTCCATCCATGAAGATCTGAATGAGATTGCTTGTGATTATCATGGAGTTCAATATCATAGTTTGACATAGAATCTTGAGTATATACATCCTCATCATCATCCTCAAATGCTCCCACTCCAAATGCCTATATAAGAAACAAATATAGTCTGACAATACAGTACATTCACTTATGTATGTAGCTGGTGAGGTTCCCAAGTTCAGGGCAGTAATATTACACATCATTTTATCACCTTACAGTGACTGAACTTGTGTACTGCTTGTACAAGGCATGAACACAGTACAGGTTTACAATCTACTGCTGCTTACCTGTCCTTTGATCTTCAAATTTCCTGAGAAGCCAGGCTTGGACATCTCTGCTGGTACAGGGGCCAACATTCCTTTGTAACCTATACCATGTAAATTATCTTTTGGAGTGAACTTAATTGTGGTTGTATCCTTTGGTGCAAACAGCAACCCTTGAGCATAAATATCCTGTTCATTGTCTTCCTCAGTGTTTACTGCGGTACCAGGATGAAAGACACATCCATATACCTAATAAATCATGAATGTATTTTATTAGAATCATGATCACCTCTATCACAACGTATTCCTCAATCTATTTTACAGCATTTGAGCTAGAGAAACATTCATCATTTTAAAATTAGCATAAAAAACAGAGCCTGAATTGTTGTCGTGTGTATGCGTGGGATGGGAACTCAGTGCGAAGAGTTGAGTCAGTCAACGTACCTTCTTCTTCGGAATTTGTCTCACACGTGGGCCAATACCTTGCCCTTCCTTCCACCCCATCTTTTTCAACAACCTAACTCCAATAGACATTCGACAAGGAACTACTAAGTCTTCTAAAGCATATTTCATGACCGAGTCTAAACTAATCCCAGACGTTGATGGAACATTGTTCCGTTTCTCTCTGGCCTCGCGTTCTCGAGAAAACAGCTTTGTCGTTTCAACATTTCTCGGGGCTATGCCAAAGTCCCCGAGATCTTCGTCGTCCATAAAATCCTCGGGCTTTTGCCGCGATGATTCCAATCTTTTCGCTCGAGATGACACAAAGGTAGAGGGCGTCCATCCTTCCTTGCTGCCAACGGTGTTGAAATAGCCAGCTGAAAAGCCTCCTGTGAACGCACCATGAAATCGTCTTCGACCATCGCTGTCTGTGGCATATTGTTCATGCACAGGAAGGGATTTTTTCTTCGGCGCGTCTTCATCGGGAACGTCAAACGCTGTACCAATATTGACGAAACTTTCTTCTTCTGCCGCCATATTGGATCGATTCACGGCTCGTATTTATGATCATTTTGGTCAGCGAATTCTAAAATAAGAAACTTGAAAATGCTGAATTTGGTTAAAATAAAGTGGAAACAGAATGCCATAGCAACGGTTATTTACATGGCAACCGCACCAATGGCGGAGGTTTCGATCAAAATAAGAGTTGGACACATTTAAAAAATGATCATTTAGAAGAATTTAAGGTTTGCATTTCAATATCATGTATACTAAAAGGAAATTTGTAATACAGGGCGATTTATTATAGAATTGTTGATTGTTCATATCACTCAAGTCAACGTGTTTATCATTGAGACTATCCCACAACTGAATCGCAATAATCCAAATTAGTATATTTTCAGTATTGAAAAATGGCCTTTGAGCATTCTGATTGGCTCCCTCAGCAGTAACTCTGAGGCAATAGTTACTGCTCAGAGCAGTTTGAGCAGTAACTATTGCTTTTCCCCAAAAAAACATGGCTGAAAATACTCAAAATCAAAATTATATTCATAAAATAAACACGTGTATCAGTTGTATTTATGAATAAAACTTTTTCAATACTGAAATTATACTAAAACAATTAGTCGCCTCAGGCTCGGTGATTACAAGTCTATATTCACTTCGCCTTCGGCTCAGTGAATATAAGCTTGTAATCACCTCGCCTTCGGCGACTAATTGTTAAGTATTATTTATATTAAACATTATTATGAGCCGTACATCGGTAGTAGCCTCTAGTGCTATTAGACTCAGGGTTAGAAATATGGTTACTAGCGCAAGTTAGAGGGGGTCAGTTGGGGCCAGGGAATTATCCTAAAACTCTTTAAAAAAGGCTGATTGCATTCTTGGCAAATTGCTAAAAAAATTCAGTCATAAATTAAGGATTCAATTCATAGAATATCAGCAACAAATAATAATGAATTAACATCGCTGTAAGCCACATTTATATCAATTGGGCGGTCCTACTAAAAACCGCCCGAGACCGCCCAAGGGTATAGAAAAACCGCCCGAGACCGCCCGAGAGTATAGAAAAACCGCCCGAGAGTATAGTAAACCGCCCGAGAGTATAGAAAAACCGCCTTCGACGGTCAGGGAGCAGGACTTCGACGGTCCTGTCAAAATATTTATTATTACTATTTCACTTCACTTGTTCAAAGAAATTCAAAATATGTGAAAATTTGGCAATTTCTAAATCCCTAATGTTATGAGCAGAACCAATGCGCAGAAGCCGGCTGAATAATAAATGATGTCATAACTTTAGTTACGATTATTGTCTCCTTGATCTCAATGTATTCTATGATTAAACTGGTATGATTAAACTGGTATCCTGACATCTGGTATCCTGATTAAGACACTGTTTTAAATGTAGGCCGGGCAAAGTAAAACAATAAGGATCATGTTGAATAAAACAACAGAGCCAGGAGAATTTCCATGCACAATTACAATTCAGCCCGCTAATCTGTGCTAGTTAGTGTCAAATGTTCTTGTTTAAGCATACGGGTTCTTAGGACATTTCATATTTACTGATATTTAATTTAAAAACACAAAATAACTTCAGATTTCTGTCAGTCGCTTTTTTAAAGTCTCGGGCGGTTTTTCTATACTCTGGGCGGTCTCGGGCGGTTTTTCTATACTCTCAGGCGGTCTCGGGCGGTTTTTAGTAGGACCCCAATTGGGTAATAATGTATAGGAAAGTGTGAAATGTACATTTCTGCCAAGAACATGCCAATATGAAGTACTTTGATCTGCAGTCATGGTACATAACACAACATTGAATTTCATCAATAATATATATTTAAGTGAATCTGTGCGAGAATGGAAAACAAACTTTTGACTTTGGATGCAATCTATGTTTCCTCTGTTTTGGAAGACTGTGTGGATCAATTGGCAATACTTGGGAAGATAATGCCTTCCAGTTTAGAAGGTCGCCCTGATGCAGAACAGGTTAGAAATACACTTATCCCTCCACCAATTCCACCCATTTGTGAATGTCATAACACCTTATTTTAGTTGACTAATTCAGGGAATAAAAAATTCACTGTCTTAATATTGTTACAGCTAGCTAGTACATGCATGGTGATGTTATGTTCAAGAAAGGAAGAATGTTGCAAAATGTGCATGGATATCTAATTTTTTTATTGTGAATATTTGATAGATTGTGGACAATGAAATAGCAGAAATTTTAGCTGGTCAAAAACAGCTAGAGATGAAATTTGATAGTGTAAGTGTTATAAATATGCAAACTAATAATGCTAGTTCAGCTAGGCATAAAGTCTGCCAAACATGAATATAGGCAACTGTTATTATATGATACATTGTATGAATAAATAGTTTGATTTTCTAAGATTTTAATAGCATTTCATTCTTTCTCACTTAGTTGGTACACAAGAGGGATGCAATGAAGGTCAACAAGTCACTCCAATCTCGTAATCAGGAAAATGATAAACGTATTTTGGATGCGGCATCAAATCTTAGGGATGGTGCATTGGGTACGTGAAGGGTATATAGAGTATCTATATACTCTTTATTCAATATAGATTTTATATATACAATTTCAGATAAGCTAGCCTTGCAGTATAGTTAAGATAGTATACCAGTGAGCCATTAGCCAGTACGCAAATGGTAATTAAAGTTACCATGCCTGGGGCATGTTAGGGGATATGCACCTTCTAGTTCAGAGAGGGTGCAAATTTGGGTATCTAATCAAATTTGGGGTACAGTGTAATTATCTATGGAAATTACTGCCCAAGTTATAAAGTTATTTTGGTGTATATTAAGAGTCTTTCCTGAGGTCCAAAATCCCTTATAACTGGTGTTTGTACCCCCAACCCATGCACCCAGCAAATGTGGAACCAGCACCCTCCCTATTGATGAGGTTATAGATTTTTACGTTAAACTTATAGGGAAGGCTGTTGCACCCCTATATTATTTCAATTTTTTTATTAATATACCATTCATACATAAATTTTACACAATATTTTTTGACCCCTTATAAAATCCAGTCAACAGGTATGTGTGGGCCCAGCTAGGTTCTATATATGGAAGGCATTAAAAACAACTGGCATACTGTGTATTAGATAATTACATAATTTATAATAGACTTTCATGATCTCTCCTATAGGGGTAAGTAGGAGTTTCAAACACAATCCTCTTCACAGCGATAATTTGGCAAAAATTCAGGCTGACAGGTATGCCAAGTTTAGTATTTAATAATACTGGGCACAGTATCAATGTAAAGATATTGAAATTATGCTTTATATACCTGAAAACATATTGCAATCTGGTATTATAGACACCTTGACTACAATTAATAATAATTCACATCCATTTCATTCTTTTTCTTAGAAAATTTTTGCAAGATGTGGTTCAAGAAACACTGGCAGAAGTGAATACATCACAAACCTTCCAAGCGTTGACGGACTCTGTGAATAGCGAGAGACAAAAGAAAGAACAGCTTCAACGTACAATATTAAAGTAAGAAAATTTGATGGTTTTAGGGTCAACCCAAAATCAAGACATAGTAATCGCAGTGAGTTGGTTGTTCACAATATGTGTTTTTTTGGGTTAGGTAGAAAATACGTACAATTTGCAGCATGAATTTGCAACGTCGAAACGTAATCAAGCATTTGACGCTGGCCCCCATTCAAATCGTTGATTATTAGCTAAAATGCTCAGTGAAACCTAGTATAGGATTTACTAGATGCTAAACTAATAAATTGACAAATGAATATTCGGTAATGGAATGTATTTTACCCTGACACCCTCATTTTCCCTCTTCCGAACGTTAGGGAAGAAGAAAGTCGTAAAGCTGTGAAAACACTGCAGCGTCAGTTAATTGAAGTTCGAAAACAAAAAGAGCAGGAAATTCAGGTAAGAAATAGGTAATAACTTTCTTGGGTAGTTTGTTAAAACCTATTCTCCATGCACTACTGTATCTGAGGCGAGTTTGTTGGCGTGAAAAAGGTCAAGAATTGATTGAGTATAGCCAGTCGCCGAGCTTGTTATTCGCGGGAACAAATCGCTTAAACCAAGCTTTAAGGTTACTCCGCGTTTCCAAAAGTAAAAAGGTCACAATTTGTTTCCGATTATTTGAACAGAGAAACAATGACCTACAATAACCTAAAAAAGTAAAGAAAATCTATTTAAGCATATGTATATAGGCAGGTATGATCAGACAGTATTTTAAAATTTTGAGTATATCACGCAGTGGAATTCGCTTTTTTAAATGCGTATTATTTAATTTTCATCTGTACGTATAGCAAAGAAATGAAATGATTGCACATCTCAAAGACCAACTTCAAGAGATGAAGGCCAAAGCAAGTATGGAGGGGAAATACATCAGAAAGGACGCCGAAGTTCGAGTCAATGTTACTCAGAAAAAATGTCAGCAGACCGAATCAAGCATGAGGGAGGAATTGGAGGTAACATCGTGCATGCTGTCTCATTCTAATCATTAGCCACCAATTAAAGCTCATCACTAAATTTTACAATTAAGCGCAGCTTATGATAATGAACATTAACGACTTATCTGCAATGTTGGCCCATGCAATAATCACGCAGCATGCACGTGCATGAAAACTACAAAAGAAACAAGAAATTATATTTTGGCATTACAATTAGTGTGTCTTTAGGAGCTACGTCATAAAATGGGTGAAGAATCACGAGTGAATAGTGAAATTGAAACCTACCTTCGAACTCATCACCAGGTACATACATGCAATTCAGTTTCGATTTATAGAATGCCTTTGAACAATTCTCAACTTTATATAGTTCCTACTATACTAATAATATAGCCTCGAATATCCATCAGGACAGGCTGAAGGATCACCCATGTCAACAATTGCTGCATGAATTGCCGGAAATTCCTGCGTATATTTGTCCCGAGGACAATCTTTCAAGAGAAACAAATCATTGGCCGTTTTCACACTAGAGACGCATTACTCTTCAATATTTTTTGTCTAGTATGAAGGCGGGACAACTAATCAGACGATAGGTCGATGGAAACACGCACGAATAGATTATATTAGAATATCTGGTTTATTTTATCACTGTCTCAGATTTATCTCTCGTCTATGTACCGTCTTCACACGGGCAGACGCATTGTCCGTCTAGACGAACTATCGTTGGTTATGCGTCTCTTAGACGAAAAACTGAACATTAATCGTCTGGACGTATTATGCGTCTGTTGTCCGTCTTTATACTGAAGACGAATAACCAGAGAAGACGCATTATGCGTCTCTTGCGTGAAAACGGCCAATCGCTATCTGCAGATGGACGGGAGAGAAAAAACTCATTTAAATCCAGCCATGTCGCATATCTAAGATATCGGGAGGTTTATCTTATAGGCAGTTGTTTGTTACCCCACATTTCACGAGAGTAATATTGATCGATATATTACGTGATCTACATACGTCGTGAAAAATCACGTTGCCTTAACGGACAAAAAATTGTTTTCTAGGCTTTAGAAGAGAAAGTTGAATACTGGATGGAAAAGTACGACAGAGATGTTGAAGCCAAACAGCACGAATTAGACGTACTTAAGGTACTGTACCTTCAGTTGCATTTGTATTTATAGTCTAGAGTTACTACTGTATATATCTATTTTTATCATGCAAGATTTTAAGACATTAAGGATATAATTCGGATGTATATATAAAAAGGTAATTTATTGTATCGATTGTAGGCTTCGAAAGCAAATGATTTATCGAGACTTCAAGAGTTGACGCAAAAGGTTAGTGAAGCGTGCATGTATGATTTTACATAATTATATATGCCGTTGAAAAACGCAATTTTAGGGCTGCTTTCCACTGTCGCATTTTTTGCACCTATAGCTACGTATATACGTATAGGTACGTAAAAGCTTAAAACCTTCTAAGTTGTTGTATAATTAATTTTATGCCAGGAAAAACACACCAATTCATCAACAGAATCCAACCCTATGCATCTATTCCATTGTTGATTTCATAAGTATTATCTAAATGATTTTAAACTTTTACATGCGTATACGTTCGTACAAAAAACGCGGGTTTTTCACTTATTACCGGCGTTTTCCATACGCACGTACATTTAAAATTTTCCGTACGTCTTAGCAGCCTTAAGTCAGGATTGTCGTGTGGTGTAATTACTCATTTGTCATATTTCTGCATGGAGATATGAAATTTATCAAATGATCGATCTTCTAGATCTAAATTAATTACTTCATTAAGTTCATTACTTTGCTTCTTTGGAACCCCTACTTTGCTTCTTTGGAACCGGATTATAATCCTTTCTAGCAAATATTGCCCTTACTGTACATGAAAATCGTTCTGTACTAACTTTTTTTATCGTATACGTACACCATGGATGGATTTACGTGGGTGCAGTGCTCATCCCCCTCGAAAATTTCCCCAAATTTTTTTTCATAAAATTTAAAACCCGATTATAAGTCTTCATCCATTTTCATGAAAAGGTCTAGCTATAATGTAAGACAGAGCTACCAAATAAACATGTACTTTTAACTTTTGGCAGTATTCTGAGTATGAGAAAGTTGTCATAGAAGATAGAATCGAGAAGGAAAAGATACGGCGTCAAGCGGAACAAGAGGAAGAGGAACTAAATGCAGCAATAAATGTATGGAACATTAAAACCTGGTTAAACATAACACTTCAAGCTAACAGTTAACTTTCCTTGCAGATTCAGTCATGGTGGCGTGGTGTAATGGTCCGTAAACAACTTGGTCCATACAGTTTGAAAAGGAGGAAGAAAGCGAAAAAGGGGAAGAAATCTGCAAAGAAAGGTGCTGGAAAGAAAGGGAAAAAGAAGTAGCTTCATTTTTTTAAAAATTCTTACTGTACATAAAAGCCATGAGTCCAATTTAAAATATATTTGGGTAAAGACTGTATATGCCAGGGTATAATAATGTTCCAACCCAAACCTACTAACCAAGTCACGTATGTAGCTGCACGTAATTGGTTTGTGTCAAGTGTAAGCAAACTACACACAATAACAATGTATGTCAGAACCAAACACTATCATTTGTCGACATGGATTAACATTTCTTTTAATTGTTAAGGTCAACTTAATTGGATACATTAATCAATAGTGTTTGATATGTTTGATTTTTTTATTCTAATTCAGTAAAAAAATATTTCCAATACTTATTTTTTACTTATTGATTTCATTAATTTCACAAGCTTTACTTATTTACTTTATCTTTTGCAAATCGTGTCAAAATGATTAATAATCAAACAGTATGAAAATGACTCCTTATTCACGTCTGCTGACCATACACATTACACCATCTCGAGGAGTATTGGTAAGTTGTGCCACCATCCTCCCAGTTTGATCAGGCAATAGTCTGAATTGATACTTCTGCAACAGTTTTGCAAGGATAACTTTTGACTCAAACTTGGCAAAGGTCTGTCCAATGCAATTATGGGGGCCAAATGAAAAGGGGAAATATGTCAGAGTGAAATTTGGTATGTCTTCAACATTGGAAAAACGTTCAGGGTCAAAGACTTCCGGATCCTTCCAAATGTCTGGGTTCATTGAGAAGAAAAATGGATTACTATTAATGCCATTTCCCTTTGGAATATGATACCCCTTCCAACTGTAATATCTTCACCACATTCTTGAAGGTGCTGTGCTACAGGTACTTTCTTAAACCTTCATCTAAAACCTGACCAAGATATGTTAGTTTGGCCAAATCATTAAACTCAACATTATCTCGCCCATCCAACACTTTGTTAATCTCATTAAGAAGCTTTGCTTCAACATGTGGATTTCTAATGATTTCATACAGGGTAAATGACAATGCATTTGCTGTTGTTTCCTGTCCAGCAATGAATATGGTTAAGAACTCATCAATTACTTCATCCAGTGATAAACTACCATCTTTAATCAAAATGCTTAACAAATCATTAGGGACTATGCTGTTATTTGCAATGTCTTTCATTCGTGTTGTGACACAATCAGAGGCAAATTTTCTAAGAAATTTTGCAACTTCAATTTGCTTTCTTTGGGTAGCATTTTGAAATGGTTTGAACTGAAATATTGCCAGTATGGTAGGGTTGAGGGGAATCTCTGCATTGGCCTGCACTCCTCTTAGGTAGTGCCGAATTGCTTCCGGAAATGGTGATTCTGGGTCCTCAATAGCATGGGTATTAATGTTGAATGACACTTGGCTGATGACTTCCAATGTAACATTTGCAAATTCCTGAACCATACTGGTTGGCTTACCACCATCCACAATTGTGTCAATGTGGGTCAAAAACCTATTACAAACATCATTGAAGTTGCTTATGAAATTTTTTAGGCACTTCCGATGAAAAGCTGGGTTCATAATTTGTCGTCGTTTGCGCCATGAAGCTTCGTCCGTATTCACGACTAGTCCATAACCAGCACCCCTCTCGCCAAAGATAAAACCTATTTTATGATATAAGGCCGAAGGTTTACGCAAGTTCTTATGATTGTTGATAAAAACATGTCGCAAATAGTTTGAGTCCCCCAGGAATACAATTGGCCTATGAAAAAAGAATAATACGAATAATGGGCCGTATTCGAGAAACTTTTGAAGAAGAAATTCGCTTGTTATTCTACCAGTTTCTTGTTTGTATTTCCAAAGTTCAGGCAGATGACCCCATATGAAACTCGAACGCGGCGGTCCAGGTAAATGATCGTTGATTTTGTGAAGATAAAACAAATAGGCCGTAATGGCAATAATTATTCCCAAACAGCCAACCAAGGTTATGGCAAAGATGTACGAAACTAAACAAAAAGTAGTGATAACCATCGTTATTTTTATACTGTGTTATAATATTTACTCATTTCCGGGCCTGGAAGGCTGGAAGGTATTTTAAATTGGCCCAGGGGGGTTACCAATTAAGTGGACCGAAATGACAGGGGGAGCGTTGTTTTCAATATGGCGGCCAATTTGAATAGAATGACTTTTAGTTTTTCGACTTTGGGACGCTTGTTGAGAGGTAGAACGCAAGGTTTGTTGTATAAATGTATTAATTGTATTATAAATATTGTACGGAATTATATATTTTTTATATTTCAATGGAATATGCTGAACAATTGGTCGATTGCTTATACTGTCATAAGTGTCAATGTGTCATTACTGTGATTACTGTCTAGTCTGTCTTCATTTCTGTTTCCAGAATTCATCATTCCTCCTTCATCAAGTGTATTTCAAAGCAGGGAATTTCATTATTCAGGTTTGTTTCAATTACAAAGAGCACAACATTGCCATAATATACAGCAATCGGATACAGCATACGGCATAGATTCAATGATATTTGCCTGTGCAAAAAAATAGAAATCACACAGTATGGCTGAGCCTGATAGTGGTTGATATTTTAACTGACATCATGTTGAGGCTGATATGTTTTATTCCTAGGAATTGCATTTGGTGGTCGTTTAAAGAGTGTATGGAGAAGAAAACGTGCTCCAGCATTGACAAGAGTATGATTCATTCAACAACATTTTTGTTCAATATTTGACCTAAATCTAATCTATGTATAACAAAAAACAATGCTTGTTAGTTATGTCCAGAGAAACCAGAAAAATTTAAAGCTCGTAAAGCGTTTGGTGGAGGTGAGAAGGTGAAAGTTACAAGAGCCAAAGCTGGATCATATATTTGGAAGTCTCAAGGTTAAAAATGCTTTTCTTTCTTAATAATTTTTTATATCACAATTGAAACCAGCATATCAGCTTGGCTTCTTTGTTTATAGACATTGAGTTTGAAACTCCAATACTTGACGTTCTCTACAATACGGCTCATAAACACTTCAATGAAAGGAAAATAATGGTACAAGGGACTGTCATTGAAGTTGATGGGGAACCATTTAAGGCATGGTTAGTTCACAAGTACTCATGGCAATATTTTAGGTTACTTCTCCGACAATTATTGGCACACTGTTTGGAAAAGAAAGTTTTCAGTTTGAACAATAACTCTTGATATTGATATTTTCTGTTATTAATATTGGTATTTTCTGTTAGGTATGAAAATAAGTCATGTGGTGTAGAAAAGGTAACATTTCTGTGTTTTATCTTGGACAAATGGTGGAACTAAACAATTGCATGCTCCCCTAGCTGTCATTATAGACATTGAAAAGAGTGGAAGGAGGGAATATATGGAATATAAGTAAATATATTCTTATTAAAAATCTTAAAAAACATTGTTATTTTAAGATTTTAAATAATAAAATTAGTCTTTCAACAAAGAATAATTAACTTTTTTACACCACATATATTCAATATTTTTTATTTTACAAAGTGAGATGTAATTTTTTTAGTCCACAAATGCTATGTGGGTGGATGACAAAATTTTGCAACAGCTGCAGGATGGAAAAGTGTTAGGTAGGCTTGAAAATAGATTTTTATTTATGACAAAATCTCTAGAGGCTCACAGGAAATCTCTTGTTTCTTCAAAGCGAAAGTTTCTAGTCGACCAGGACAAGAAGGCAAAGTTAATGGTTATCTCTTGGAAGGACAAGAGCTTGATGACTATCTCGAACAGATAAGGTCTAATAAAAATGATTTGTTGTAGATACTAGCCTTATATATAGATATCAAAGTCTATTACTAAGTAGCAGTCTTGCATACAGGGATTTTTAGGCTGTCATGCCTTTATCCAATGAAGTCTAATGCGGTCTAAATTTATCGTGGAAATTGGAAATATATACAGAAAGCCTTGAGTTGCTACATAAGACTAACAAGCCAACCAAAGTTTGTGTAACATCACAGGAAATTTCATTGACATGGTTGCCATTGGATGTGTAAATTTATGTGTACTTATAGGTTTAAACTCCTTTCCCATGCTGTTTGTAAGATTGGAAAGTGGACTATTGTAAAATTCTTTCCTGGTTGCCAGTGGTGTACGGGAGAGACATTAATTAGGGGGGCACATACATATTCATATATTCATGTTAACAGACCTGTAAAGACAATGGGTTTGAAAAGAAACTAATCTTTCACAACATGAATATATGAATATGTGCCCCCCCAATTATCATCTCCCGTACGCCACTGCTGGTTGCCCTAAGTTGTTTTTGACATCTCTGTATTAATAATTAGCAACTGATATTTGCATTGATTGGATTGATGGATATTGTTTTTTATTACAGAAAACCAAAATAATTTTATACAAATATACAAATAAAAGAATTAGTGAAAAGTGTGTGTTGCTTTTTCTTTTAATTTTTTGCAAAAAAATGTTTACAAGTTTTGTCACCAGTCAAGCAAAATGGTAACCAGCATTTTCACTTGCAGTACTAATGTTATACCAGTAGGTCATAGGGTACCCAGCTCGAGCATCAGGAATGATCTTATATTACCCTGGAACTGGATGCTGAAAAAGAAATGGACACTGAAAGAGAAAAAGGCTATTTTCTGTGTTGGTACCACCCATGACAAGGGTACTGTTTCACAACTGTGTTTCAAAAATATCCTTATCCGTTTATCATTATCATTTTTGAGTAACTTTTGTTTAATATTACACGTAATTATTTACATATTTGGTTCAAGAATCATACAACAGATTTCTGAAAAGAAGTTGAAAAAAATTTTGATTATTAATTACCTTCTTAAATGAAAGTTAATCTTTACTGTTTAGAGAAATCAGAGGATAAGTATGGCTATGTAGGTATCGGTGATGAGGGGTATATGGACTTTAAAAAAATTGAAAAATTTCCACCTTTTAAAAAACTCGTGTTTAATTTGACAGAATGATTTTCTCGAGACTGAAAAAAATTATATTTTTTCACTTTTTTGAAATTCTCTTAAATTTTTTTTGCGGAGATAAATGAGATTCATGTGTCTTGGGCTACACTGTGTACACTACCTTCTCTTGATTCCTTTATTGGAAATTTTAGGGAAACTTAAACATTTTTTTGTGGAGATAAAAGAGATTTATTTGTCTTCAATGTCTTGGCCTTATCTGCCGTGAAACAGTGTAGCCCAAGACTGTAAATTTGACAGAGATTTGAGGCAAAAAAAAGTGGAACATTTATTTGTCTTCATTTATTTGTCTTCTTGGTAGTGTAACACAGTAGCCCAAGACAAAATACTTCTTCGTCAAAAAAAAAATCTCGGAGAATTTCAATTTTCAGTCTCGAGAAAATCACCCTGTCAAATTTTCGTAAAAAAAAAATATTTAGGTAAGTAAACATTAGCATTAAAAGCGGGAAATTTTTAAACTTTTTTTAAAGTTTCAGTTGGTCGGACATATCTTTAATTTTCAGTCTTTAGGAGAAACATGTTTTTAAATTTTTTTTTAACTTGTGTTGTTTCTTCAATTTTCAAGTACTTTTATCAAGCGAAAATTGTTCAAATGTTTCTCGATTTTTTTGCTTCCAATTTCTTTTAAATTTACAGTCTTGGGCTACACTGTTTCACGGCAGATAAGGCCAAGACATTGAAGACAAATAAATCTCTTTTATCTCCACAAAAAAATGTTTAAGTTTCCATAAAATTTCCAATAAAGGAATCAAGAAAAGGTAGTGTCTTAGCATTACAGTTGTTTTCTTTCAATTTCTAACATCAAATTGTCAATAGTGTTCCATAATAATGCCAGGTAACTCAGTTGTTTATTCACCTTCAAAATTGATGATTTTCTTAAAATTTTTTAAAATGTGTTAAAATGGTGAAAATGTCTTAAGCCCTGCTTCCACGTGCGAAATTTTCAAGCGAAATGCGAAATATTTCGCCTGTTTCTTTTGAATTGTGAGCAATCAAGCAGAATTAATGTATTCAAGTGGTCACAATTCAAAAGAAATAGCCGAAATATTTCGCATTTCGCCAAGAAAAAGCGCCTGTGGAATCGGGCCCTTAAGATGTTTACTAACACGATTTTTTTCGTTTTTAAACGCATTTGATTTCGTTTTAGCATTGAAAAATTCGTAAATTTCAACCAAAATTAAACCTTTTCGAAAATTTTCTAAAATGTGTTACATGCTAAAAATATTGGCCTCAAAATTTACTAAGGCTAATCTATTTCATATAATAATATTCTTGTAAGTTTGCATGGTGACATCGACAAGTAAATTAGCTTTTAGGTACATCACGTGAGTACTTAATACCGCAAAGCCTTCGGTCCGTTAACCCGGGCCTTCGGCATCAGTGCAATTTATTCAATTGCGATTTCAGATGTAATCTACGAGAGTACGAGGTGCATGCTTGTTGCCTCATGACTATACGCGTTATACACGTTGAAATACGTTCTTAATTATTGTACTTTTTTTCTTTTAAACCTATTTTGAAACGCATTTTCAACTCTTGTACTTAACAGTGATTTCACTTCATTAAAAATACAAAACAATCGCACCGTAACCATTAGCTTCATTTGCGCCGCATATAACTAACTTATGGAAAGATAGTGCTCCAAGGAACAGGCATGCTTTAAAGTTGTGTGCGTTTTAGACGAGAAAATCAATCATGAACATTAAATTGAACCTATTTGAATTCTTATTTCATTTGAGAGTCTACCAAAAAGGTATATTAAATAAAGTTAAAAAGTGTAGCCTTTCACCGCAGGTTCGTACTGGTTGAAGCAGTTTAATTAAACTTCTTTGAAAAGCGTTAGGTCAAATAAAGAACAATAGGATTTCGACAAATGACGCGGTGGTCTAGTGGTTAAGACCTTGGTCTTTCAATCCTAGGACTAATGTTCAAGTCCTGTCAATGCAAAAAAATTACCCTTAAAAATTTCGGTTTGATTTGTAAGCTTAAAAAAGTTAAGACTCTCAGTCCTCAGGAAGACTGTAAACTTGAAAGAAATTGAAAGCAAAAAAAAATCGAGAAAACAATTTTCGCTTGATAAAAGCACTTGAGAATTGAAGAAAAAACACAAATCAAAAAAAAATTAAAAACATGTTTCTCCTAAAGACTGAAAATTAAAGATATGTCCGACCAAAAACTTTAAAAAACGTTTAAAAATTTCCCGCTTTTAATGCTAATGTTTACTTACCTAAATAATTTTTTTCACGAAAATTTGACAGGGTGATTTTCTCGAGACTGAAAAAATTCACTTTTTTTCACTTTTTTGAAATTCTCTAAGATTTTTTTTTGACGAAGAAGTATTTTGTCTTGGGCTACCTGTGTCGGTCTTGACACAGGTAGCCCAAGACAGACACAGGTAACCCAAGACAAAATACTTTTCGTCAAAAAAAAAATCTTAGAGAATTTCAAAAAAGTGAAAAAAAGTGAATTTTTTCAGTCTCGAGAAAATCACCCTGTCAAATTTTCGTGAAAAAAAATTATTTAGGTAAGTAAACATTAGCATTAAAAGCGGGAAATTTTTAAACGTTTTTTAAAGTTTCAGTTGGTCGGACATATTTCAATATTCAGTGTTAGGAGACCCATGTTTTTAATTTTTTTTTGACTTGTGTTTTTTCTTCAATTTTCAAGTACTTTTATCAAGCGAAAATTGTTCAAATTTTTCTCAATTTTTTTTTGCTTCCAATTTCTTTCAAATTTACAGTCTTCCTGAAGAATGAGAGTCTTAACTTTTTTAAGCTTACAAATCATACCGAAATTTTTAAGGCTAATATTTTTTTGCATTGCCAGGACTTGAACGTTAGTCCTAGGATTGAAAGACCAAGGTCTTAACCACTAGACCACCGCGTCATTTGTCGAAAGCCTATTGTTCTTTATTTGACCTAACCCTTTTCAAAGAAGTTTAATTAAACTGTTTCAACCAGTACGAACCTGCGGTGAAAGACTACACTTTTTAATATTATTTTAATCAAAATTAATACCTTTTTGGTAGACTCTCAAATGAAATAACAATTTGAATAGGTTCAATTTAATGTTCATGATTGATTTTCTCGTCTAAAACGCACACAACTTTAAAGCATGCCTGTGGCTTAAAGCACTATCTTTCCATAAGTTAGTTATATGCGGCGCAAGTGAAGCTAATGGTTACGGTGCGATTGTTTTGTATTTTTAATGAAGTGAAATCACTGTTAAGTACAAGAGTTAAAAATGCGTTTCAAAATAGGTTTAAAAGAAAAAATACAAGAATTAAGAATGTATTTCAATGTGTACAACGCGTATAGTCATGAGGCGACAAGCGTGCACCTCGTACTCTCGTAGATTACATCTGAAATCGCAATTGAGGCAAATATCCAGTTAAACAGATATTGACTATTTATTTCAAGATTTTCAATGTTGTATAAAAAGTCGAAATACTGGCTGGTCTAGCCGGTTCGTCGAGTATGAAATACGCTAATCTAATACTTAAAACGCTGGACTGAAGATACCATGCAACGTCTTAACAATTAACGACCACATCGTTTGTCGATAAACTATTGTTCATTTGTTCTTTAATTGACTTAATCGTTTCTTCAAAGAACTTTTAAATCAAATCATTATGAATCGTTTTCGTAATATTGTTGAGCTGCTGTTTGTTTGTTTGTTACCGCGGTTAACTGCAGACATTGCGTTTTTGAACTGAACTTCTTTTTTCTTAGCATGCGTTTTTGAACTGAACTTCTTTTTTCTTAGCATCATATTTTATACTCGACGAACCGGCTAGACAAGCTAGTGTTTCGACTCCTTACACAATAAAATCTTTGGAAATAAATAGTCAATGTCTGTTTAACTGGATATTTGCCTCAATTGCGATTTCAGATGTAATCTACGAGAGTGCGAGGTGCATGTTTGTTGCCTCATGACTATACGCGCTATACACATTGAAATACATTCTTAATTCTTGTACTCAGTTTTTTCTTTTAAACCTATTTTGAAACGCATTTTTTACTCTTGTACTTTACCTTGACTTCACTTCACTAAAAATACAAAACAATCGCACCGTAACCATTAGCTTCACTTGCGCCGCATATAACTAACTTATGGAAAAATATTGCTCTAAGGCACAGGCATGCTTTAAAGTTGTGTGCGTTTTAGACGAGAAAATCAATCATGAACATTAAATTGAACCTATTTAAAGTGTTGTTTCATTTGAGAGTCTACCAAAAAGGTACATTAAATAATATTAATAAGTGTAGCGTTTCACCGCAGGTTCGTACTGGTTGAAACAGTTTAATTAAACTTCTTTGAAAAGGGTTAGGTCAAATAAAGAACAATAGGCTTTCGACAAATGACGCGGTGGTCTAGTGGTTAAGACCTTGGTCTTTCAATCCTAGGACTAACGTTCAAGTCCTGGCAATGCAAAAAAAATATTAGCCTTAAAAATTTCGGTATGATTTGTAAGCTTAAAAAAGTTAAGACTCTCATTCTTCAGGAAGACTGTAAATTTGAAAGAAATTGGAAGCAAAAAAAAATCGAGAAAAATTTGAACAATTTTCGCTTGATAAAAGTACTTGAAAATTGAAGAAAAAACACAAGTCAAAAAAAATTTAAAAACATGGGTCTCCTAAAGATTGAATATTAAAATATGTCCGACCAACTGAAACTTTAAAAAACGTTTAAAAATTTCCCGCTTTTAATGCTAATGTTTACTTACCTAAATATTTTTTTTTCACGAAAATTTGACAGGGTGATTTTCTCGAGACTGAAAAAATTCACTTTTTTTCACTTTTTTGAAATTCTCTAAGATTTTTTTTTTGACGAAAAGTATTTTGTCTTGGGTTACCTGTGTCTGTCTTGGACTACCTGTGTCAAGACCGACACAGGTAGCCCAAGACAAAATACTTCTTCGTTTCCAATTGAATTTTTTTACTTTTACTTGTAGATAGTTTTTTAGTTTACCTAATCCTTTCTCTGTAAACTTTTAAATGAAATAAGAATTCGCTGGGGAAGCTGGAAACGTTGCAAGGATTGACACCTACGACATCGTAGGCCATGGCCTTGATCACTATAGACCACCACTGCTGCTGGTGGAAACTAGGTACCGTTTTTTATTTCACTTAATACTTTCTTCGAAGACTTTCAAATGAAATAATAATTTTGGTGGAAAAGGTCGAAACGTTGCAATGATTGGAACCTACAGCCTCTCGCATGGTCGACCAATGCCTTAAAGCCACAAGGTTGTCTGATAATACGGACCTTAATTTATCAATCTTCGTAATTTTTGCAAACATTCGTAAAGATACCTAATAATCAGCCACATGATTATAACGTTTATATGATACATTCGAACATAGTCATAGTTACAGCTGATTCAGATTCAGTGATTCTGCTAGACTGGTACACTGGTACCGTTAGCGTTGAAGCTGAAAACATCACAAAATGTCCATGCCATGTTGTGTCAGTTGTTTATTAAACAAGATCACTTGTCGCTTGTGCAGCGGTATTTTTATTTCTCGAACTATATCATTCAGTGCTATTACTCCACATCACTTCACATTTTCGAAAAAAAAGACGGGTGCTGTGGATTAGAGAGTCTGCTTTATATTATGTTGATTGCAGCGGTTGTTGCTGTAAGATTAAATATTATTAGATATTGTATTATATTCTTCCTAAAAGCATTGCAAAACTCTTGTTCATTTTGAATATCAGCACGCGCAGCACACTGGAAAGCGCCGTTGTGCGATGTCAAAGCTAAATTCTATCTAAAGCTCCCTTGCGACGCAGTAGGCACGTGGGAAATCGTGCGTGCTTGGCGAGAAAGCCCATCATAATCCGTTTGTATGTCTACAGGTAATCCGTCTTCGTCAAATCCTGAGTAGGTTTCACCGCTCATCGAATGGAATGTACCAAAGCTGGGTTCCATATCAGCGACATTCAAACGACGACGTGGTCGATGGCGATAAGCGTCGTACACAAACCTCATTGGAGCATTTCTGTTCGGCTTCTTAGCAGCGCCTTTACAGCAACACCTTAAAAGGGAAAAGTTCACTGTCATTGATTGGATAGTACAAATATAAGGCAAAATCCCCCGAAGAACAATTGAGTAGTTCTGTTGCTACGGTAACAATGTCGTTCAAATACGGCCGACATTTTACCTTACAACACCTTTCATCTGGTTACCTCCGTGATTTTAATAAAAAACAAAATTCTCTTGTTTAAAAATGCGTTCAACGTTAAATCTCGACAATATTTAATCTACATTGTACCTATAATGACGGTAATGAACGAACTACCTCTTGCAATTTATTTCTTAAATTGTACTTACATGCAAATAGCTGCAATGCCCGACAGGACCAGCAACGCTCCTGCCAATGAAAGACCAAGGATAAGAGGCCAGTCAACGCCTTTATCGTCACTTGAAGGCAACGTATCCTCCACCAGGGTTAATGCGTCTAGGCCTGTTGATTGCCGAATGTCGTTCAAATTTTCTTTAATTGCGTTTGATAACGTTATTTGAGGAACAGGGATATTCGTGTCCGCGTGTACACCATTTGGATACAGAGCGTAGAATGATACGGATGTATCGCTACCGTCTTGCGATGGATCGGATTGTATTCGATGAATATTGTTCTCAGAAAATTCAAAACCAGATCTAAAATATAAGAATAGTATATTAAAAATCTGGAATGAAACATTCGCTGCGTACACTCTGTTTCGGTATTAAAATCTTTCAGGTCATACTACTGGTCAGTTTAGCATTTTCTTATCTTTACACCTGTCCGATTACTATACGAACTTCAAAAAAAGACAGAAATCATGCAGTCTGATTCTGCACTTGGGGTGAAGAAAAGGGTTTGTGGATGTTGCATGGGAAACTTATTTTCAGTTGGAAACTTTCAGACACCAGGCTCATTGAATTTTAATTATTAACCATGCATGCCTATCTTTAATAGTTACCGTATATTCTGTGATGGAAATTGCAGGAATTACTTACCCTGGTAAACCGCATTCTCGTCTTCTCGAATCGTTCGCATTGCAGTAACTGTTAAGAGCTCTTGCGATCGCAGCGCGCAATTGAGAGTCAGTTCTTCCACCATACTGTAAATACAAACATAATTATATGAACATCTCATAGATACATTTATATTTACCATTAAGAAGGTCGTACAATGTTACAGCTCTGTGCAGTGACATGGGCAATTTTAGGATGTTGCATGAATAAATAGTTGTTAAGGACCTGCATGAGACGTCATGGAGGCGAGGAAAATTGAAGATCGTGATCTTGTCAGAGTACGTCCTTTTGGAATTTTTAATAGAAATCTACTCATTTTAGGTAATGATAAAAAGTTACCAGCAAAATTACATCAGTATCTGAGCCATGCACTCGTAATTCATAAAGTTAAGAATCCTCACTGATATAATTTTGCTTAAATACTTTGGGAGTGCCCCTATCTTCATTATCGTTGCAAGCGGCTATAACGGTAGAAAAGTGTGCACTGCCAACAAGATTAAACCAGGTAAATATTTGTTATCTCAAACATAAACAGCCGAAAATCATATCTAAATTAAATATGATCCACATACTATGCTAGTAGCTAATACTGTGTTGCAAAACCCAGCTATATTACATATCGTGCACCCGCCGCAAAAAACAGTTCTAAATGGAAAAGCGCCGTTTATTACAAATACAATAACACATATGTAATGACGGTTTTTCTTATTTTACCTCTTCAGTTCTTGAATTTGGTATGATGAGTTCGACTGCATTGGTATTTTGAATGTCGGTAGTATTCCGTGGCACTGGCGGCGGCTCGACAGTTCCATTGAGCGCTATATATAAGTCAAAAACGTTATTGTTATCTATATTAGTAAATTTACGGTAGAAGTGCATAAATAATAGTATAACCAAGCTTCGATGCTCTCCTGCCGTTTGGAATGCACAGGACGAATGAAAAAAATGCTTCATGCCCTGTATACCAGTGTCGAAACCCAACGACAATCCATCATAGAAAATGAGGCAAGTAAACATTAAAGGGGAGAGGAGATTGAAACGTCTATGCATCGTGCAGTCCATGTAGCGGGCGGGGCAATTTTTAGTGAATTAGTTGCTCAAAAATACCCCTTCGGTATGATACATCAATCATCGAATTCTCCTCGCTCCAGGTTCCTAAATGATGAATATTTCTATACATATAGTTTGCGTACCTTGACAAATACCGTCGATTAGACCAAAACCAATCGTTCTGTTACATTCACAAACAAAACCATTTAAGATATTGCGGCATATCTCTCCGTTTCCAGAGTCATTGCAGTTATGTATCTCTTCCAAGCATTCGTCAATATCTGCAGACAAAAAAACATTGGTGTCGAATTCATCCATTATTGATTTTCATTCATTTTTTGGCCTTTCCATAGACTAACTTCAACAATTATTAAAAGGTTTGAAAGCATGAGATGTTTTATAACACGTTGCTGAAATATATGTTCTTTTCTACATCTCTCTTTAGCAGACCTACCTGTACATGACTTGACATTCTCAAGTTTATATCCATCTCGACAAAAGCAGTTAAAACTGCCCTGTGTGTTGTTACAACCATGGGCGCACTCATTTAAATCGCATTCGTCTATATCTATAAATTTCAACGAAATTCTGGTTTTAAAGGAGGATATGAACGTTAACTTCCATGTATATGTTCTTTTTGCAATCAAACTATATAATATGTTCTTTTGGAACCCACCAGCACATGATTTCATATCATTTTGAAGTTGATATCCCACATAACAAAAACATTTAAAACTGCCCACTGTATTGTTACAACCATGACCACAGCCACCATTGTCTATGTCGCATTCTTCTATGTCTATATAAATTTAACAAAATATTATATCGTTAAAATAGACATCAACATGAAAGCTTTAGTCACATTAACTCATGAGTTTCATGATCATTTTACGATAGATACATGCATCTGTTACTAACGAGATTACGTGCAAGATGATATCCGAGGTCATTAGAAGGGGTCATTCGAAGCTTGGTATAGGTAGTCAGGGGTTCCTCCCCTCCAAGAAAATGTTTCATTTTTTTGTATATTTAGTCATCTTCTAGATATCCTGCATTTTGGAGGACATGCATACTCATGTATTCCATCCCTATTCGGGCATGCAGAGATTGTTGAGACAGCTCATGATGTTATTATCTTATCTGTCGAGACAGATAGTGAAATATGGCTTAATAGTAATATAAAAAACTTTCAGATGTTCCTCATCGCTCAAAATTTCCAAGGAACCTACCAGTACATGACTTCTTGTCGCTATCAAGTTGATATCCCTGGTGACAAGAACACGAGAAACTGCCTAGTGTATTGTTGCAAGTTTGACCACAGTCATCTATGCCCAAACTGCATTCGTCTACATCTAAAAAAATAAACGAAATATTTGTGTACAACACCAAGCACAACTGAGGATGCGGGAGTATTTATACTATATGATACAATCACATTTGTTACGATCGATAAATAATGTGTAGCAAAATCAGTCATCCATTAGGTTGACTAAATGCATGAATCATGTTTAAGAATATCTGTCTATGCATGGAAATAGATATAAGAATATCTAAATATACATTTGCGATCTTTTTGCTGCAATTATCTTTATTTTACAGATGTGAACAAATAGATAGATATGAATGCTCTAATGTATAATTGCTTTTATTCATAGAAGAGCTGCAACCTTTTCACTGGTTCAGGGAATTGTATCAGAAGGTTGAGTGAAGAAGAAGTGCACCAAATCACGGTACTTTACAAAATGTTAAAATCTGTCAATGGTCAATACGCAGCAGTGATACATAAAATGCCCTCACGTGCAGTAGACGATAAAGTCAAACAAAAAAAGTGGAAGGAAGCAATGGTATTTAGCAAAAAATCTCATTCAAAACATATCAGCACGCATGACAGTATAATCAGCATTCACATCAAAACGTACGCTCCCCCTAAATCTACTTTTAGCAGATTTAAGATAATCCAGCCCAATGTGTTTTATAATAACTGCCCAGTTCCCTGCCTGGGGACGCTACAATTCTTCGTTAAACATACCTCCGACTGTTGCTGTTTCTTTAGTAGCAGCGGAAATTGCATCCAATCCATCTGTAATTGCACTTAAGAGCACAGAGAGAGGAACAGAAAGACGTCCGTCATCCCGAGTTCCGTTGGGATAAAGTGCATAATATGATACTAAGAGATCGCCATTGTCTTTGGTCGTCCCATTAGACAAACGGAAGACGTTAGATTCCGTGAATGCAAAGCCATGCCTGTTTAATGGGGTAGATGAGCAAGAAATTAAACGAACATCTTTCACATTGTTTAACTGCGCGTCATATATTTTGGGAAAACATGTATATCCCGTACCATGTTTAACATGATAACTGGATGCACGTATCGCTGAATTGGAGTTTAGTGAGGTTATAGTAGATGAAAAACCGAACAGAATTTATTTACTTAGAGACCTATAACCGGAAGAAGTTGAGAAAAATCGAGGAGCTAGCGGCCTTTCGACAGGAGAATATAGTTCTGTGCGTTAGTACTTACTAGTGCAATGCATGCTCTGGCCGCTGAGCTACGGTGCGACAGGAATGGGAGCGGTGTATAGATTTTCCAATTACCACTATAAACCCATATATGCTATTATGATATTTATCTCTATCGGACAAAATGGCCAGAATTATTTTATGGGAACATTAGACAACGTTTAATTAACCTACGATGTTAAACCACATTCAATTCTTCTTTGACTGTTTGCATTGCAGTAAGCATTCAGTGCATCTGCGATGGAACGTCTGAACGTAATGTCCTTTGGTCTATCGTACTATAAAATAAAAAACGGTACAGTTTTAAGAGAAACAAAAGTAAAACAATGAGTGTGAGAATAGAGTGGAATTGATGGTATACACAGCAGTACCTGAGTAAGGTTAATGTTATGTAACCTTAATTGAACGGAGCTGTTTATGTTTTCTCTGGTAGAGACCGGAGGTGCTTCAGGTTCAACTACTACCACTTTGCCATCGTCAGGAACTAAATAAACGTCAAAGACATACAAAGTTGTTTTCGCTACAGAAGACCAGGGATCGCCGGCTGAACTCATGCATGCATGGTGTACACTTTGAATTCGAACTTACCTCGACATACGCCGTCAATGAGGAAAAAACCGAGGTTTCTGTTGCATTCACATCTGAAAGTTCCTATTAGGTTGACACAGACTTCGCCTCCATTGCTTGTGTTGCAATTATTCAAGACATTGCCGTCAAAAGTGATGATGCATTCATCGACATCTAAAAGTGATACGCGAAACACTGATTATACAGTCACACTTCCCTTTCAGCAGCCTCTACTGAATGAACCGCCATTTTCCCTAATATAGAAGAACTAGTCTTGCAATACCTTGACATGTAGTTTGACTACCAGGTACTTTCTCGTATCCACTAGTGCACGAACAATTGAAGCCTCCCACGAAGTTAGTACATAGCTGGTTGCACAGATTTGTTGTGCTGTTACATTCATTAATGTCTGAAAAGTATATCCCGAAGTTGAATAGTATTGTTAGTGGATGAAAATACTGAAAACTGATGTGTTGCGCGAGTCGATATATATGCATGAGCAATTTGTGATGACAGTGACGACGAGAGCGAGTATATAATTGTTTTATAACCTACTATAGCCGAACTTAATATAATCCTCATGCATATGTGATATAGTGAGTTTTTTAGATGTAAATCTATGACCATGCAGTGGTCGTAAAGTCATAAGCCGTTATTTTCACATTTTCACAACAAAAATAATTATCAGTATTTAGCTCTAAAACTGGGTTCATAATACTAGCAGGTATTTTCATGTCAAGTCTGCGTTGTATAAAATTCTCGCTAATAATATAGTTGAAGTTAATATATTGACTTAAACTCAGTTTGAGCCAGGATATTCCCCTTGCCTTCTGCTTCGGGGGAAAATGGTTAACAATTGCTCACTCTGGTAAGGGTTATAATAATTGATGCAAGAAATAATTAAGATTGAGGAAACGTATTTATTACCAATGCATCTTGTAACATCATCAGGATCGACGGTATAGCCAGGGTTACACGAGCAAATCTGGTTTCCAGATACGCCGTCGATGGCACACACATGTTGACAAGAGTGACCAGAAGGACAACTTGTAACGGCTAGACGAACACAAAGATATTATAATTTTTCTTCTGAATCAGTTTGTAGAGAACCACACTGCTCCCTAGCTATACTTGCAAATAATACCAGTGTGCGCCCGTTTGAGAGACTATACGAGTATTTAGATACTGCATACTTGAAGAAAGATTGTACATGTACTTAAGGGAATTACCTACGGTTACGTATCCAACTACTTTTTCAGTTGCATACATGCACTGCTGCATGATTAAAAAGATTAATTACTGTCATAGAGACGATTACTAACAACAAGATACTTTTAAGTGTCTTTAAAAAGAAGACTGGAAGATACAAATACACTAGGAGAAGTTGAGCATAGCCATACTTGCATGAAGGCGATTACATACTGCACTACTTACTAAATACTCTTAGTTTTAAGTTTTAGCTACTCAAACAACTGTGCAGACTTGAAAAACGATTTTTCAGTAACCGCACATGCTTGATGAGGATACTATAGTAACTAAACTAAACATATGCATGATAATTAAAGGATAGTGTAATACTGGAACTTACGGACACAGTTTTTCGAATTAGTTGGATCAACTTTAAAATTAGTATTGCAACCACAGGTGAATGAACCATTGGTGTTTATACAATTTTGCTGGCAATCGTGGGCTGTCGTGCACTCGTCAATATCTAAAGAAGGAAAGACAGACTTTCTGACCAGGGACTTTTTGCTGAATTAACATAATAATAATTCTTGAAAGTGAATCACTTGCATGTTGTGTTTTAAACCTCAAGCTTAAAAAAAACAATTCATAGTGGAACTAACCGTCGCATGACTTCTTATCGGCGTTTAATCTGTATCCGGGCATGCAATCGCAAACAAATGATCCAGCACTGTTGTCACACAGCATTTCACAATTATGAAGATTAGCTTGACATTCGTCGATATCTTATCGTGAAAGAGATAAAAATGAAACAAATGTTCAGCTTTGCTGCTGAATTAAACAGTGTGAGGAATGGGGGGGGGGGGAGGGGGGGGAGGTGGGGCTTTGGTCCATTCACTGGTTTTTCCAGCTGATAAATCTCAAATAAGGGCTAGTTTTCTTTTGGTAGTAACTGTCGTGAACAAGTAATTTTCGTAAGTGTACGGAAAATCACGACTAAAGGAAAAACAGCCCTTTCTAAACTTTGGCATTGCCTTCATGCATATAACAGGATCACTCATTTACCTGCACAGTCTTCACCCAACCCTGTATACCCGGCAGGGCATGGCCCACATTGGTATTCTTTCGGTGTATTTGTGCAGGTTACTAAAGGATGGCACGGAGAACCAGACTGTGTCTGACAGAAATCTCTCGTAGTTTCACAAAATTCACCGATGAATCCGATTTCACAATCACATGCCAATACTTGATGTTGATTGAATGTGATGTTTCTTGTCTCTAAGGTCGTCGCTGGCTGAACACATGTACCATTATTTTGACAAGCACATACAGTGATTGCAGGAACAAGAAGACTCGACCCGTTGTTTGCATCTTGAACCAAGAACGACAAATTGAACTGCAAAAGAAAACGAACCATTAGTGATCATGTTTTAAGGCATCAGAAACCCGAAAAGTATAGCAAACGTGAGGATACTACGACATTGACATCTAAACAATATACTATTGAATTTAAGACCTATACATGCGCGAAGCTTATTTGGTAAATTTTATTATATGGAGGGATTATATGCGATACAGGGACTTTCTGTCAGATATTACCATCGCACTTTGCCTGATGCACATAATCTCATTTTAAGAGTTCATTTTACGTAATCTTTTCGCATGCAATCGTTATGGAAAGTTTTATCCCGGTTTCACTTACCGCTTGCGTTGTGTTCACACGCCAGCGAAAAGTTATGCTAGTCTCATTTATTTCTAACGTGGCACCAGGAGGAAGATCCGGTGGTGGAAATACCAAACTGTCGCCATCCTCATCCGTTGCACTGATAGTATACTCGAACACTTCACCGAGTGTGAAATTAAAAACCACGTCGTCACTTTCAAAGGTTGGAGCGCTGTTTTCTATGAAATACACGAACAAAATAATGATATATAAATAATATTCAGCACAATATGTATGTTGTTTCATTGGAAAAAAAACACCCAGCAACGTATTTATACGACACACGAAAGAACAAGAGCGCGTGACAAGCTGAAGAATTTATCAAATCAGACCAATGTCTGATGATAGGCGGGGGAAATTGATTAAAAATGCTGCATGGCTATTTTCCACCAAAGATCGTTTCAGTTTAGTTTCAGATCAACGACATACTTGTCGTTTAAATTAGCTAGGGACAACGCCATAGAGGCGGCACCACGATTTTTTACCATTAATCGATTAGTCGATAACGAATTATTTGGTGAAATTTGGATGAATTGAATCGACCACAATACCACACCAGGTTAGAGTGGTGGTCAATCATTTCTACGACACACACCTCTTTGCTATTTGTGCAATTGCACAAACATTGAATGATGTGAATCAGCACCTTGGATTTAAAAGCAATGCCGGGTTCAGGGTTTATCAACGTAAATTAGAGCTCAATAGCATCTTGCAGTGATTCATTTTGACGAACGATGGATTCGCTAAAGACTCATTTAAATTGCTGCATTATGAAAAGTAAAGTATCATATTTCAGACATTATTATACCTGAAATCGAATTTTCTTCTTCCAATGCCTCGGCACTATTTTTCGTTGTCTGTCCAAAACTCGGAGAGCAATGTCGCAGCAATATCAAAGAGGCAATTTTGATCGTTCCCACAAACATCACTAGCAGTGTTCGCAATGGAATTGTTTGGGAATGTAAAATTGCTGATAAAAATCGGTGCATAATTGTCCGGGCAGAAAAAATTTGCGTCAGCCGTCGTGTTTATTATAAAATTTTGTTCGGGTGCCAAACGCCCTATAATGAAATAAACATTTAATTAAAATGACAATTAGCTCTTACCTGGAAAAAATGTAATCGCCCAATGGACCACTCCCCTTTTAAGCTAATACTAATTCATACAAAATATTTGACAACTTCCAATGGCGATATTATTTACAAGTTTCAATATTTCGCAACCAAACGTTCCCGTTTTTTAGTATTTTCGGGGTCGACGCTCTTTCATGACAGTCATGCCGGAATATTCTCAGTTTTCAATTTAGTTTGAAGGGAAATGTTCTATTTATTCAAGTTGCTGCGAAACTGCAAAACGTGTAATATTTCTGTCATTCACAAGCAAAATATTTTGAAAAAAAATTGTCCTATAGCTACAGGCCTTTAGATTCTGGGCTGTTAAAAAATGAGCCGAAATTTTTAAATAGCTATACTACCGCGCCCAGTGCTAATCATTTAGCTTCGTGCACTCGAATAGAAGTTAAAAATAGATAATTTTTTAATTAAATGAGCTCTACTTACAGCTCTCGCCAAAATCAAAGTGAATCTGGCTATCAGTTAAAGGATATCCAAGGTTAGTACCATTTGGCAGATTAAAATCGTCCTCAACCGTATCGCTCCAGTTTCCAAGCAAACCCTGGGTCATGCCAAAATACCGTTCTCTGTCCAGGGAGATGAGGATTACAAGATTGTTGCTCTCGCGGGTAACGACAATGAAGGTGTCATTTCCTGTCACTAGTCGTATCGCGTTTTCTTCATTTCTCGAAATGGTAATGAAATCTCCAACGACGTGAGAATTGTTTAGTAGGTTATCGTAGTCATCATACTGTGAACCATTAATATTGATCAACATCCCAGGACCACCTGTAAATACACGATATATGGTGTTGTAGATATCGCCGTAGTGGTGATTGTGAATGGCATTTCTTCCCGGGGTCGTTTTCCGCGAAAATGAGAACCAGTTAGCTTTTTGATGATGGAAAAGGAAGTTAGATGTATGAAAACACACTTTTCGTCAGATTGGTGTTTTGCCGCTTAGGCGTCCGGTGGTAATTATTTTTTTTTATACTCAGCGCACATTTAGTGATGACTTAAACGTGAATTTTCATTCATAAGTTGTCTAAAATGTTCCTATTTGCATTTAGTTAGTTAAAATCGCAACGCTAAACAAGTTTCGGGTTGATATTGACGACTGGCTGTGAAGATAGTAATGGATCATCATATCCTCAACATTCCAAAATGGCGGACATTCATTGAATAAAAAGCCGTCATTCAATGCAACTAACACAATTGTTATTATAACATATTAATTTGACATGCATGACATTTCAATTACCATTGCTGTTGTGGTTGATTTGAATAGGAACAATGCCTTCCACTTTGAACAGCACTGCTGACATGACAGTGCCCAAACCAGCTCCAATTGCTTGAGTAAACCGGACCTGAATTTGGATTTTGCCATCATTGGTGAGGAGAAACATATAATCACCACAACCGTTAAATGTATAATTCAGCCTATCCAAATTGCTGTAATGAGGATCTCCATATCCCCACCCTAAAAGAGGATGAAATAAAAAAAGTTTAGTTCGATCATTATCCGCACAGTTTTCACACTGATCTGAGAATGAACAGATACCAGGAAGACCTGTCTGAGTAAATACGTTTTAATGGTTTACGATACCAGTTGCGAAATTATTAAGTTGTGCGTTAATAACCAACCCGTGACATTGATTCCGTTTTTTCATACAATTAGATTAGAGAATTCAGCTCAATAACTGCGTGCAATCGAATTACCTCTTCTGCGGGAACGTGGTCTATATCCTCTTCCAAATTGTCTCGGCCTTCGCGAAGCGTACGCCGAGCAAAAATTGGATAAGACGCAGCAATTCTCATAGGCATCATCGTCTTCTTGAACGTTGAAGCGTAAAGGATTAGCCGATAAAAATCCTCCAGGTTCACGTAAATTCCTTAAGAGTGGCCCTCCGAACCGACGGTAACAGCAACGTAGTCCACGTGCACGTATGATTTGTGGATTTATTTTTACGTAGCAAATACGTCGAAATCTGTCTCGGCGACGAAATCTTGCATCAAAATGCGCTTGCCGTTCGGTGGGAGGGCATTGCAACGCACTATCCGGTACCACGGGGCTGGCGCTAATAAACCAATCGTAGCACAGTGTACCCGGCGTTTTAGCGGTGTTTGGGCTCATTGCAAATATCCATCTGCCTTTACCAAGATTGCCTGTATAATCGTCGATGACTTGGGCGTTCACTGTTCCGGATCTGGAATAAAAAAGTATATCACGGCTTGGAGATCGACAGCGTGGAAAGTAATGGTTCTGGAGCCAGTTGTATATAAAAGCCGGGTATCTATATAACGCCACTGGATAGTGTTTTTCTCAATTGCTTTAAAATCGCCCTGATTAAATCTTAATATTCCTAAATTGAGGATTCTCTTTAGTAATTGTAGGTTACAAAGCTGAAATTTTATTACTTTTAAGCATTTTCAGAAAGGTTAAAAAAATCACTATTCGGTGGATAGCGCTATATCCATGCATGGCCTTCGTAGTTACAACCGTGCCCGGAACAACAAATAGAAAATCACATTATAAATTAAATGCCTTAAGATCCCTACTACCATAATTGAATGGATAAATTTGATAAAAACCATTCGTGAACTTTATTTGCCCGTTAGGACAAATCTATTGAAGAAAACGATTTGTGATAGTCAATATATGGAAATTGTCAGTTGATTTTCCAAAGTGTACTTTGCGGTTGAGGACGAAATAAATAACAATAAAATTATCATCTAAAGCAAACCGAATGTATCCAAAGGCGAATATATATATTAACGCTCTTGAAGACATACCAGTTAACATAGTTTCTAAGTTAGGATTTCGGCACAGCTGAACTTGATTAAATTTCGTTACAACAAAAATAGATACAATTGACGTTAAATTTTGATTAAAATAACACCATTAAAGTGTACTCACTCCGGCAAGTTTTCGTACTCTTCTCCATTTCTGTAAAAAAAGCCCCGCCTTCCAGCATTCCAACCTGTGACTGGTAGTCCAGGCTCATCGACGTAACGACCTAACTCGCTCCTAAAAAATAATTTGCACAGTGCAAAAAAATAATCAATTACATTGGAAAAAGTATTAGAAAATTACTGAAAATTACTATGACTTTCCATAAAAACAGTGGAAAATGTTCTTGCTAAAACTCTGTTTGGCCGGAAACGTTTAGAGGGCAGGCTAGCACCCTTCCGTTCCAGGTTATTTTCATTAAATTCATTCCGACCCATGCCTATTTTACGCTATTAGATGTACTTTACTAAGATAACATCACTTCTGCTAGCCAAATATATTGTCATACTTTAATGCAGCGACAGACCAGTCAATGTCATCATAATTGTACATTAGATACCAGGTTGATTCATCCGATGCAAAAACGGCCTGGAAAGTATTTAACTGTGAAAAGGAAAGAAAATAGGAATTATATAACGATTTCAAAACATAAGCATTTAACTTCAACATAAAGCTGGTCCCGCTATTGAGCTCATTGCGCGGTTTCATGCAGCAAATATAGCTATATAGGAATAATATCAAACAACATAATATTGTACCAACAACAAATTCGAGTTAATTAATTATAATAAATAATTCCCCCTCCGTAGTTTCGTTGCGTACTGTCGGCAGGCCTTATATTTTCATAGGTGACAACTGACACCCACGTCGCGATAAAAGACCTCCCTGTAAATTCCGCAACATCCTGGTTTACTTTGTCGAATACCACCGGACTTGGGTTTCGGTCTTTGTGATAAGACGCAAAACGGACCTTTGAGTCACGAGGACCTGCACCAAACGCACGTACGTTAACACGGGACCAATACGGAGACACGGAGGGATCCTCATCCTGCTGGATGCCGCTACTACCATAATTGAATGGATAATTTTGATAAAAACCATTTGTGAACTTTATTTGCCCGTTAGGACAAATCTATTGAAAAAAAAGATTTGTGATAGTCAATATATGGAAATTTTCAGTTGATTTTCCAAAGTGTACTTTGCGGTTGAGGACGAAATAAATAACAATAAAATTATCTTCAAACCGAAAGTGTCCAAAGGCGAATACTGAGGCACTGGTGCAAAAAATTAAATAATCCTTTCACTGAAAAACAATATCCAGATATTTTTCTCATTTTTCAACTTTGGTTTGACTATACAAAAAGTGTAAAAACAACTATTTTAAGAAGTAATCTAACAGTTTTGACTTTAAAATTCATCCCATGCATGCATGAAATGTAATTTTTATATCTAGTTTGGATTATTTGACTTTTAGTTACAGAAAAGAAAACCAAAATTTACTTCAAAAACGAAGCGCAAGGATGCTATTTTTTAACTTTTTAGTTTAGGTGGTCAAGTAACATATCAAAACTACATTTTATGACACGAATTGTTACAGTGGAGGTTGAATTGTCCGTAATAGGCACCCGACAAGTATGCAACGCGCCATATACCGTATGCATACGTTCACTTTTGAATAAAATGAAAATTTACATGAGATGTTAAATTTACATTTTTTAAGTTTTTGACATGAATGGCAGCATTCAGCACTATGGTGTCATGACTACAAGTCTATATTATCATAAACATCTATATTATTATGAACATTATGAGCATAAACAGTTATGTCATGCACGTGCAGGCAACGTGATAGGAGCATGCTATTGCCAGCATGAATATGCACATATTACATATATAGGACTATATGGATATCAGGGTTGTGCAATTTTTGGCCACTATGAATAATTAAAGGTAAGAAAGGGCAAACATATATCACAGAAGCTACACACGAAAGTCGAACCGGAGTCTTTAAAGTTTCCTAATCCGCGTGCAATTCGAGTTCGAAGTACATTGGAAGAACAAAAATGCTTTATCTGGCTATATACGTCATTTATGTATCTACGTCACAAAAAAATCATTAAAAAGTATTTTAGCCTAAAATATTCGTTCACTGCTTTGTCTGAATTATTATAAAACTAGCTGAAAATATTTAAAGCATTGATTCATCGTCATTTAATTATTTCTGAATTCTTATAGGAGTGGTTATTTTTTCAAGGCCAATCCCACATGTGCCGCGTCACTATAAATCCTCGTTTATGTGGAATAATGTTAGCTTTAGATTTAGAGCCAGCTTTTACTTCTAGATGTTTCTGTTGTTAGCCAAATGAAAAAGCTCTGGGGACAGCGTAGTGTAAACGGGGGCTCCGGCTAAGCTTTCTACATTCACGCCACGCAAGGAACGTATATCAACAAATAAGAATATCCACAAGATAGAAATTTCAGCAATAAGAAATCATGCATATACTCACATAGAGCGTGTTATACAAAATTCCTCTTATTTTGAAACCACCTCCACTGAATTCTTTCCTGACGCATAGTCTTTGAGCGGCCTCACTCGACGAGATAACTTGTTCATCGTCATCCGATTTTACAAATCTCTCCTCTGTAAGATCCAGTTAACAACATTTTGCAGTTTATTTTACGAGAAATTATTAATCCATTTAGTCGTTGAAAGTCGACGATAAAAGTTCAAATAAAAGATTGTTCGGACTGTCCGACAGTCCAAGTGCACGTTTTAAGTGAAGTTATGTATACCTGGCTTCGCTCGCAGGATTAAATATTACACGCATTTCTTACACAGAAAAATTTGCTTACCCCGTGTAGAGCCTGCATATGGCACACTTCCTTCATAATCTTCGATTTGGGTTACTCCTGTCAAATAATGACAAAAGATATAGTTTTATGGGTTATTGTATTGAATAAAAATAAACTAGGAATGGTACTGCTTTTCTTTAAGTGACCAAAATGGTCAAACCAGTCAGAGTATTTCGATCACTGAAAGAATATTTGTGGTTGTTGAAAAATGTATAATGTATAGAAATACGGAAGTTCAGGGGCGTGACGTGACAGGCATGCCAATCGGCATGAGATTTTGGACTTAAAATAGTCAGGGCCGACTCATCTATTGCTAATTGGTCGCATCTTTTGCCACTTTACCACGAGGTAAAAATGCAAAAAAATATGTGAGACTATTAACTTCAAATACCTTCTATGTTTGTTTTTACCGTTTGCAATTTATCAAGTCATGCACGCGTGAAATGTGCAAATATATGCAAATATGCTAAATTGGCAATATGACTGATGGAGACCTTTTTAAAGTTTTTTTATACTGCAAACGGGATAAACGATGTTTAGTGTCCCGAACAAAAGCACTATTTTTGCGGCAAAAGCCCGATTTCCTTGTTTTTTTTTCTTTTTCACGTTAAATGTTTTAAACTGATAGGACTGAGATAAGAACTATATAATTATCGCGGCTCAAAATCAAACAAGTGCGTTCATGTGAACGCTTGAAAACATTCAACGGGCTCATATTTATGATACTTAATATATTAAGTAATTACTAAGGCTTAAAACGTCGCACCAAGAGTAATCACGAATACTCAGCATAGTACGAGCGAGTACTCGAGAAGCTACTAGAAAAATAAAAGAGAGTTTTCAAACTTTGTTTATTTGTCAGGAAACTATTTCAAATTAAGCACTTCGCGATATTGATTAGTACGAAAGCCAGCAGAAAAATGTAAAATGCCTCTATTTGTGTCATCGTTACTATGAACTATAAGAATGAACTATAAAAATGAAATGATGATGAATTGATATACAATCAAGTTTTTAGTGCTTTGTAAGTGATATACTCGGAAGCTGCATGAAAAGTTGAAAACACTTACCGCCGCTAATATAGAGAAGAAGAATGACTAGCGTTGACCACGTCAAAAACGAGTTCCCAGTTCGAATACTGCGATACCAGTACCTTTGATATGTTGTATATAGCATGTTTTCAGCGCTAATGGCAAGAGGAAACTAGCATCTGATATTATAATGCAACAATGAAAGATTTCACCACCTGCTGACTTCAGCATATGTATTTCTATAGAAACAAATAAACAAACAAAATGAAAGAACTTTCTAAACCCAAGGTATTATAGGCATAGCAAAATTTTTCAACATTTTGGCATTCACGTATTTTATAAGTGATTGTTCTATGTTTATCTAAAATGCAGTTAATGATGTGTTTACGATGCGCTCATATGTTTTCTCCTTAAAGCATTTAAAAGTATTTAACAGTCCCATGCAATCACTGCATGCATGCATTTGATTATAATTAAATCAAAACGGATTGAACGGAACATGCAACTTAATGTTTCACTGTAAAACAGAGCGGAATTTGAAATAACTAGGTCGCTCGGATCATTGGATCAATCTATTTGGCCATGCAATATTCGATTGGTTAAACCAGCCATAAAGTTCTATCTATCCTAACTGATACAATATATCAGCAGCAATTAATGATCAAGAAGATCACGAATGTTTGATCAGAAAAAAATTATCAACAACATTTTTCAAATTGGTCAATATATAATAACGATCTGTTTCGGAGTAAAAGTATGGTGTTGCATGGTCGGTCCAGAGTATGCCCATGCAGAGCCCAGACAGTATAGGTTTTGACTTTTTAAACTTATCTAAGGCTATGTGCACACGCAAGCGTCGCTTTCGAGCGTTTTCAAAATTTATCTAGTTTATTTTATTTTTATCTAGTTTTTTGACGCTTTGACGCCTTGTCCACAAGAAGGGAAAATGTGCTGATAATATGTTAAATGAGCTTCTATTGTAAAATGACGGTGTACGTTTGAAAACGATCTGGCATGAAAACGAAAATAGCTCGTAAACGTTATCGTGTGCACATAGTCTAAGACCAGACAGTGTATTTAATTATAAACACAGGAATTCATACCTAGCCTACGTTAATTGCTATATATTCTCATTATTATACAAGACTACAAGTATATCACGCAATCAGTGTCGCTCAAGCATGCATGCATGCATGTATATATTTATTATTTCGATGTAGATGCGTGTAAAAAAGTTGGTCGAGCTTGTTGGTGATCCTATTGACGACAGGTGGTACTTTTAAAAAATTAATTGAAAAAAACGAGCGTGCCCCATTGCAAAACCAAGCTCCCAAGTGACAAGCTCTCTTGATGAAGTCTAAAACATCTTATTTAATCCGGCGTTGTAGACTGCATGGCTGGCAGTCAAAAGGTTGTTATTCAAATATTCAGTTCTATAATTATATAATATGTTTAATGCTGTGTTGTCACCAGTTAACGATTTTTAACTATACATAGCTAAAACACGGTGCAATCATAGTAGGTCTGTGACAAGGTACATTTCCTAAAAAGTATAAAGCGAACTTTGTTTTCAAAGTGCCTGCGTCTGGAAGTAAGTATTCTCCTACAAATTCCAGACAAAGGCCTTAAAATGTTTGAGAGCAGCAGCGGTTTATAGTAATCGCGGAACGATGCAAAGGCAGGAAGGGTAGAGGGGGGGCGTAATTTTTGTAAAAAGGGCACTTAAGTCTTGACTTCTATCAAACAAAACTGTACGGAAACTTTAGATCGTCGATATCCTGTTTCCTCGCCCTATACTCTTGAAGTGGGTCTTTAACTGTCTTTCAGTGTACGAATTGTCTAATGTTGATCTAAAGAATCGTATTGTTATTACTTTCATATTGTTAGTGCATCCAACTTTCCTAATTCCCCCCATTGCTAGTGAGGCAACAGAGGCATGCAGCTGGCCACTGTCCCACAAAATTTGGATTCTAACCCCCCTCCACCCTAGTATGATGTGCTTACTACAGCATTGTTGTTAATCACACAACTTATGTTAGGAAGTTTGACAAACATTTGTGTTAACAGCAAGCGCAACCGAGGTTATAAACGTTGCCGTTGTTGCACAGATGAGGTTGTTTCAGAAAACTATCAAACTTTGATGACACTCTTAACCGCAATATTGCCGTAAACTATAATTATATTACTGAATATAGTGCTGGCTGCATTTTTTTAAAAAGGCTAAAAATTTCCATAAACGAAAATTTGAATGTTTGATATTAATAACTTACATTGCATGGTCTTATGCATCATAAAATGGTGAAAGGAAACGCTGGTGTAAATGCATGGTTACGCGAAACCACACTTCCATAGTGGCACGACGGCAAAATACGAATTTTAACGCAGGTAAGGATTCGCAGATGAACAAAAAAAAACTCAATTTAAACTCTCAGCAAGTAAAGTTTAATGATAGGTTAGATCACTAAGGTGTTTTTTGTCCAATTATCAAACACGCGCATGCACGTATAAAAAATAATTTACGGGTTTATAACGTAATAAAAAATATCCGCTAGCAATTAAAAAAGTTAGAAGCGTATAAAAGTCTTACTAGCGATTCAGTTTATTTTTCTGTTTCATCACTATTTATATAATTGAAGACATGCCTCTTAATGTTTAACTATAGTGGGTGTCGAATTTGAGCGGGTAGGCTCTTTTGGATTCAATCTTGCGCAGTTTTGACATTCCATTTTCGATCCAGAATTCACTGTTGCCATAGCATTTTATCAATATTGTTTTTAAATAAATGTATATAGCGATGTTGTATTGGTGGCTTTTACTCCTACAATTTTGTAGTAAATGCACAAGTTAAGAGCATGTTTGCCATGTTGCGATTTTCAGACGAACATGTGCATGCAGGCAAGTAAAAGCTTAAATTTATCATACAATTATATGCAGGATACATGTGTGTAAAATAACGATTTGAATGAATTCAGGGGCACCAGAACAAAGGGAGTTAGGCAGCAAAAGGGAAGCTAGCTGCACTTCTTGCCTTTTTCTAGCAAGGGAAAGGGGGCAAAGACGCCCTTTCGTAACCAACGAGCTTCAAGAAAACCACAATTCTCTATTGAAACCCCTCAGACAAAGAAATTATCCGTTTAAAAAACACGATGAAGGCGTAGTTGCGACACATCACAGAAATAATAAAATTAGCGTTGATGGAAAATTGACCAGAGGCCAGTTGTACGAAGCCCATCAAACTTAATTCTGACACGCTATATATGCATAGTTGTGAACAAGGACGGCGGACTTAACTTTCCCTTCCTCTGATAAGGATTTGAATTGGGGCCCCTGTACGAGTAGACAAATTACAAATATGAGTTTTTTAAATATGTAAATTAATAATTATAATAAAACATACTAAAAACTCAATAACTGAGTCCTGTCCCCTTATATATGTAGTCATGATATCCTTTCTAATAGAAATTATCATTGGGTGATCCGCGAGTATACATCAACTGGAATAAAGGTGGCTGGTGTATGTTATCGATTAAAGAAGCTTCTCAGAAGTAACTAGAACACCTTTCGGAATTCCATAAATGGAAAATTCTATCAGCGAACACCTTCTGGGCTTCAATGGGACGTTACAAATCAGAAAATCGCGATAAATTCCTTAATTTTTTCATTATCGAAATGACTTCAATTCTGCGGTTGCTTATGCATTCGAAAAGTGTCGAGGCACGCTTTCCGAAACACTCTCAGCACGCCTTTTCATTTTTATTACGTCACTCTCTTAATTCCGAGCAGTACTGTTTGCATCCGTTTAGCGAAATATATCGGCGTTTGCGTGCTTTGTAAATTGTCAGTGCGGACATATATATAGTAACTGTTTTCAACTCAGCTAAACTCGTTATTTTACTAAATTATTTAGCTTAAAGTCGTCTAAGACTCGAAGGCAAGTTATTCCGGGCCACAAAGTTCGCCGCGGGCCAGGGCGCGCCCGAATTACCGACCACTCAGTCCGCACCTGAATGTCATGTTTTTTTTCGAGCCTATAATCACCATTTAAAAATGGGCTTCGTACGATCCTAGGAAAATTTAGCATAATTTAACCGTAGCCGCACTCAATGTTATTATAATTCGAAATTCAGTTTTAAAAAAATCCAATATTACTGCATGTGCTTCTGCTTCATCAATAGAAAATTGAAATTCACCTTATAACCTATCATTCAAAAGGCTGAACTGTGACTATAGATCCTGAATAAAACATGCTTTAAATAAACCCTGAGGGCGTCAAAAAATAATGGAGCTTAATTTAGTATTGATTAGCGTAGTTGAAAATTGCAGCTCAGTGTTGGCAATTTCTTCAAAAGGACAATTTACTATGTCTTCTATAAATTGCCCTATATAATTACCTTTTAATCTGATTATGTGCTGCTACAAACCCGTTGCCAGCTAAAAGGCATCGAGCTCCTGTAGGCTACATTTTTGCTCGTTTGCTTATGGCGAATTTGAAATTCAATGTTGGCATGTGTACGCGCATATGCAATGGCTGAGACGTATACAGCTATTGTAGACATTGATCACGTATAGTGCAAGTGTACAGGCCTTGTATTTAAACTTAAGTTGAAATAAATAGGTTGAAATCAACCTACGTATGCTGGATATTCATCATGGGCAGCGAATGAATTGTGCCACGAGTGTCTGTATCTCAAGAGTATAAAGTCTATAATATAAAGTACCGATTTCAAACGATTTTTCATCGACAACTATTTTTATAACATTTCTTACCGCGTACCATTAACCATTCCTCTGTTAAGGGGATGATCGAAACTCCTTGAACACATACAGTCCATAAATACATCTCAATGCCTTGACTCGGTCCTTCGCTGATACATGCCTGCATATTATATCACTTCAAAGTATCATTGCATCTTCACAGTTTGCATGTGCCATAAACCGAAAATAAATTCAGCATTGATATACCTTTGATATAGATTTTTATAAAGCATCGCAAACTAACTTCCAACAATCCAACCAGCGACAGGCAATAGACTATTTTGATATATACACAGAACTGACCCGAACGAAATAACAGAGGCATGCATTAAAAAAGATATAGCGCAATAAATAATTAGGAAAAAATAGGATAGTATATACTATGCATGACTGTTTACTATAATAAATAGTAAAATTCGAAGCGATGAGAATGCCAAAAACTTCGTAGGATATACAAAAAGTGTCAAACACCAGGCTACAGAGATTCAACTATAGTCTAACGACTACCCGGCGTAAACTGATTCTCATTAAGTTTACGAAACTCTACGCAAAATTAAGCTAGTTCATCACTAATGTATTCTAACAATAGATTTTTTCAATAGCTTTTCTTCAATAGCTTCTTTGACGGGTTGTTAATATACCTCTAAAGCCTATAGGTTATACATCGCATTATACAGGGTGTCCCAAAAAAAACGAAAACTATTGAAATCACTCATTGTTAAAATTTGAATGCCGTGTTCACTAATTTCAGCCCGTGGGGATTTAATGAAACCGTATAAAATGCTAAATGCTTTGTGTTGCTAGAGAAAGGGAACATGTCGAAGGTCATGGTCCTTGAGATGCACATTTAAAAAATGTTATCCATATTTGTAAATTGTAAATATTGTTAATAAATATCATTTTTGCGAACAAGCAAATTTGACTGCATCATATGCATGCATAAAAATGCTTATGGCAACCCCGATGTATACACTTGTGGGTCCAACAGAGCCTTAGGCATTCAAACTCTAACAATGGCATTGTTATGGGTGATTTGAATAGTTTTCGTTTTTTTTGGGACACCCTGTAGTCGCGTCGAATGCACTCAAACAATAGATATAATGAGATTATAAACCTCATAGCTTCATTATCACAATTATCTATTCTTGAATCTTCGAATTGCATTCGACGGGACTAAAAAATGCGACGTATAACCTATAGGCTTAAGTTTCACGATTCTGAATGCCGGAATGGACATTTCTATTACAAACTAAAAATTAAAAAATTATTATGTATACGAACCGCAGGAGGCATACATTTTTTGTTCAAAAGACAGTTAACTTACAGTCGCCGGTTCCAAAAAATACGATCAATTTATTTGCTCAAATTTATCTCTAAGGTACAAATTACCCGACTTATCACCAATCTGGGTAAGCGCCTAAGCCCCCTTTGCCTATGAGTACTGAATCATTACCTCAGCAAAAGTACTTACATGATCGCGATTGAAATGAATTATATTTTTTATGAGTTTGATATACACAGCTAGGGTGTATGAAAAAATACCTTTTCAATAGCAAAAAATCGTACGCCTCTGAGAATTATTGAGGTTGCTGCGGTTTTTTATACCGGCACCCTGTACAGTATAATCAGATTAATACTCCGATAATTACATCCAATAATTCCGTCCAATATTCCATCAGATCACCATGACAAATCCCTTTATCTCACATCAAAGAACAACCCCTTTTCTTTTGAACGACAACTTGGGCTGAAGTTGTATAAAATAAAAGTTTGGGTGAGGGGTGAATAAACGTATGGGATCATGGGATCATGCAAGACGCAAGAAAATTGGAGTGAGGCTCTCAGACCAAATGTAATCATCGAGAGGCAATGTAATCATCTTATTTAACAATTGTTACACTGAATGAACCTACCCGGCCTGTTTCTTAAGTCTTGGACTTGTCGATTAGCGGCAGCAAGTTGTTGATTAAGACCGGTCTGTTCTCGGCGCAGTTTTTCTATCGCCTCGTTTCTTTGTTTCTCCATCCTACGGTGTTCATTTCGCAATCCCTCCATGTCTGCCGAATGTTGATTTCTTAATGCAGCGTGTTGCCGCTCGATCGCCTCGTTGTTTTCTTGTCTTATCTGATCAATTTTCCTTTGGTTAGCTTCTTGTATTGCTTTAATCTAAGAACAGTATTGGATGCAAGTAAGAAATATATCTATCCACACAGGCATGCAGATAATGAAAACAAATTATTGGATTTAAAACAGAAACGTAAATCTCAAAACTTAGCATTATGTTAAAATTAATTGAACACCACAACTGATCTATCGACAATTTTTATAGGATATTTTTATCATAAAAACAGCGTTTTGAGCATTTTTAGCATATATATATATATCTTGTACGGCAAATTTCCTAAACGTTTAGCTCATGCTGGTTTATTTACAGCCAAATTAACAATAAAATATTTTTTATAACGATCATGCAAGTTAAGCATGAATTTATATAGAGAATATCGAGAATGAACTGAGTTTGATAAAATGAAAAGCATGCAGGCACAAAATAATTGTAAATATTTGTAATTGTAATAATTGTAGAAGCACTAAATATTTGTAATTGTAATAATTGTAGAAGCACTAACATCATAGTATTTCTTTCCCAGAAATACTATGATGTTAGTGCAAACATGCAGCGGTCCTCTACCAGTCACTCTACCTCTTCAGCGTGTTGCTTTGCGCGTGCTTCTTTTTGTCTGAGGAGTCGTGCGTTCTCCTCCTGTTGTAAAAACAAAAGAAGTATAATATTTAAATACTATATTTAATAACTCGGGCGCGCCCGCGGGTAAAAATAAATTTACTGGGAACTGTCGTGGTAACTGCATGGGAAGTCTTTTTAAAATCATGGTAAAGTAGTCCATCCATTGGTTCCAATCTGTCATTTGTATGTGTTAGCAGAGAAGCAGAATAAGTTACCACAGTGGCCGTTCAAACACTGTTTACAACAAGCAGTTGCATGCGACTAAATGGTAATATAAGGGGTCTATATTATTATTGGCAATGGGAGTTCCTTCTGTTCTACCAATAAAGTCGTATTTATTTCAATTACGTAACTCGTTAAGTGTTGGTTACAATACAGCCTTCCTGAATAAGGCCTCACATTTAGTCGCCATACATGCATTCATAGCACAGACTTAATCAATAAATCCGTTACCACATCGTATTCTAGCGTAATATAAACAGCGCTCAGGTTTTCTGCGTATCTGGGTTCATTAATTATACCGCCTACAAAACGTCATCAGCGGTACAGCATAAAATGTATAACTCAAGTAGAAATTGCCAGAGAGTAACAAAATCTTTGTGCACTTTACCTCAGACTCTAGACACACGGCTTCATACAGCGCTGTTTGAATCTTTTGGTTTTCCATTTCATCGTGATAATCTTTAAGTTGGCAAATTGTCCTCATCATTTGTTTCTTTCGGTCTTCCAAACTCTGCACCGGAATAAAGCAGTGACCGAAAATGTTTAGTAGGTTACATAATTAAAGATAAGACGCGCACATAAATTAGCATTGTCAGCAAAGCTTTTTGAACGATTTTATCAACGATTACCCATACTTTATACCGTTGCATGCGATCAGTTTGCGATACTTAAGCCTAACTTTCAAACTATAACGTAAAGTGACGTAGCGTATTCCTTTGTTCCAAAATCACCAGGTTCTATTAGCCGCACAAGAAACACAAAATATGTTATACACTTCGTTGTGGTTGAAATGAAAAATGTATTGCATTTTCCTTCACGCCGGAAAATTTTGAATAAGGGGTTAACAAAAAGGTTGTGCATGTGTAAGGGAAAGAATGGGTATCAAATTTGTCATGTAATACAGTACAATGCAATTGTATTGTAATGTAATACAGTACAAATTTGGGGTACAAATCTCCAGGAAAAAACTAAAATCGAAACAGACTAACAAGATTGCTGTGAAGAAGTTATTTATAATTTGAATTGGTATAAGAATTGTTTGTAGTTTAAAGATTGGTATAAAAGTTGTATTTATGTGGTAACTGGGCGTTAACTAGAATTTTTTATCCTGGCCACGAATGAAAACATTTTTTTAAACATTCGAGCTTTGAGTTATTTCATCACGATGACTTACCAAAAGATGCTTGTTATAAACTTCTCCAGCGGCGGGGCCGAGTGCACCACCCAGTTCCCAGTAATGACTTTCGACTTCTCCAACAACACACATCACATACTCGTAAGATGTCTCGTGGTTAATGTTTTCAAGGACAGGTTCCAAGTGCTGTTCGACGAGTTCTTTAAGGATATCTTCGCAAAATGTCGTTGAAATATTCCAGTTCTCCTTCAGTAATGAATGTAAAAATCCTCCATTGCATTCACCAGCATCGGAAAAGGACGAGCAGCGTTTCTGCGGAAAATGTTTTGTTGGATTAGCAACTTATGCTGCAAGAATCACCGGCTTAATATCTTGTTTTAGCAGGTTGCGTCAAGAAAACGATGACCGACCATGACACTGGACACTTACGGTGAATTCCTTTAGGTGACTTTGAAACTGCTCAACATCTGGATCCATCAAGGTTTCATCTCTAAATTGCGCAATAGCGTATTTCATGATCTCTTCATGTTGCATCATTATCTTCTCGTCCTCACAGGGGAAATATGATTTCAGCTCAGACATCGCTGACGTATAGATCGCAAACGCTGTTTCACCTGAATTGTAAAATAATTAAATAATGGTAAAATCGCTCGGAATTGGCAACCTCGCTCCCAGGGTCTTCTCTTCATTAAGTATATTCAATCTTTTTTAAACGGTGTATACGCTGACGAAGTCAGCGTTGTGACAAATTAGAACACGTAGTAATATTTTTATTTAGTATGTCTATGCAGTTACTTCACTATTTTAAACGATTTTGAATAAACGTTATTGCATGCTATTGTAGTACTTTTCCGAGATATTAAAAGTATACCCGCTCTTTGGTATGCTATTTTGACTGTGACATCCCAAAATGATTGCCAGTCAGGTACGAAACCTTTGGTGTTCAGAGCAATTACGTAGCTCTTTATCATATCAGCTAACTCTGAAAATACAAAGAATTTGCCTATATGCACCTTGATTCACATTATCATGATAAAAAACTGCCCTCAAATGGCAAACAGAAATTTAGCAATAAATACACGACATGAAAACTTACGACTTCCAGTAATTACTGAGTCATTCAATCCTCTCTTAGGATGGTACTTTTCCTCTATTAACTGTTTCACTGTTTCCATTTTATCCAAAAACTCTTCATTAAGGTATTCCCGGAATTCTGGTTTGTCCATTTGCGACAGCACCCGTTCCTTGTCCGACGGTACTGGTAAAGTAAAGGCATCAACGGACTTGAAGAACGATTTAATGTTTCGTCTTATTTCATTTTTTCTTTCTGTCGTTGTGGACAACGTCCTTTCTTCCTTCAAGATCTATTCGAAAATAAATAAAGATTAAAGTCAGGAATAGCTAAAACTTTTATTTTATCATCACATGTAGTCATTTATTGTCAGACTATATATTCTTAGTATTTCATGTCGATTTCAATGTCTAAGAAAAGTATGTATATTAAGCGCTCAGTTTACTCAGTTATATGACTTAGATCATCCTCTTTATCATTATAACCCCATAAACATGATTTATTTAGTTTTATTATCCAGTTTCTGCATTTAAATCTGTTTTTTACTCAGATAATTATCCTCCGAGTTTTGTTATCCTTAAACTATCTGCTTTCTGAGAAAAACAAAAGAAGCTTTTCTGTTTGGTCCATTTCTGGTGATAATTCTCCTGAGTGGAGTCCAGCCGGAAGACGCGTCAGATTTAGCCCTCAGACAGTCAGACTTATTGATAGAAATCGCTACATTCCTTTCAATTCTACCTTTTTTCTTCACAAATTACCTTTTGTTCCAAATACGTATTTATATCACAAGGCTGATGGTTGATATCGGTTATTTTTAACGTGACATCGCGGATTAACCAGAAAAATTCAGGCGAACACTTTCTAAACATTTCCACATCTTCTATGGTATTTTCACCATGCTTTTTAACACGGATACTGTCCGACAACTTAGAAACATAACTGAAATCAAATGCAAATTATAACCGGTGAGCAGGTCTCGAATATCACCTACAGTCGGCGGTGGCTATTGTCGGTTATCCATTGTAAAATAGTTCTGTCAGTGGTACTCTTTTAGGGGTACAGTGTAATAATCCTGAAAAAATTTTCTTCGTCGATCAATTAAATGAATATGTTAAATTTTAATCTGCCTAAAAGATGGGTTGATTGCGTTTTAGAGGATAACTCTTCAGTAAAATCCTGCTAACTCACTGTAATTTTTCCAGGTCACTATTTGTCGGGACATTTTTACTGTTGTAGATCAGAAGCGAGCTTATCAAAACACTCAAGGTGAATATTTGATTGTCTGTAGAATCTGTAGCATCCACACTGTCTGCGGAACCAATTCCTTCGGAATCAAGGAAGACAACAGTAACAATTTCACCAGAGCTCATGCGATACTTAATTGGCGTTCGGCCAATCCAAATCCCTGCAGCAAAAAAGAACACGAACATCATAGTGAAACGATGCGGACAGAATACAATAAAAATCAACCAGCTATACAAAAGACTGGCGACTGGTGAGGTTCATAATTGATGATAACAAAAAAACTGCGAGGGGACTGGAGAGTCCATATTTTCATTTCTTTTTTGCGGACTATACCAAATACGGACTATTGCGGATGTCCGGAATAGTTTCATTTCTTTTTTGCGAAAATACTCTACCCCAAACACAATTAAGGTTCCATGTATATTTAACTAAAGCTTCTGAAAATTTCAAGATTTTGACAAAAAATACATGTTTCGGAAACACACTCAAAACAGGCAATTATCCTTGTTTTTTTTAAATCAATTTTAATTGTAACAAACGTTCAAGGGGAATTGAGGTATATTACCCATTGTTTCTGCTTTCATGGTATGGCCCAGTCTGAACTTGCTGCCCTGCAATTGACTTAGGAGATAGGACTTCCCAGTTCGTGCAGGACCAACAATACACACAACACAGAGAGGCCCTTTTATAGACCTCAAAATTTTCAAGCCTTCTTCGCATATATTCAGCTCCGACCGCTTGGCATCTTGTTTTGGCACCAGCAGGCTTTCTGATTCTTTCCACTGGAAATTATTTGGTATACAAAGAGGAACAGCATTTTGTTCACCATTCATTGTGCTGAAGGAGAAAAGTTGGAGCCTATTACAATCATTCATCTGGTAAGAATATATCAACGGAGTTTTTATTTGGTGACGAAAATCGAACGGAATTTATATTAATGTTAAGAACTAACCGGGAGTAGTCACCAACTATCAGGAATCGAACCTAGTCGTCCAGTCCTGTGCTTTGCCGGTACAGCCTGTTCTTGCCACTGAGCTACAAAGTAAGCATCGTAGAAGAATGAGATCTTTTTCATGGTTCCCCATCTTCTCTCAAGTTTGTTTGCATCCGCCATCTACATAATTTAAACTGCACGGAGAAAATCGTGCTGATGCGTCAAATATGTGAATACAAAGGGCTGATTTGTCGAAAAAGCGTTAAATTTTCTTCCTGGGCCCTTTTTGCCGCCCCTCGGGGTAATTACCCCGTTTCCCTCGCCTTAATTTTCGACGCTATAATGACCAAATTGGTTTATTTCTCCATTTTTATGTAATAATCGTGATTCCTTTGATTCAGTATCACAAATTGAAGGACAGACAAAGCATTATCAATTTTAGCACATATAGCTAGCAACTACCATTAAATTAATGTTAATTTATCCACTATTATTTCATCATGTGTCAAAAATATTCTTGTATTCGGCATGGTTTTCAGTTTCAAATTTAGATGGCTTTTAGTGTAATAAGGTTGTGTGAATCATAGTGGTTCGTAGACCAATAGGACATTTAGACATCAGAAGATCAAAAATTGGTTTGGTCTCCCAAACGATACAAAATTACTAGCATTTTCGTGGCGTATAAATTTTGAGAATTTCAATAATTTGAGGATTATATCAACTCGCTTTCTGCAATTATTATGTTATCTACAAAAATATGATAGCCAACTACTCCATGCATTTTCCAATCGTTCTCACTGATTGTAATGTAGAAATAATACCATACATTATTTCGAATGCGCATTGCCATGTTTGTTGCCATGTTTGTTCGATTTTATACACATAAAAATTAGGATTAAATTACCCCCAAACAGAGTTATAGTCATATTAGCTGCAACGATAGATTTAAAGTCAACTTTACCTTCTCTGTGTACAAATTATCGCGTCGCTTCAGCGTGAGCACAATAATTACAGACAAATAAAGTTCAGCCTTTGTGTTTTCATTTTAAGTGAAATGCAATTCCTGAAAGGGAAATAACCGGAAATTTAGCATTACACAAGCTCCGGGAAAACCCCACTCACATGCACTTCTAAGTGTCTATAAAGTGGATAATAAAATAACAAAAGTGTCTCAGTATATGCATGATAGGTAGACGTCGTTTCTATAAGCAGCAAATAGTTTGGACATTCAAGGGTCTGTCTATGTATAGGCATAATTTTGTGGTAAACGTTTATTAAGTATTTTGCATTTGATGTTGTTTTCTTGATCGTTTCCTACCCTACTTGACTTGCATAGGTCAGTCTACCTAATTGCCATTGGCCTGGTTCATAACTCAAAGAAGCCGTTATTCTGTTAACCCAACCAACACCCTCATCATACACTGATAATGCATGCTTACACATTGCCCATAAATGTGGTTAAAATATATTATCAAGTTTCCATTCTGTTCCGTCAGTATGAGCAGTTTTCACTATACACTAATTTAGAATTCTATTTTCCCTGGTTGCATCGCACTTGATACTTCTCAACAAATCTCAGTTTACTATCTGTTGGCTGTTGGAATGGCAAACAGCTTTAGAGCGCATATAGAGAAATAATTTCCTATCCGAACGAACTTCAACGTTAAACTGATAAAGTCATATCAGCTCTTGATTTACAAAAAAAAGTGAATACCTAAACTTCTGATTATAGATTTTTAATTTCATCATTCCATCGATTGCAAAGTCAATTTTTTTTCAGATATATTTATCCAAAGGGTAATTGTCAGTGCATGACGGCACTTGTGAATGAGAAACAATGAACACAGTAGGAGCTCTCGATCCAAAAGCAAAGATAATTTAAAACATAGACTTTAATAAGTATTTAGCCGAGTCCTCAAGCAAAGACAAGTATTGCAACCAATATGGCTAAGGACATACCACCTTGGTATCATGGAAGAATATCAGGGGACGATGCCACGAGAATATTAACAAGATTTAGACAGCCTGGTGCATTTCTTTTACGTGACAGTCAAAACTTGGAAGGAGCATACACACTGACTGTTTCGTGGTATGTATCCGTTGAAAGTTATAACAATTCTTTACCGCTTCGCCGGCAATGTTGTATTCTTGGATCATTCTTGTATTACTTATACCAATAATCCTTTACCAGCTGATAGTTTTAGTACATATATAGATTTAAAGTAATTCCGAAAAATGATAGCATAATATTTGTATTATGCTATCATTTTTCGGAATTATACTTTAATTCTTTACACCAATTACCATGCAACACAATATACAAGCAATTTATGAGAGTATATAAAGTTATTAAGTAAAGGCATGATTTAGTTGTTAGCGTTTTAGGGTAATAAAATCTGTACCGTGATGATGAGTGGCAATAGATTTGAAGCCTGGCAACGAGCCAGTTGAGTCAATAATATAGCGTTAGCGGAAATATTTGTGAATATAGTACACACTAAAGCTACAGTAGAGGGAAATGTCCAGTGGTCAGTCGTCTAACCTCGTACCCAGGTCAGTGGTCTTGTATTCAGTACACAACTAAAATTACACAACCAAAGCGGCGGAAAATACCAAGAATAATCACTTAATTTACTTTGACATGGATGCATGATCACACCAATTTGATGAGAAAAAAAAACTCAAATTATATTAACTTTGGCGAGCATGTTAATTTGCTAAATTTGCCGGGCTGAATTGCCGAAATATAATTTAGCCCGCTGGTCTAAGCCAATCAGAAGAATGACTGAAGTGTCTACCCATTGCATAATTTTTTAAACAAAAAATGTTCCCTTTAAAATGAGTTTTAAAACACATTTATTATTCTCATTAAACTCATTTATATTAACCTTCGCCCAGCGTGACTTCAAACCCGAGGTGGAAAGTTTGTCCACGCGATCATTTGTGTCGGATCCAACTCACTTCTGAATGATTTTTATAGTTATTTGGCTTGCAATGTTTGGGCAAAAAATTAAAAACGTATATAGTATGATAATTATATAGCCATTCAATGCAGTATATATGTATAACCTGCATGCACTACACGGCCGGCTAATCAGACTAGCTAATGTTGTACCTTTTTTATCAACATCAGACAACATTCTATAGTCTATATACGTCAGGGGCCGCCGGTTGTATCAAGCCCGTTTACCTTAAACAGCGAATAAGTCAAAATTAAATAACACTCTTACATCTCTCTTGAATGAGTCAATTGAATTTTATGCACTGAATATATAGTTGTGAACAGTATCCTTGTATTAAGGTTAAAAACATTAAGTTTGCTTCTTGAATATAACGATAGACTTGCTTTCTATTTTGAACTTAACCACCGTTTAAGTTAAACGAGCTTGATACAACCGGCCCCATGCAGAAGTGAATTGGATGACCAAAATCCAAAATAATCTATCAAATTAACATACATTCAGATTATATCTGGTATCACTTTCACAAGAACTACACTTGGATAATTTTATGAAATTATCAGCTCTAAAGCAAAAATGATAGTTGAAAACATATAGATCTCCGGCAGTTATGCAAGTTGGCAACTTGTAACAGGAAATGCCTTCAGAAATGAATTTCTCATGCAAGTGAATTAAATTCTCTTTTTAACTTGCTTAACATACTTTGTCTGAATGTTTAATTCAAATATATAGTTCTGTAGACGAAAGTGGAAAATTTGTGGATGTGAAAAATTACAGAATAGTGAAGAACAGAATAAAGGTATCGTTATGCATTTCCTGAAATTATTATACGTACACGATATGGATTAATTGCGATGTTGGAATGCAGTATATACTTTTCTCTGCAAGGGATAAGCTAAATTATTTCTTATTCTCTTCGCTAATCTTTGTATCCAGGGCAGAAAGAAATTTCCATCCGTAAAGGATTTGCAGAAATGTATAAAGGAGCAAGAGGAACGGTACAATGGAAGGCCAACAAATCTTGTACTACCAGTTGAAAGATCAGGTTGGTAAAATTTTGAATTTACTTTAAATTCGTGAAATTGAATGAATGAATGAAAGAATGAATGAAGGAATATGTATAGTGCTACCTACCCATCAAATGTGGCATGCATGGTAACTGCCTAAAAGACACGAAAAATCTGTGATTTATCAAAATTTATCCTTTTACATGGAAATGTGAAAGCATACAGTCGGGTTGGATTTACGAACTATACTGATGCGGTGATATAAAAAAAAGAATTTATTAACAAATAATTATCATTATACAAGATGAGAAATGAATAAAACACTGCGAAACGAATGCATTAAGACACTAAAATTATACTCAACTCGGTTCAATAGTTATAAATTAGAAAACTGTTCTAATTTCTATAAATTAGAATTTTTATAAATTAGAAAACTGTTCTATATTCTTATAAGAAATTGAAAAGTGGGACAGCAGTGATGGGAACTGGCGTGAAAAGTTTCGGGTGCGTGAAGGAGAGGAAGACGAACAACAAAAAGGAACAGCAAGAAAACAAAAAGGTAAGCAGCATGTAGTAAGCTTCTTCTTTGGTTGATATATGCGAGCGTCGAAAATTATTTATTCACGATATATTATTTCAGATCAAGACAAACGTTCACACAAGTCTCCATTCAAGTGGAGGTAAAGCTAGTGTACACATGTATTTAGCCATGCATGATAACTGCACTAGAAAATAATCTTTTTATGAAATGTCGGATCATTAAAGGCTAAAAGATTTATTACTCTGAATGATCACAATAAATGAAGAGTACTCAAGTATTGAAACTGACTTGAACATTAATAAAAAAACAATAATAGATATCGATTATAATTTATACTACTTAGAACGAAAAAAGAAAAAGCGAGAGAAGATATCGATCCACACAAGCAGCTGCAAGATCCTGGCAGTTCTCGTAATGATTCTTACCCACTGGGACACCCGGGAAGTCAAGTTTGTGAGAGCAAAGGTAATTAGGCAACCTCCCTCACACGGCTCTCCCCTGGGTTTTTCATTTCTAAGGAAGCTCTTTTAGCAAAGAAGCTCCACCAAGAGGGGGGGGGGGGGTCATTATTAGTTGCAAAAATTATACATAAAAGTCCTTTCTTTCTCTCTGCTCACCGATCCCATCCCTACTCTATATGCAAATAAAGCTATCTGCAAATAAATTATGGAAGCCCTGCTCTCACCATTGCCACGGACTGAAAAATCAATCAATCATCAACCAATCAATCAATCAATCTATCAATCAATCAGGCACTGCTCTAACATCACGTTTTAGTATATAGGGCCAATTGACGTACGTGGCCGATATTGGCGTCCCTTTTCACAGAAGATGCGCTATCCGACCTTACCTTATATATCAGTGGACAAGAGCCGTGAGCATGAACAACAAACGATTTCCCTTCAAGTAGAATGTCATTGACTTTTTCTAGATTTTAACGAGAATACCTCGCCTCAAGAGTTAAGCCCCAACGGCAACTGGCCGACAGTAGATGAAGAGTACAATTATCCAGACGCCAATGAGTGGAATGACAATGATTTGGCCAGGAAGGGCACAAAAGAATCTAGCAATGAAAGTAATAACGCCAAAGATAGTGATCACACTTCAAGAGAGATCGCTACCCCCAACAGGGAAGCAGGTAACCAAAATTATAACGAGCAAACGGCATTCAACTGCGGTATTTACTTCACAACAGAGGGGCTGATAGTCCCAAGAAACAAGATTCCAAAAAGTGACCAAGTTGATGATACCAAGGTTGACAAGCCGAACAAGTCAAGCACTGGTATTTACATGTCATCAAGTCAGGCGATAGGAAAAGATAGGGAAAGTAACAAAACGCCAAAAAGTCACGAAGCTTGCAAAAGTGTCATTGCAAATGAACCCAGTGTCTCCAACAGTGGAATCTACATGTCATCAAGCCAGGCCAAAGACAAGAAAAAAGACGGGGAAAACGAGCCAAGTGGAGCAAGCACTGGTATTTCCATGTCACCAAATCAAGGCAAGGATAAAGATGGGGGTGATAAGATGCCTGGGGTTTGTCAAGATGGTTTAAGTGTCAGTGTTAACAAACCAAACATTCTAAGCACTGGTATTTATATGTCTCCTAAACAGGCAAAAAGCAGTCGAGAATAGATCACCTAAAAGTAATGATAAGTAGATATCCTATTGTGCCAAAAATATATAGCATAGAAATAGAGCCACCATGTCATGATTCAGTAATCATGATTCAGTAAAATACCATACATAAGAAGTTTAGGTTAAAGTCAACGCTCCATAATTATGTTTGTAATTTGCCAGGGGAAGACAAAAAAATACGTATCTTAAGACCGCAGAGGTGCTTTGAAACTTTCTCATTTTTGTTGTATATCCAACAAACATTTTTGTTGTAAATCCAGCAGAAAAACTACACGGGAAATTTTGTTAAAACTACTGCGATCGTTGCATTGAAAACTCAAAAATACCATACCAGGTATTCCTTGTGTGTATTCCTATGTGCTAGAAGGAAATCCTCATGTATGAAAAATGCCACGGGCTAATTAGGACGACAAAGGTACACTCGAAATTCGCAGATGACATGGACTCGTGGAAACGAATTGCAAAAACACAGGAGAAATACTGATGAAATGAAAGATCGTTTCATATTCTTTATTTATATTTTGTACTCGTATTCTACGTGCTTGTAAACAAATTGACGGCAGAGATCGCGATAAGGTTGCTCAGGTAGTCTATATTTCTAGTAAGAAAAACATACTGAATCACAAAATATCAGCAGCGCGCTTTTTTTCCGCACTCATATTGAGGTTGCCTGTCTCAACCTTGCATAACCAAACTGCGTAAACTTGTACACAAACCGTACAAAAAGTACGGGGCTGCTTAGTGACCAGAAGACTTTGGCAAAACATATATCTGTACAGGTGAACATAACTCGACATAACCATCTTGCAAATTGTCTGCACTATTCTTAACTTGTTTGACAATTTTCGCATCGCTTTTTTCAGCTGACGTAGATGACAAAACGGACGTAATGAAGTCCGCTACTTCTTGTTCGTTGATGTCTTGTGCACATTTTAGCACCAGTGACACATCAACGTAGCAAGGATCTGGAATCAAATAACCGTCATAAAATCAAATAAATGCATTTGACATTTACATTTTTGTATTTATTGTCATAGCTAGCGTCATATTGTCATTAATAGTCAATTCGGGATATAAAATGAAACAATATATTTAATTAAAGTATAGAAGAAGTCGTGGAATATACTATTTTTTATATTTCTATTTTTTGTTCCAAAACTGTTCCCGTAGGCTTAAATTTTATAATAAATTCATGTAATTGTAAATATGAATCCTCCCGGCCAAGGAGGACAAAAACATATCTCAATGCACTTCACTTTGTACCGTAACAATAAACCTACCTGACCATGCTGAATGAGAAAATATCACTTTTGTGATAAGGCGATGTTTCATCTTTGATAAATGACGGAAATCTGCTGGTTTTGGTTTGAATAATTGTCTCGTAAAATCAGGGAAAACGACCTAGAATGGATGATGGATCAACATTGACGGAAAGAATAGTGAAAGATTATGATTTTCCATTTAGATCCTAAACTAAGTTTTCTTTAGTTCATCACCGAATGCAATTCCATTACTACTAGGTTTCTAACAATTTCCACCTATATTTTAAACCGAATATTGAAATTTAGAAAAAAATAGCTCTTCAGTTGTTATAATTTGTTTATTAAGGTTTACTGCGATTTTCGGCTTTTAATACATGTGAACGAGTGGACAGGTATGAATGATCTGTAAAGGTACCCTTATTTATACACATCTGTGGCTTATATATTCACCCGTATTTGCAAGTGTTGTCGGGCCTTTAGTTTCTCTTCATTATTTTTGGATTCATTTCTGTTTTTCTCATTTGCATTCTCAATCAGGCCATTGTCAGCTGGTATTAAGAACCCTCTGAAAGTAAAATACAGGTATCACAAGGTACAGAGGTATAAATTACCTGTATAAATACTTGTGATGTACACACAACGTTCGTGATATCCGCATCCACGTCAACGCCAAGCGTTAACCCGGCGGTGAAACGGATAGGATTGTCACATCCTCCTTGAGGCTCGTTCATCACCGCACTAGCTCGACGCAGTTGATTCTCCAGCACAAGTGGGCGCAGCTGGTAACTGCCAACAAGAGATTGCAGATGGTCGACGATTACGGATGGCTTGGTTATATTGCACTCGACAAACTCTTGAAATAGGCTGAGTGTTCGAATGAAAGACTCTTGATTCCGCTCGCTGGGGCAATGCAATTTATTTTGAGATCGTATTCTTGCGAGAAGTTGCTCCCAAACACTGACTGCAACGCTGTTACTCTGGAGTGCTTTAGAGCTGTTCCTATGGAGGTAGATGATGAGCAGGCTGTGAGCTACTAGCCTAATTTCCCTGATCATTTCACGTTGTTCCGAGTCCAAGCCAACGAACAATGTGTCCATTTTGTAAGACAGCACAACAAGCTCTTCTACCAGCTCCGGAGTTAGACTGCCGCAATTACAACACAATATCGACGGACTGTCCCAAAACTGGTCAGTCTGAACGTCAAGTATGCAGATTTGAGTCTTGAGGTACAGTAGGGCACAGTTTGCAGTCGCTGAGAATCTTGACTTAACCTTCGCGAGATGTTCCAGATCGTTAGCCACATTCCGCAGACTAGCCTTCTGCAAATTTTTATCTGAGTTTGATAAAGCTTTAACCGCTATTGATAATGTCTTGGCCAAGAATGTATCAGGAAGCTTTGAATCTGAAAGCAAAACAAAAAATTCATACAATTTCTGATAAACGGACATAGTTCTCCAGCAGGATTGAATCACTGTCATAAATAATGTTATTGCTTCAAGTTACTGGCGCTAAAATTACATCTTATCCGAAGTAGGAAAATAGGTGAACGTACCAACGTGCTGTCCGACTGGATAAGCATATTCACGTGCAGCCCACGTGTGCTTTAACGTGTCGTCTAACGAAATCTCTGGCAGTAACTCCGGGTATTGATCGCGCAGGTATGGATAATGTCTTCGTGTGTGAGAGGGAAGGATAGGCACAATCGTAGGACTGTTTAGTGCAGCATTAAGTACGATCACGACCATTCCTACATACGCAGGATCATCTACATCTGGTTCGGAAGTGGCGAAGAACGGATGGGTTGATAACAGTTCTGGAACGAGTGCAACCGCGAGGTTCTGATGTTGATTTCCCAAGTGTTTCAGACAACTAAATTCATCAAAAGAAAATCAAGTCAAAATATCGTCACACGAAAATGTGATCCATAATTACAACACGACGACATTTTGTGTGTGCTTTGAAAAAATCCTAAAAACGACTTCGTGACGCCATTTATAGGATTACTTTTTTTGTCAAATATCAATTACTTCGAAAACTCATTATGTGTGTGTGAAAAAAAGTTAAAATAATTAAAAAAGTTACTAAAACTGAATTAAAAAAAGTACTTTTCAGAAGCCTTTACAATCATAAACATTTTTGGTGAAATTTCGTGTTAAACTTACTTCCATATTGATTTTTTATCCTGGGGATATTTTGTCAAATTCCCAAGCAAGGCATAAATAGCAGCGTGTAGGCAAGCACGGGTTGACAGTTGGCAATGGCTCAGTAGTTCACGTACGGCATCTCTGATCTCTCCAGAGAAATCCTCCAACACGCCTAAAATTGTCTCCAGTTGATCTTCCCGCAAGATCACATGTCGACTGATCTTTCCCAGGCTGTGGATAGCATTCAAACGCACGCTTTCGATCTCATCGTTAAACATGTCGACAAGAAAGTCAAGAGATAGTCGTGCGAAGTCGGGGTGTTGGTCAGCAAGCTCGCACAGGGAGTCTACCGCGGCCGAGCGAACCTATAGTGATAAGGTGCGATTCTCCATCAGGGCTAGTTAATTATGTATATGTATGTACATGTTTTACTAAAATCATACAGGTGACGTTTGTCACAGACGGTGAGCGAAAAGTTGAACATGCAGGGAAGTTAGTTGTTAATGGTTACTGAAAGGTATTATATAATGGTTACTATCTGCCACTAGTATAGGGAATTGTCCGATGTCGTTGCGTTGGGTATGCAAATGTACGAAATGTAAAATGACGCCCTTTTACAGCTGCTACAAGTCGTAGTGGCGGTCACACCACCAGGCTGCACTGATGGCTGCTCTGACAATAAACTGGATAGAGCAACTATTCCAAAACCTTCATACAAAGGGCGAAAATGTGCCTTTGAGAAAACTGACCTCCAGGAGTTCATCTTCGAGACCATAAACGAAAGCGCCACATGCTCCACTGTCGATTAAGGAAACTTCTTCAGGATTTAATTCAGATGAAGGAACATGATTCGTCGTTCTCGTCGCCCATTTCGCACTTCCTTTCAATCCTGCAGCGTGGAGTTCTCGTTGCTGCTCGTGATCTGTTTTCTTTCTCTTCACAGTAAATGTACACACATCATTAAGATATATTCTCGTTCATTAATTGCTGATTTAGCAATATTGTTTTATCAAGAAATGTATTAATATACGAGACTTTAATATCATTTCTTCCTATTAATCGTTGTTTATTGTTGACAGAAGTGGTTTTCGTTTACTGTACTTCACTTTTCTGGTTTTTTTTTCTTAATTTCACTTTTTTGTGTATGTATTTGTCTAGCTGTAACAATGCGTAAATCCCTAAAGTGCATCGGGACTGCAGATTAAGGTGAATCGTTATGGTAGGGAAACATTGTTTGTGCATAACCAACTTTGTTCTATGTGCCTACAGTAAAGTAGAACCATGACCCGAGTATTTAAGATCCTATACTGTAATTTGCACTTTGGCGTACAGTCAGTTGTCCTGAGCGGAGTTGTTTGTTGCTGGTTCAATATTTCTAATTTCCCTACACCTACAGTACGGTTGTGATATTTTTCCACTAGTTTTTTCTTTAAAGCTAGTTGTGACTAGTTTTTTCTGTATTACGTAGGTTATTGAGCACATCTATATCAGACTTACCTTTAGATGGGACATGACTTTCTTGTCCAAGGTTTGTTGTAAATATCGGGGACTGACGAGATGCAAAGAACCCAATAATCCTGCAGCCTGAGCTCTCACTTTCATCGAAAGATCATTAACCATCTGACAGATTCTGACAAACGCATCGTCTATACATCTTCTTTCGTCTGTCGATGTTGACAATATTGGACTGCGATAGAAACAAGGACACTTATCGTATCTTGTAGTCTGAATTTAGTTTAAAAAGTTACGGTATACTAATCCTGAACTACTAATTCCGCTCGGCTTTCGCGCCCGTAAAATATTTGAAATGCAGTACATGAAGATTCATGGTGCATTTATTATAAAAGATATTTAAGAACAACATGAGTCAACTAATCCTTTTTTAATCTTTTTAGAATTAATACGCATTTTCATTTTTCACAAAAAGAAAATGTTTTACTCGTCCACACTTTTGCAGAAAAAGGTTTTTAGATGAATGTTAGAAAAAGGTGTTTTCTGAAATGAACGTATGTACATGTACTCACCGCTCAGGATACAGCTGACTAATAACCCACAGTAGTTTCACCGCTTTCAGACGAACTTCTTCATAGTCATCATGTAAGGCTTCGCAAGCACTTCCATACACATCTGGAGCAAGCTTGATATTTCGTTCATGAAGAATTAACTGATGGAAAGTAAGATAAAAAGACACTGCTACAGTCAGCGACAGCGGGGTTTTATTTCTACAATAATTGTAAGGTGAAAGTCTTTCCCACCGTACATGCATGTTGTATGGTAATCATACGATATGGGTTATACCATTTGTTTCTACGCCAATTATATTACTATGCAGTATATTATAGCTTAATGTTAATGTTTCCAAACATATTTTTTATTTCCAAATGACAAACTGAACTATATACTTAAAAATATGGTGATTTGTAAACGATATAAAAAATTTGTTTTTTTAACCCTTGTAAGTTCATACAGTAGGGCAAGACAACTAATAGTTTCAGGCTATTTTGGGGTTTTCTTTCCATTGGGCTATTGCAGCTGGGCACAAGGCAACAGGTGGGATATTAATAATATATGTACTAGTAGGAAAGGTTGAAGGTGATGCAACATTTATGCATACTCATGCAGAATATAAACCAAAATAAACTTCTTACTAAGGCCTCCAATGCAGCTGTCCTGACACGGGGATCTTGATCTGATGTGAATTGTTGAAGAGTCCCAAGAGATTGGATTTGTTTGTTGCCATCACTTAGATTTTGTTCAGTGTCCATTGTTGCAATAATGCTTAGGCAACGACACCTTACTAGATGGTTTGAGTTTTGTAAATGCTAAAAATAATTGTATATTGTCAGTTTTACAGGAAGTAGATCAGAGCAGGGAAAAGAAGAGGTCATTCTTCTGGGTGGTAACAAATGATATTATTATACTCTTAGCTAGGTTTTGGCTATTGAGATATTATATATGTTTGCCTTTTTACTCATCTAGGCTTTGTACTTTTATTTTCTTTAGAGTAGTTTTCCTCCCCGATGACACAATATATTTCATGTTCAAACATTTTATAGTTTAGATTATAATATATAGCTACAGTATCCCTTCGGACATGTACCTCTTTAGCGAGATCAATAATCCTTGCATGGAGTTCAACCTGAAAACATAAAAAAAACATGATGAATATTCAATGTCAAAAGCATTTTAAAAACTGTGCTTTAAACAGTATGTGCACCTCTGACGGCAGGAATTTCCCAACAATTCCAAGAGTACTAAGTATTTCAGTTACAACATTGTGCGATTCTACAACAGAAATGCACAAGGATTAGAAATGAAATGGAAAACCACAATTCAATATCACTTTACGATAAATAATGATCTTAGCCTTCCAACTTGGCACCAATGCACTGGTATGACACATCATTGGGAAGCAACTGGGCAAATTAATTTAACTATTAAAATAATTAATATGAGAGATCCTTAATATTGTCTGTCAGGCATGATACACAATATAATGTTAGTGGTCATACAAAAGTTTCTTTTTTTTTAATTTTTCGGTACCAAAGTTCCAAGACTACTGCTGGATTCAACAAGGCATTTTATGGGTGCTGACTTTCATGTTAGACATAATCCAGATAATTTAACATTGCTAATGTGCCAATTATTTGCTACGTATATGTACTTTAAAGAAAAATGTTAAGACAGCTCACCAACCACCTTTTTACTTGTACTCACCTTCTTTGGTGATACACCTGATGGCTTCTTCTACAATATATCGTAGGTTTACACCAGGGTACCTCAATAACACGCCCAAGATAGAGAAAAGTTTGACTTTGTTTGCAACATCTTCTTCTTTGTTAGCTCTCTCCACAATAACTTTTGCAGCAAATTCAGTTTCCTCCACAGACTCCAGAGGTAACTGCTTCCAAAACTTTAATAAAATGCTCAATACTTCTCGTGTTGAACGACTGTCCGAAAGGTCTTTTGATAGTTTTCGTGCTTCACTCAAAGTTGGTTGCTTCAACCGTTTGCTCAAGCGAAGGGTATGCTGTCCACTGTCACTCTCAGCACTTGTATGCCCATCAGTAGGACTTGTTATTATAGTGGTGGAACCCGCACTGGAGCTAAATCTTCGTTTCATTTCTTCTCAATAGTTTTTCGTACTGTAATACATACTGTATTTCAATCTTGATAATAATAATAATGGTTTATTAGCATTCCACAAAGGAATTTGATTAATCAATTTACAAAAGGAAGCAAAATTACAATACTCTTATGCACCAATAGCCCACAAAATTTAAAAATTATATACAGTATGAATATATATTAAGGTTAGAAAAAAGAAAGGATAGTGATTTTAAAAGTACTCTTAAATTCTAGGATTTACATATAGATCCCCAACTAATTAGATATTGAAGTAATTAATAAATATTTTTATTTCATGCGACATCGAAGTCCTGTACCGTACCTTGTCTAAAAGTTCATTTATTTTAATGTGATAAAAAACCAATTCTTGATGAAATTTCCGCCATATTGCTTTTCGCTACATTATCATGCAAATACTTCATGTAGGTGGTATTCTGAACCGGTAATATCGACATTCGTCAAAGAATATGCACAACCCGAAATAAAATCCAGTGAAAATATTTTGAAAATCCAGGCAGGGATCTCAAGGGGTTGTGTGGGTGCTGAATTTCGATGTCGCGCTATTTCTAGTGCTCCGAAACGTGCCAAAGACAAGCCGAGAGCCCTCAAAAACGTGTACAGGGGGTAAACCCATGTTTTATTGTTATTTGTTTAAACGCACACAACAACGGCCTTTCCTAACGTTTCCGGGATTAACCGAAGCAGAAGACGGTATCCATAGACCATATTTACAGATCTCGCTCATTCGGAGGACGATATTCCATATCTATAATGTCAAACACATCCCGTTCGCTGCTAACAGGAAGAGGTTCACCAGCATAACCTGCATATAATAAAGAAACAACATACCATTGAAAACAGCCCGTTATAAATCTTATGTATTCAACAGGCAATAAGTATAGCATTGTGTGAGCATTAAATGGGAATATTTATTCCCATACAACTGCATATTTCAAATACAGGCAAAGCCAAAGAGTTTGTATTGTACATTGCTGTAAACCAACTCCAACTTACCCGTGCTTCCGACAAGCCTATACAAAAAAGAGCAGGCGGTTAGTGCGCTTACAATGGTTTTCGGAGAATGTCGTAAATTTCGAATGTTCGTACCAAAACTGTATTACAAAATACAAAAATGATTTAAAGTTATATCCAAGCCGATAAGTTGGAGGAGGATTTTTGAAAAACCGGGCGAAGCCAATTCAAAATCTGGATATCTTTAAGAATTTATCTAATTACTAATACATAGAATCAGAATTTTGTTTAATTTTAGTACTTCCAACAGTAATTCCTCGCCCATAACATACAGCATTAATTTCAATGGCGAAACAACTCGAAATTCCCAGGTGCACCGTGCACGCTAAAATGATTGCAAACGGCGGAATAACTACGACCATTTATAAAATTGGTAATTTCTTTAAAGAATCTAATATCCACTATTACCTGATATTGTATTCATTTAAGGTAAATCCCTTCTCCAATGCATGTTGTCTCATTTGACGGTTAAATTCGTCACTTCCAGTAAAATACAGTATTCCGCAGTAAAACTGATCAGCAGGGATCAACCTGGTTGCCGTGAAAGAAAAACTTGTGATGACTTGAACTGTGCTTGAACCGATCTCAGACTCTTACATGTCAGTAACGACGAGTCGGACGAGAGAAAAACTATGAAAAAAATTGAGCTGGCTAACCGTATGTCCAACCGACGATAAACTTGATTCGAACTACCTTCATCACGGTTTAATCTACAAACACCCTGAAAAAGAAAGATGAATTTACTTATAGATAGACGTGCGGTATACCTTTAAATGGTCAACATTGTGCGTACCATGAATTTAAGTTCCCCTTGAGATAAGGTGTCTGTTATATATTCCAACTTTTTTAAATGTTCGACAATTTGGTTCAGGTGTATACCCTGTGCAAAAGATTAGAAAAAATTCAGCCTCAGATTTTCCGCGCGTCCTCTGAATGTAAGAGGGTAGCTAGGAAGCGCTTTCCCCTAGAAGCATAATTTCCAAGATATCATCGTGCCAAATATCAAAAAAGGGAATATTTTACATTCGGGAAGTTTCTTTTATAGCCCCTGTAAAAAACGGTAAACGTAAGACCAGATCCCATTACCTTGTTTTTATCTTTTGTTTCAGATGTAAAAGCAGGATGACTGACCAACATATCAATGTCTCCGCTGCTTTCTTTTCCTGCAAAATCAACATACATTTTACAAATTAATAGCTGCATGTCAGTTTGTAATACGTTGGTCGCTGTCACAGTCTACAAGCTAACATTAGTTTATTTTACTCGTTTTTCATTCAACGCTTAGTGTCTGCGATGGTTCGCGTTCAGTTTCTATCCTTCAAGTCATATGGGTCACACAGTTAGCTGAGTAGAGTTGAAATGCTAATAAGGTCCGTGCCAAAACATTGGTCAGAAGCCCGCTCATGCCCCGACTAACACGTCGCCATCCCATATACCCAGTTTTTGACACTGATGCATCAATAAAACACAGCAGCCATTCCAACACCTGCCAATTTTAAAAATACTACTCCCTTCCCCTTTAAAAATACTTCGCCCTATAAATTACAATGAAGTCGTCCCTTTTCCAAAGCATGCAATTGAATTAGTTTAGTTTAGTTTAGTTTAGTTTAGTTTAGTTTAGTTTAGTTTAGTTTAGTTTAGTTTAGTTTAGTTTAGATCATAATACTCCGCGAATTTGTGCTCACCTCTCCTGAAACTACCGCAGATTTCTGCCGTATATTTCTCATCCAGCTTTGCAATTTCTGCCATAAGAAATTCCTAGCATGATAAAAAGTAAAGTTAATCGCAAGAACTTGCTATCCGGCAATCACACTGCTAGAATAAACCAGATAAATAGCTACCTGGTGAAGCACCATCTCAGATCTAGGAATTCTTCGTTGAAAATCTTCAAAGTGCCTATATGTTGAAAGAATTCTACCCTATAGACTTTGCACCGTGCATTGAATACGATATTGTTACTAAGAGTTAGGAATATCTACTTCACGCGTGTTTGCACACAGCGAACCTTCGTCTAATCATTTATTTATATTACTTAACATCAAGAATCACTCAAACACAAAGCAGTTTGAATAATAGAAAATTACGACAGGGGAAATAAATGTTCTATTATATGCATGGCGTTATATTATCAGTGGCGACTGATGATTAAAAGTGTTAACATAGTCTTACTCGAGTCCAATTCTCTGATGATGGTTTAGTTGGTCTTTGGCCTTCTTAAGATCTACAATGAAGTATCCCACAGGAACACGTTGGAAGTGTCACGTTGGACGGTGATACCGAAGATTACATACACACTTATCATAGCTATATCTTTCATCATTGTACATGCTCTATTGTTAGGCTTTAATAATGTCAGAGAAATTATATGGTATATATTGGATTTTTATAGGCCTTTTCATTCCGTGAAATCAACGCGTAAGAAAAAATTAAAATTAATTTCTAAATCGCTAGCGAGTAAATTATGCACCTTCAATATTTTTAATTCCGTTGTCAATAAACTTCTTGGCTGCCACAGGCCTGAAAACCGGCAAAAAATATTGCTACCAACACTTTCCGGGTTAACTATTGTAAGGTCATGCATTTCGAAAGTTACTACATAAAATTGTAGGGCAAACCCGATTCCAGAGACTTTCATCAGCGCACAAATGGCCGAATTTGACTCGTCTCCACGAATCTCAAAAGATAAAAAGAAAATACATGACTGTATCTTACATTCGCCCTTATAAATCTATATTTTTACATCAAACAATAACAATTCACTATACCGAGACTTTTGCACCTTTTTAGTAAAAAAACTATATAGTACCTTCTCTAATTTTCCAAGCTTTCCGGTTTCAATATATTCGTCCAATTTCTTTGCAATTTTGTCACCAATTCCAGGCTTCATTTGAATATCAAAGGAAGAGAGTATAATTGCATTTTATTTAATCCATTCAATCATCAATCAAGTTACCACTTAATAGTAACACAGTAAATGCGTTTTTTTCTTCATATTTATGCATGATATAATAATGGTTTTCAGTGCCATTTTCAAAAACTTGAAATGATCGTTTTCCCATTTATTGCCCTTTTTTCATTTTCCCATCCACTTTTCATTTTCTAAAGCAGAACTGAACATTAAACATGCAGTATACCAATTTTCTTGCTTCTTTTCCACTTGTTAATTTCGTTGGATGTTTGGCCAAAACGGCAGCAGCTTTTCTGAGAAATTGTATTTATTAATAATAATTAAAATCACTTCCTGACAGATCGCTATTCTATAAATAAATATCATGGCAAATAAATCGGACATCCTGCGCGCGGTTGGTCGTTTTTGGACAGTCGTTAAACTGAAGGAAGTGAAGCAGAAATCTTTGTTAAAACTGCTTCCGTCCAAAAGGTTAAAATAAGGCTTCTATCTGAGCTAAAGAAACAACGGGCTCGTTTTGTAATAAAAGAAATTGCACAAAAGAAAGGTCTTATACCTGTAAGCAGTGTATTTGTGAATTTGTCGATTCACATTCCGTTCATACTCGGCCAATTCTAAATAAGAACATGACACAAACATGTCCAGTAGCGCGTGTTGATATTTGATATCATATTTGGTAGGGGTATCACACTAAGTATTTACAAGAAAAAAGTCTCTACAACCACAAGGCTATAGTCAGGCTTGGGTAGAATTGGCATATTGATTATCAGAGAAAAACGTCAAAAAAACTTTTTTTCCATTTACGAGAATGGGCACAAAGAATTTATGACCGCATTATTTTACTTTCCAATTATACAAACATATATAATACCTGCCAGTACAAGACAACAATACCTTCCCGGCCATGCTTGCCTTGCGATCATCATAGTGGGGAGGGCAGCTAGAAGACTATTTTGTCAAGAAACTGATTATAGAAGTAATAATTCATTCCATCCAAAAGCTTAAGAGCCTTGACTTCAATTGCCTATATTTTAATAATCCCATTTATATCACAAATCATAAATTTCAGACACTACTATATACCAAATCATATTGCAATTTGCAGGCATTACTATATTATTAAAAAAATCAAAAACGCAAAATTGTTTAAGCAAATTAAGATTTAAATAAAAAATAGCATTAATGCATGCACATAAAGGCAAATATTCCACAAACAACAGCTAGTTGCACCCTAACTGTGGTTGCATAGGAGCATATGCATATTTACTTCAAAAATATGTCATTGTATTTTTTATACAGAATACAAGAAAATGTTGTACTTGCTGTATAAATTCAGCTGAATTAAATGTAGCTTATCAAATAAAAGGACAAGTAAAAGGATGTAAAAGCGCAAAATTATTAAGTAAAAGGATGTAAGGGACATGCAAAGAGGATTTACACTGTACTGTAACCAATCTAGGACTAGGGGGATATCCACATGCAATATTGGATATATCTCACTTGCAAATGTTAAAAAAGCAAGCTTTGAAATTTTCAAATCTTAAAATTAAGACTTATATGAGAATCCAAACTCCAAAGAATCATGGGAAACAACATGTGATGTATCCTAATTTGGACAAATTACTGAAATTAGTCTTGTATATAAATACCCATTTGGGTATGAAATGGTATTTTAGGTCAACTAGATCTCACGTACATTATGAATAAGCTGAGGCCTGGGTTTTTGTTGGTCCTCAAAACTTTTTTGAATTAGCATTTGGCCATTAATTAGAGATATTCTGTGCAATTAGCTGATCATCAATTTACCCCTCGGCTTCCACCTCAATCTATTTGGATTTTTACTCTATAGTAATAGTCCTGCAGGCTACATAGTCAAAAGAGCTGTAATAATTATTATGAATAATAAATACTTTTTACTACCATTTAAAATGTTACAAAATTCAGCATTTGGGCCATCATCTTCTCTTTTACGTTTACTCATATTTGCTGGAGTCACCTCAAAATGCCACTGTTTCAGCTCGTATTTCTGAAATAATCATCTTTTACCAAGCATCTTATTTGAATTCGAAGGGAACAGGGAACTTCAACATCGCGTTCCTGGGGATATAACGAGATCAGTGACTAAGAGGTCACTGACACTGAGCTTCTTCTGTTATTCTTGGAGGGCACGCTCCCGCCCAAAAACGAATTCCAGAAATTTCATATAGAGCTCGTTGGTGTGGCTAGAACAGTTCAATGGTACAGTAAGCAACTCTCTATGCACCCACGCGCTTTAAGACATTCTGACATTGGTAAAAAAACTGTCTGTAGACTGTAGTTAGCCTACTTTTGCTCCTGGGTACGGGGCTGATTTTTCATCTTTGATTGTGCACGATCTCGTGCCCCGAACCCGCGATTGTGCGTAAAATGCGAAATATAAAAGGAACAAAATTCACATCTAAAAAATGAAAATTTCACCGCATGCAAGTTTTCTGTTAGTTAGAAAGATCTATTATACAATTACAAAGGGTAAAAAGTTAAGTGACAGAAGTTGGTACGTTGAAATCCATGCATTTTCAGAGATATGAATCATATGATTTAAAAACCAACCAAGGTTGGCACTTTGCTGAGTGTCCATAGTAAAAAAGTATCTGAAACTACACAGAACACAGAGTAGGAAAACGACTTCAGAAAAACGTCAGTACGTTTTGCATATGGTACATGATTTCCATCATTCTCAACAGTAGGTTTTAATACATGACAAGTCATTTCCCACAGGAACAGGGCTATTTCAAGTGATGTTGCTGATTTTGTCCAATTTTAACACTTTCAAGTTCTGTATGTACTGTATTACTATCTGTGTGTGTACTAGTTCCCTCTTAGTGATTTCCTTATCTTTTTAACTTTTTACTAGGTTCCTCGGGACTTTCTCTATTTTGTCGACTCTTGTTTAAAGCTTTTTGACAAATATTTAGTAGTTCACGTGTCTGTTCGATATCTTTTCTCCTGTTTAATTCCTGTTCACAGTTGTCAAAAATGAGCCGAACCTCTTTCACAGGACAATTTATTTCATCTTTTAAAGTCTCCAGTCCAAGTTCCCTGATTTTCTCCAATTCCTCTGTTGATAGAGAAAAGCAAAACATTGCAGGATCATCAAGAATTCTTTTTTTTATTGACAAAGGTAGCCTAACTGGGCCATCACACTCATCAAGGCCATGATAACTTTCTTGTTGCTCACTGTCACTATGGGCTATTCCTTCTACATCTAAAAAAAATAATATATAGTAGTAATTATATAGTAGTGTGCAATAGACAGTGATTGCTTTCCAAATGTACTATTCCAGCAACTGACCCAAGTGATAAAGGCAACATGTGGGACTCACATCAAGGGGAAAAGCAAGTTTAACTCCAAAATGTACCATAAGACCAATTCTTTCATGTACCCCATTTACCCAAGGTGATCTGATATACACAGTGAGAACATGAGAACAAACTTAATACTTCAAGTCCTTAATAAACAACAAGCAAGTTGCATCAGCAGATTATTTATAATTTGGATGGGCAAGGAGGCTGTAAGGAGGCTTTTACCTACACACCATCATTAGGCAGTGTTTTTCCAGAAATAAAATCTTAGATATATGTGTCTAGATGTGATTTTTAATTCACTAAATGGCCATATAACATGCCACATGTGCCAGTTGCCACATGAAGTTTACACTGTATGGAGATGAACATATTGAGAGATTATACTATATTTTACATCATCCCTTTTGCAAACTCGTTTGAGACAATACTGTAGAGTGTACACAGTACACGTACACTGTACATGATGCAATTGGTTTTCAAAAAACGACTTAATCCTAAATCAAAACTTACAATGAATATCCTCAGATCTCGTTTTCACCCATTTTCCATTACTTGCTGTAACCATAAACAAAGTTTGTGGCGGTAAAAATTGAAAATACTCGTCACACACAACCTCAGTTCCATCACTTTCCAGAAAGACACGGCAATCAGGCTGTAGCATAAATTGTTCACAAGAGATACTCCTAAGTTCCTGCAATGTTGAGCAAACTATACCCTTTTTCCTTTCGCGAGAAGAATCGCAGATTTTGAACGGTCGCGATCTTTGCAGACCTCGCTCGTTACCTTCAGATGAAATTTTGATTTCCATAAATGTCGAACTAATTTTATGATTTGAATATAGAATTAAATAGACTAAAAAGCTGCTTTGCACTCAAGTAGATTTAAAAGCTGGTTGCACATTATTCAAATTACCAAATTCTTTAGAATTTAGCCTTTATATTTATTATAGAATACAGCTCAGAAGAACCATCATGGGTTTGATGTCCTCCGCCATCTTGAATTTGACCCAGAGACCTTGACCCCAGCCTCGTTCCCAGGCGCTTTAAATAAAATAAAATATAGGAACACTACAGGCTTTTTACATAGATCAGTGGCTAAGCAGAGCGAGCACGCAAGGAATTTTGGGGAGGACGCGACGGAGAAATGGAGCTTCTTTCTCTGCGTCCTCCCCGACCTCCCCAAAATTTCTTGCGTGCTCGCTCTGCTTAGCCACTGATCTATGTAAAAAGCCTGTAGTGTTCCTATATTTTATTTTATTTAAAGCGCCTAAGAACGAGGCTGCCCTGACCCAGTCACCCAGTAGAGCGCTGGAGCCATGGAACGAGCGTTGAGGCGTCGAGACGGTCGATTATCGGTGAAGTAATTAGCTAAACCTCTCTATTAGCCTTTCTCACGAATAAATGACACTGGTATGGTGTTATTCCGTTCGTCGAAGGAGAACGCTTCCTAGAAGTGTCATATCGAGATTTGCGATGTCAGATTTGCATCGTTCTGATGTGTCGTCATCAGTGGCGTAGCCAGCCTGACAATTTAGTCATGCTATGCTAATATTTTGGTGATCATTGACTGTGAAAACAATGAATTTCCAAAGAAATCAATAATTCTAATGACTTGAAATTTGCATAGCATGACCAAATTGTCAGGCTGGGTACGCCACTGGTCGTCATAGTAACTGGAGACCATGTGCTCGCTCTATTTTGAGATTTTGTTGTTAATTAAAGCATATGAGCCATCACTATTGTTAAATTACTCATTTTGTGGGTAACCTAATCACATACGCTGTGACGTTATGTTAACATTTTTGTTAATGATCGGTAACCGAAATCAACACACTCCGAATGCACATCACTAATCTGTGATTACTACTAGTTTATAATAATTTATTTCTAAACCTTCAGAAATCAAACTACTGTTATAACCTAAATGTCTAAACAATTTTCGAAGCCCACGGGTGCACAAACATGCACAATCGAATAAAATACTGCTCATTAATTTCGCACCGGCGTTGTTCAAGGTTGTGCTTTTCACTGGCAGATTTCGATCAAGAACCTTTCTCAAAACGTGTTTGTACGTACGTATTTTTTACGTCTGGATATAAGTCTGGACGATAAAAATTTTCTTTGCCATGCATTATCGTGCAGAAATTTGCAGAATATAACAACCCTAGGTTTTGATGTATATTTAAACCAAATGTAGATACCCATTTTAAATTAAATTTTACCGTTTCGGGTTTAAATTCGCTTAGGATCCCCCAACGAAGAAATCCTAAAAAAAAACTCACGCAGCCAAAGCGGCATTTTTAAGACCATCGATATTTAATCCCGCGTCTTTAATCGCTTGAAAATTTTGATATTAGGTTTGCTAGAAAATGGCATCTTTCTAGTAGCATCTGACTTATAGCTGCCTTGGTAACTTGCTTTACCAACGAATGTTTATTTGCATGCAAATAGAGCGTATTATAGAGCGTTTATACCGTCATGCAGTTTAGATTCTTCCAACTGTGGAAGAAACATGCAATCGTTGTACCTTTTTTCCATGCACATTTTAAAACGCATAGTAAGAATTGTCTTTAGCAATAGCTGCTAAAAAATTTTGGTATCAAGCAACGCAAAAAAAAATTGAAACTGAAAGAAATCGAAAATTGAAAAAATTGCATTAATAAATCACACGTAAACTGGATATTGTGCATCGTTTTAATATTTGAATTACAAATAAAAAAAATCGATCTAAAATAATTAGAGAACATTATATGGTTGCGCAGAAGTGAGCGCAGCAAACGAGTGAGCAATATTCTCTTCAACATGAGGAATAAATCATATTTCCAAGCAACCATGTAATATTCTGTTTACTATAATGAACAAATTATAACAATTATAACATATCTTTCCGCACGTAAAAAAGATGCGTAAGGGCTGCTTTCCACTGTCGCGGTTTTTGTACGTACCTTTTACGCGTGCCTGTAATATATACGTGCAAAAACGCGACAGTGCAAAGCACCCCTATAAGCTGAAAGCTACCCTAAATATCTATCAATGTTTTACTCAGTCCCTATTGGCGGATCGTTATTAAGGTTTAATGTATATAATATATAAATGTCAAGAGAACAGTGTTCAAATCACCCCATTCGTGCTCGTTTTTCGAAACCGTTGACATTAAATTTCATTAAGACAAAATTAAACCCTTCTAAAAATATAAAAATTTATAAAAAAAATATCTAATGTTTCCTTATACCTATTCACGCTTTCGAGCGATCGCTTTGAACGGTTTAGGTGGAAATTTTCCCGCCGCTTTACCACGTTCCAATGTCGGCATGGGATCATCTTCATTGACCTCAAACTTATACCGCTTCAACATTCTTGATATGAAGAACATTATCTCTGCTCTGGATAAATTTTCGCCAGGGCATGATCTGCTACCAATACCAAAAGGCATAAATCCTGGCTTCACACGCCATCCAACGAACTTCCCATTTTCATCGATGAATCTGTCGGGGTTGAACACTGAAGGATTCTTCCAAACATTTTCATCTCTATGAATGCAGTGGTAATTGAAGAAAATGGTTGTTTCTTTTGGAATGCGATAGCCTTGCAATCGTGCTTCTTTCACCGGGTTATGAGGAAGAGACATAGGAACAAAATACGAGTGTCGCATCACTTCACAAACAGTCGCTTGCAAGTACGGAAGCTTAGATATATCTTTCCACTGGAGCACTTCATCCCCCTGCAATACTTCGTCGATTTCGTTTTGAAGCTTTTTCTGCAAATCTTGATTAAGTATTATATATAGCAGGAACCAAACATAAAACGTGGCAAATGTATCAGATCCGGCAAGCATGACACCGGCCGATAGAAAGGGAACACAGTCTGTTTCCACTTTAAGATGTGTGCACCAAGCCATTAAAGATTCCATGATATTTTGATATTCTTCCTCGTCAAAATCGTTTGGATTTTTTCTTGACTTGAGAGAAAAAGCTTTCACTTTCTCTTCCGCCGCTGTTATAAAAAGTTTTCGTAATTCATCTTTTAAATTATTGATACCTCTTACATGTTTGGTAGGAAAGTGCTTTAATACGGGAATAAGACGATATAAAGGACCGGAAAATATGCAGGAGAAAAATGCTTTGTTAAAAGCACGCAATTTGCCAACAGTACCATCTTCAATGTTATTTGTCTTACCAGTTATCCAACGATAAAATATAGAAGTTATAGAGCTCTCGAAAATGTCTGAAGGGTCAAAAGGCTGCCCGTTTAAGCTTTCAACCGCCTTGGAGAATTCATCCAGTTGGTCGTTTACATTTTCATGTATAATCTTTTTCCCCTCTCCAAAAGTATGCAAAGCCTTTACAAATGCTTGACGCTTAAGTCGAAATTTATTATCCCAATCGCTTGTCGCCAGATCTTTTTCTTGTAATATTTCGTTTAGTGGGTACATCACACTCGGAATCCGACCTTGAAAAGTATCTTTTTTTGTGAGGAGAGCTTCTCGTGCAGTTGCTGCATCAGTTACCATTACGACGTTTTCTGTAGGAAGAACAAGTGTAAAAGTGTTTCCATATTTTTCACGAAACTTATCGGCTGAGAACGGAAGATCATCGTCCAATATCAAAAGAAGATTTCCAATGATGGGAAGTGGAAATGGACCTGGAGGCATACCACGTCTATTGTAGCAGGTCTTCAAGAACCATGTAAATAATATGATCAAAATGGAACCAACAACTTCTAAAATCATTCTTCCTACATCGAGTGAAAAAGTAGTTTTGTTAACTAAAAATGACGAAGAGATGCGTTATATAAGAAAAAATTTGCATCTTCAGCAGTATTTTAGATATACACATAGCACCGAAGCCGCAAACGAATGCGTAAAGAAGGAAATAATTAAAGGCGTTGTTGACTAGATTATGTATTTGTTTGCCTCAGGGTGATCATGAAGCATGGTGTTTGTTTGCGGTGTTTGTGTTTATGTTTAAAGAATGGTAGCAAAGTCCACGAGACAATGGACTTAGGAAGTCTTTGATCCACAGGATTGCGGTACGGACGTTAAACTTCTGGCTTAAACGTCTGGCAGTGTACGAAAGTTAAACTTGTGACGGCATGCGTAGCATTTTGGGTATTATTGCATTGTAAGTGGCAAGAAAAGTCGCATAGTGTAACGCCGTTTTTAAGTGGTACAAGATTCAACAGATCTTATCTGTGCTTGCGTATGTACAGAGCTTCCTTCCATGTGAGGAGGTGTTATCAGTGTCTAGTTTGGCAGCTAGGGATATTATCATGGCGTGGCTTTCAATAATCGAAAATAGTTTGGCATCATTTTCAGTCTCATGAATCACCGTAAAAAATAAAACCCCTACAACTAGAAAAACGACTGAAACTTGAAAAACGGCTTGAATTTCTCGATTAAACCACCTAAAGTGAACGATCAAAGCAGACATTCTCTCCACCTTTGAGAAGATTCACATCTGCACGATGCCACATAAATGAACATATATACACATGGCACAATGTTACGTTTCATCTTACTGCCCGACTCCAGGGCAGCCTTAAGAACCACTGTAGCTTGAAAAGTATCAGAAAACATTATCGTCCTAACAAGGGTAATGGTGTGGTTATAATGGTTATTATGGATTGAGTATAAGATTATTATAGAACTCCTGCTTCAACATTAATAACGATTAAATATATAGCTTTATATTATTGTCAGATGACCCTAAAAAGCTGTGTGGAGAAGTGAATAAAAACTTACTTACTTTAACAAGTACGATCGTACTATAGTGGACCGGGAACTGCGTAACCGAGTTTAATTTCTGAACTGCATTGTATTTACAACAATGGAGAGGACAATGTATTTCTAATCGTTTGCGTTTACTTATATATAGGCTGAATATTAATGATATGTATATATTATTTGCTGCAAATATATCAAGAATTGCTTGTAACTTGCTTCAAAGGTCAAAAGTAAAAATTCAATCTCCGTCAATCTATGCGGAATATTGCTTAGAATAATTGTGCCAAGTTTCATTCCGATCAAACAAGTAATGCTAGAGCCTTAGGGTTTTTTTAAAGAGCGTCGCCCCCTAACAACAACAACAAAACCAACAACAACAACAACAACAACAAGATTAGCAGCGGTTAGGGACCAGTTCCTGGTCCAAAAACAAGGCTTTATATATAGATGATAAAGTTTATCAGAATGTTATACCTAAAGGGTCACAACCAGCAAGATCATTGAAACAAAAAAGACCTCACACATTTATTTACTATAGCTATAGTACATCACAAAGACCAAATTAATGGCGAGGCAATGGGCTCTCCTTTAGCTCCTATTCTGGCTAATCTTAGAGAAATTGGGTTAATAATTTTTCGGGGGAAAGCCTCTTTTCTACCGGCGTTATTTGTGATGACGCGTTTTGCATGTTTGAAAACGAAAATGATGCGATTATTTAAACTCACGCGCCATGATATTATTATATCAGGTAATCAGGTTTACTTTTGAAACGGAAAAAGATAACAAATCTCGTACTACATTTTATCACAACTGAAACTTTCACGGGCCTTTTGCTAACTATTTTAGTTTTACGTCATTTCGGTACAAATTGGGTCTCAGCAAGATACTTGTAGTTCGCATTTACAAAATTAATAATACTGAAGACGGCCTTAATAACGATCTGAAAGAACTTACTAACACACTTCAACGCAACTCGTTCCCGTAAAATCTGTTGTTGAACGCATCATTAATTCCTACAACAGAAGGCAAAACGCAAAAACAAGAAACAATCCTAACACCAATTAGCCTAGTCAACAACCCAACATTCATTATTTCCAACTATAATACATAGTAGGACATTACTCTCATAAAACTACTATTTTGCTACTTCTCACAAAATCAAAATAATTTTTAGTTTTTAGGATGCAATACCTAGTCATCCAAAATTCCTTGCGGTTAATAAATTTACATGCGCAGGATGTAATTCCTGTTACATTGTTGAAACCACCCGTCATCTTGCCATAAGGATCAAAAAGGCAAAACAAAAGCTCACACATCTACAAACACCTAGTATAAAACCCTAGCTGAAAAATTACAAAAATGTAGGGAAAAAAAGGCTATGTGCAAGTTGGTGTGACCCCGGATATTATGGTTAGAATGTGTTAGAATATATTCGTTACGTTAAGTTTCAGCTTGCTTTTGAATGCATGAATGGACTCAGCCAGTCTGGTGTCGATAGGGAGACTATTCCATAACTTAGCTCCACTATATTTAAAGCTCTTTTTCAAAAATTCTCTTTTGGGCTTAGGAAGAGCCAGATCTGTATGAGTATTTCTAAGTTAATAGTTAGTTTGCATTTGATTGCCTCTAATCAAGGTTTTTTTTAACGTGGGACCTACGTAGTTGTTCAAGACTTTGTACATTAGTATTGATTTACTAGTACGATTTACTAGTATTGATTTACTAAGTTGTCCCAATCGAGTTTATCCCTTACGTTTTGATCACAGACACCCCAAATAGGAGAACAATAGTCAAAGTACGGTTGAATCAGAGCCCAATAAATTGTTTGGAGGGAGGTTGTTGGTGCGAATGGTTTAATACGTCTCAATGTACCCAAACCTGCACCAACGTTTTTGCAAATCACCTTAATATGTGGACTCCAGGAAAGATTTTCGTCTAGTTCGAGCCCCAAACATGCATGTAAATGAGTGAACTCTGGACATCCGTCAGTGGCGTAGCCAACATCGATAACAGGGGGGCCCATATTCATATATTCATGTTAACAGACTTTAAAGACAATTGATTTGAAAAGAAATTAATCCTGCGTATCACGAATATATGAATATTGGCCCCCCCAATTATCGTTCTGGCTACGCCACTGATATCCGTTGGTTATTCAATGTCAGTGGATGATCAGAGGTAATTGACTTAATACGATGTTTGGAGCCAACAAACATTATTTTAGTCTTAGTTGGATGGTGTTGTAGTTTATTTCTAGAAAGCCATTCGCCAATTCTATTCAAATCGGTTAATTCAGACAAACTGTTAGAACTGCAACAAATTTAATTAGGTAAATCATTGATAAAAAGTAAAAATAACAGAGGACCTAAAATAGATCCCTGCGGTACCCCAGAACAGTCCTTTTTGACGATGACATTATATTATTGACAATGCAGACTTGTTCCCTAACAGTTAAGTAAGACTCAAACCATCTCAACTCAGTGCCCGATATTCCAAATTGGTCTTTTAATTTATGAAGTAAAATATTATGATCAAGTGAATCAAAGGCCTTGCGAATATCAAGAAAAACGATGCCATTCAATTGACCATTATTTTCGTAGAGAGCATCGCACATCTGAGTCAGGGCAGCAAGAGTTGAGTGTTTAGGCCGGAAACCATGTTGATATTTTTAGAGGAGTGAATTGTCATTAAGAAATTTGTAAATTTGAAATTTAAATTACAAAAAATGTCTCAAGTATTTTACTGACGATAGGTAGGATTGATATAGGGCGATAGTTTTCGCGCTTTAACCTATCATCAGATTTGTAAATAGGAGTAACCCAGGCTTTCTTCCACTCATCAACATATTGGCCTTTTTCAATAGAAAGATTAAATATCCTGGTTAATGACGGGCCAACAATATCCGCAGAAAGTTTTAAAGTTTTGGCAGCAATATTGTCTAGTCCTGTGGATTTTGAGATTTTAAAACTTCGCAATTGATGTATTACCTCCTCCTCATTAACTTCAGAAAAATTGAAAAGAAGATGGGAGTCAAAAGTAGGGCTAAGCCTAGGGTCTTCACGACCGAGAAAATTTGTGTTTGGGGAATTGTCTTCGGATTTATCTGCACGTTTTACCTAGATGTTGACAAAAAATCATTAAACGGCTCGGATTTTGATTTGTCGTCTGAAATGACAGAATTGTCTATGCATGTCTGTCACCGGAAAGCAACTTGGTACTAAGCTTGCAGCACAAACATTGACCTTTAACAAAATTTAACAAAAGGCTTAAGAATGAAAATATTGATCAAGTGAGGTGTCAACCTCGACCATGAGTTATGCGGAAGATTGAACGAAGTTTTACGGAAGATTAAACGATTTTTCCAATAGAGCAAAGAAAAAAATATTATAACGTGTTCATAAAGAAAGTGATGTTATACGGTGTAACTATATGGGCGAATACCACGACAAAATTCTAAAGTTGCAGAAACGTGCAGCGGGAACAATTGTCAGTTGCGAAGAATATTCACGCCGTATAGACTATAGTTTGTTAACGATATTTCAACAGGTTAATTGGCTTACATTTCAAGATGAAGTTGAAGTAAATAATTTTATTATATAGCAAGTTTCGAAGTTCATCTGTTTTCAGAATCTTATTGGTTAAAACTACGTTTACAGCAAAATCTTGTTTGTCAGGTTTGAATCAGTTTGATAGGGGATTCAGTAATACTTTTAACAACTGGGGGTCGGTTGTATAAGAGGTAGTTAACTTTTAACTATAGTTACTGGCAGAATTGGCCAATCAGAAGAATGTATTTTCTAGTTAGCTACGATTCAATTGCTTAAAATGTCGTTAAGAGATACAACCGGCCCCGCGAGTTCCACCTGTCACATTACAGCCGATTATAGACACATTGCAGCTAATTTGAATTTCAAAGGTGTTAGGTTTTTTTTTACTCACCCTTTATAAAAGGGTGTAGATAAAAGGCGGGCGCGGACTGGCGGACGCGGACTGGCAGACGCGGACTGGCGGACGCGGACTGGCAGACGCGGACCGGCGGACGCGGACTGGCGGACGCGGACCGGCGGACGCTGACTGGCGGACCGAAAAAGATTATATTATTAATTATTGTGTTATTAATTAATGATTACATTATCACTTATGAATATTATTATACTTTTTGCTAATTATTTAATCCACTATTTTCTAAATATTCTACGTGCTCTGGTAACAGGCAAGCTCTAATTTCTTGTGGTATTTGTACAAGAGAGGGTGCAAAATATGGTTGTCTTTTCTTTAAGCATTCCCGGGAGTTTCATTTAACTCTCAGGTTCCATCATAATAGGGTCTATTCGCATAAGGCATAATCACTAAATCCCAAGGTCCCAATTTGATCGAGAAATCACCCTAGGGGTCTTTGAGTGCGCGCACCAAAAGTTTACGCTTATATTACGATAACATGTAAAGTCATGTAAAACAAATTAATAAAGGGATGTTTTATAGTTACAATTACGAAAATTGACCTTTAAATCTTGGCTGCTTCAGACGAAACACTATACCGGTTTACAGTATCTTTTGATGTGGCGCTGTACGCATCAATGAAATTAAATTCACATAGGCAACAAAGCAGCTCTTCTCACCCGAATACCAGTTAACGAGTTTCTTTTGTAATATCGCACGTCTGTCGCTAAGTTAGCATCCGTTTTTGTTAAAAAAAGATTCATGTATCAAGTGAAGAAATGCTTTGGATGTGGGCAATCGCTAAAACCAGGAGGGAATATAGGGCTCCCCCTTGGGATTTAGTAATTGTGTCATATGCGAATAGACCTTATTACGATGGAACCGGAGAGTTAAAGGAAACTCCCGGGAATGTTTACTACCACGTAAACAGTGGGTGCTTAAAGAAAAGACAACCATATTTTGCACCCTCTCTTGTACAAATACCACAAGAAATTAGAGCTTGCCTGTTACCAGAGCACGTAGAATATTTAGAAAATAGTGGATTAAATAATTAGCAAAAAGTATAATAATATTCATAAGTGATAATGTAATCATTAATTAATAACACAATAATTAATAATATAATCTTTTTCGGTCCGCCAGTCAGCGTCCGCCAGTCCGCGCCCGCCGGTCCGCGTCCGCCAGTCCGCGTCCGCCAGTCCGCGTCCGCCAGTCCGCGTCCGCCAGTCCGCGCCCGCCTTTTATCTACACCCTATATAAAGGATATAAATATATTTTATACGCAATCAGGGATGACCATCAAACGCGTAGTTTACGAAAGAAATGATTTTATGATCCCATAAACTAGCTTGCACGCATGTATCTATAATTTATTGTATTTAAGTTTATAATTATATCTATTTTACGCTATATAGTGAGAGGGCCGCTTGTTGATCAGTTGAATTACTCCTTTGGTGCAATTAACCCTCGTGATATAAAGCAGTTGTTTGATTAGACTTGAATACACATGATATTTACCAATTTATTTAGTTGTAACATGGAATCACCGGCTCTAAGCATTCACTCTAAAAGAACTATTGCCCTCAACATCATTTGGATCCTCTATATTCCTGAGACCCGAATCAAGTATAAGATTGAACGATCTTCCAAACTCACCTGTTGTCTGTTCAAATTTAAAGCCTCTGGTTCATTACAAACAGGCCTTCGAGCTGGATTCCTATACCTTTAAGCTCTGAACACAGATAAATGCTGGTATAAATTTAAAATTTTACTAGGCTTGTTACACTTTGCGAGCCGAGCAACGAATGACCCAGCAGGGTTTCCACAATGCAAGGAAATTTCTTGAAATTGGCAACCACAAGGGAGGGAGGGGCCTGTTTTAATATAATATTTCATGCATTCTTTTCAAAAGTTCTTTGTTTCTCTCTTTTGTCATTGCCATCCCCCTAAAAGGACAATCGTATGCAAATAAGTTGTGGAAACCCTGAATGACCGCAAAGGGAGCGAGAACGCAATATAACAACGCTTTGCATAACAACACCTAACTTCCAGATCACGAGTGGTTTTTTCGCTATTAATATACAATGTTTGTGCATTGGCCTTCTCAGTTTAATAAGATTAAAATCTACTCAAGTAGATTAAAATGTAGTCACGCAATTGTTCAAAATCAATCACGCGATTTCTTGTTGCTATGCGAAAGATCATAGGAATCATAAAATTATTTGCAATAACTCATAAGAAGTCGTGTTTTATTCGCAACAACCCGTGAAATGATGAAAATCATAGTTTATTCAAAAATGACAGCCTGCAACGAAACTTGGATCTTCAATGCAGCAATCAATGAACTAAGATTGTATATTAAGACCCCGTTCACACCAGAACGAAAGTTTCCGGATTCATCACGAAAGCGGAATGTTTTAGTACCGGATTCATGTTATCCGGTGTCACAGGAAATTTGCCCCCCCCCCCGAAAGTTTGGCCCCCCGGGCCAAATTTCCTAGGAAATATGCCCCCCGGGCCAAATATCCTAGGAAATTTGGCCCCCCCTTCGGAAATTTGGCCCCCTCTAAAAAACATAGTTTACCTTACCATTTTAAAGCTAGAGAACCGTAAAGTGTATAAAAGTTTTAAGTGTATAAAAGTCTATCTAGCCGTGGTTTGAGTTACAACTTACAAGCAGGACTGACGGATTTTATATGGTGCATGTTACCAGTTTTTGTGTTTGCCGATTGTTTTTAAACGTTTTTTATGCAAATTTGTATTAATTACTCCCTAAATGTTAGCCGCATGCACATTACAGAAACTTTCGCCAACGCATGTTGTCGTCGCTTGCTAAAGTGTGGTTGTTATTCTGACGAATTTCATATTAGGTTCAGAAACTTGTTGAATATTGAGTCAAAAGTTCGCGATTTCAAAACTATATCTATTTTATATATATATTGAGAGTATAAAGTATGTTATCGAGGGGGACCAAATTTCCGAACTGTGAAATACGTGATTTGTCCTCCCCAGAAATTCTTAATTTGGCGACCTTATGAATTATAGGCTTAGCGGTTATACATACATAGGAAAGGTTGTTTTAGGAAATTATCACTTATTTATTTATTTTTCGATTAAAGCCCCTAGTAATGTTATGATAATCCTAGTAATAACCTTAGCTAGATAATCTTAGCTCTTCGGCGAGATGAAAAGTTTTTACACAAATAAATGAAGCAAACTAAGTATGAATACAAACATTTACGATCTTGCTTTTAGAAGAAGATTCTCGAACTCATGGATATAAAGTATATGTTTTCGAGGGGGCCAAATTTCCGAAAGGGGGGCCATATTTCCTAGGAAATATGGCCCGATGGGCCAAATTTTGGGGGGGGCAAATTTCCTGGGACACCGGAAACTTTGAATCCGTAAAAGTTTGTGGAAACTTCGTATCCAGAAACATTTGAATCGGGAAAATGTTCTTGTGTAAACGCTTTGCACGACGAATCCGAAGAAATTCAAAATGACAATCAAACAATTCTTCAAGAACAAGTAATATGAGTGTAAACGGACAAATCCGCATACAGAGACAACTAAAGTGTAGTGTAAACACCTGACGAATCCGATACATGTGTGTAACAATGAATCCGGAAAATTTTACAAATCCGGAAACTTTCGTTCTAGTGTAAACGGGGTCTAAAAGTGTTAGAGATTTTTAGTTTGCGTTTACTATTGTACGAGGCAGTATTGCATGGCATGGCACAATGTCCTATGTAATATGATACGAGCGGCGTTGTTTTGAAGTACTTGAAGTTGATTAATCAAGACAGCATTATCTTTATCACCCCATACGATGTCTGCGTAATCAAACAACGGCAAAATCAAGCTATTATACAAAGTAATTCTTGAATCATGTGGGAATAGATGTTTAATTGGTCGCAGAGCTCCTAGGCGCTGACAAACGTTCACATTTAGCTGATCAATATGGTCCATCATCAACTTGGCATCCGTTCGTTTGTAGGGAAATCCGTTTTATCTTTGCAGGTTTTTGATTACTACCAAATATAACAAATTTACATTTGGTTTCATTTAATGTTAAAAGGTTTTCGTTGAGCGACTGGCTTAGTCTTGCTAGATCGGAATTTAAATTGCCTTTAACTACCGATACATCAGAAAAAGAAAAGTAAATAACAGTATAGCATAGAGAGAAACGTTACAATGTTTAATACATGAAGGCAGGTCGTTCATATAGCTGACGAATAATAAGGGACCCAACACACTTTCCTGAGGAACTCCAATGCATACAGATTCCACAGACGAGTAAACATTTCCAATTGCAGTTACTTGAGTTCTATTTGTAAGATATGATTTAAGCTAATTCACAGATGTATCATCAAAGCCGGCGATTTTCAATTTGTCATACAGAATTCCGTCATCAACGGTATCAAAGGCTTTAGTTAAATCGACTGAGACTGCCCCTGTAATAAATCCTCTATCCATATTTGCCAAAATTGAGTCGGTAAAGTTTACGAGAGCAATTTCAGTCGAACTTTTGGGTCTAAACCCAAATTGAGATGGCGACAATAATTTATTGTACTGTAGATAACTATATATTTGTGAATGAACCACTTTTTCGTGGATTTTACTAACAATGGGGAGAACTGTTATTGGCCTGTAGTTGTTTGGATCTGTTCTTTTACCGGATTTAAACAGGGCAGTGACCTTTCCACATTTCCAAATATCAGGAACATAGAAGAGGACAATGAGTGATTGAAGTGAACAAATTGGTCAGTACAGGTGCAAGTACATTGGCAGAATCCTTCAACAGACGGGCACTAACACGATCGAGGCCAATAGCTTTATTGGTTTTCAACTCAGGAAGATTTCTGCAAACAAATTGCTCATCAATAATACCAAAAGCAAATGAGGCCTGAGTATCATTGACAACTTTTGACGTATTGACCCGATGAATGATCCCAAATCTAGATTTAACCACTGCAGCTAATCTGCTTCCGATAGACAAAAAATGCGAGTTTAAAACTTCCGCAAACGATTTAACATCAGTTTGCAACGCACCGTCAGATTCAATACTAGTTGTAGAAGCAGATGACTTGAAACGTGATGTAATTTTATTCAATGTTTTCCAGAGTGCACCAGAATTTTTCTTGTTTTGTTCCAATGATATATATGTTCTCGGTTTTCTTTTGGGATTAGGTCGGTCGAAAATCACTCCTGGTTCCCAGATACGCTTGAGGGTGTTCCAAACATACACTGGTTCAGCTTTTTCTAGGATTTGCTTATCATGACTGGCCCTCTTGTTATAGGTCTCAGCTTGTTATAGGTCTCAGCCAGCTTCGTCTGGCGCTGTGTGTTGGACTCTTAGCTTAATGGACATGTATTGATTGTAAGGCAGACCTCCCACTCGGTAACAGCGATCTTGGTTTACGGCCGAAAAGGAGCTCGTAAGGCGATGGCAACTGATTGTCGAGAGGGGTAATTCGGTACATCCACACAGCTGCAAAAGGACACTGTTTAGTCTCCAACGCTTTCTTCCAAAGTGATTTACAAAAGGTCAACACTTTTTTTGGCCAAGTTGCAGGTCTGATGGTGATATGGCGAACTAAAGGTCAAGGTTATATTGCTTCGTTTACATTTCTCCTTGAATTTCTTGCTGACAAACTGACTTCCAAAACCAACCATTATGATTGATGGTAGCCCATACTCCACAAGAATGCTGGTGAAATGACTGGAAATCGTAGATGCGGACATGTCACTCAAAATACGTATGACCATGAATCTTGAATAATAATCGACAACCATCAAACACTTTGCTTTGTTGAATTCAAAGATGTCTGCGCCCAACTTTTCCCAAGGTGATGCCGCCAAGTCTGGTTGCATCAGTAGTAATTTCATTGGCGCTGATTGGTACCGGTGTTTGCAGGACTCGCATCTTTTTACCATTTGGCGGATGTCGCTTGATATGCCTGGCCAAAAGACTGCTTGCCTAGCAAGGGAAAAGTGGCAATCCCTGAATCCTTCCGAGTCCTGGTGTTGAAGACAATCAATGGTGGTCATCAAGGTGAAACTAAATGTCTCATCTCCTTCAGGATTAGACCATCCTCCAAAACTAAATCATCAATCTAAATTCCTAAAAAACTAAATTCCAAAAATCCCATAGTTCTTGTGGACATTGCTTTCTGTAATTGGGCCACCTATTGTAAATGGTATCCTTCAAAAGAAGCATTGTTGGATCTGCGTCGATTGCTGACTTCACTTGATTTACATCAACAGGATGCGAGTCATGCATGATAAAGTGAATCGCATGTATGTCATTCTCGCAATCTTGGGTTGCATTCTGTTTGGCTGATGCTACTTTCTTCAAGGCATACTCGCGACAAGGCATCAGCAACTGGAATGTCTTCTCCACGTCTATACTGGACTTTGATGTCATACTTTAAACATCTTAGCAGCATTCTCTGCAACTGAGCTGGGGCCTCCGCAATGTTCTTTTTGAAGATCTGCTTGAGTGGGGAATGGTCAATTTCTCTAGCACAAACATCACAGCTAGACATCCTCAATATTGGAATATTTTGCTTCAGCGTCATCAAGAGACATTGAAGCCATGGTCACCATCCTCTCATTACCACCAGAGTCGACCTGTCTCAACTAAGCGCCCAAGCCTTGCTGACTGGCGTCACACTGCAGGATTGTTCTAACGGCTGGATCAGGGTCATAATACGACACAAATTGTGTTGACTTAAGCTATACTTTGACCGCATCAAGTGCAACCCAATTGAAATGCACATCTTTCTTTACCAATTCTCGAGGGGGTCCGTTAACTTGGCAAGCTTTGTAAAGAAACGATTAAGATAAGTAATTAACCCAAGGATTGACACTGAACAATTCTTTGGTAGAGGTTAGGGCGGTAATGTTCCTAATTGCTTCCAACTTCCTGAGACAGTACATAACCATGAAAATTAACGCTTATTTGCCTAAACTGTAATTTCTCAGAGTTTAGACTCACATTGTTCACTCGACTGGCTTCAAGCATTTTAACGAATGCCTGGTCGTGCTCTTCTCCGATACTACCAGAAATGATAATATCATCTGCTATCCCTGTGACATTGGGAATATCCTGATATATGCCATCTAGCCTTTGCTGAAATATGTCGTCTTTGCTGTCCTTTCTTCTGCAGTTCTTCGTGTTGTGTGTCTTGCTACGACAGCTACCGCACCACTTCTCGTTCTTTGTCCAGCTATCCTAGCTCATGTGACCCTTTTTATTGCATCTGAAGCATTTTCCATTGAATCGTTTCTGTGCTGGCTTTGCGTACTGACATCCAAAGTTTAATTGGGCATATAGATATGAAGAACTTGAATTTCTTTGAATTTCTCTGAATCTCTAGGCAAATAGTCAAGCCCTTTATTTTTGTTTCTAAATGGCACTGGCCTCCCAATTCTCTGATTATTCATTGGTTTGAAAAAGATCATGGAATCTGTATTAGACGAGATTGAATCTCTGGGATTTGAAAACAATACAACTGGTGACTTGAATTGCAACGTATCTGCGGATGTGGTATAGAAAACCGAATACCGATAACTAACTATAAAGCTTTCTGAGTTATACCAATATACATAAGTGATTAAAAATCCTATATATACTAGAATTACAAACAGCATTTCTACACTGATCATTATCTCTTTCTCAAAAACGAGTCAAATAACTAACATATTGGTGTCAGCGACCATACCCTTATCTATATGCTGTTATGGAAAGCATTCACTGAGTGTTAAATCTACGTATAATACAGGTTTAATCCAATCTAGCACTTTGTGGGATCTTGTGATGACCCTATAAAGGGCTTGGGAATGCAAAAATTCTCACTTGAATTGCATGAGGTATCGACAGTCCAAATTAATTGGTAAACTTTCAACACCCAAGGTTACAGCACTGTTAATTTCTGCGAGTTATTTTAGTGGGGATACCATGCAGTGGGCCACTGCATGGTATCCCCACTAAACTGGGGATAAATGGACTCCCATAAGGACATGCAGTAAAAATATATGGAGTAAAATCAACTGCAGTTAAAAGTACTCCATTTTGGTGTGTATCCAAATATTTACTCCACACGCATGTATAATCGAGTAAAATAAACTCCGCGAAGAATTAAAAATAACTGAACAAATAAAGTATAGAAGCCCACGACAATATAAGGAAAGTAAAAAGAGTAGATGCTATAGAAAAGAATAAACTACAGCAAATAAGACGGGGTATAAATCATGACGACACCACAAAAGCGATATCGCCCCCGAAAAGCTTTAATTTAACGAAAGACAATTAACAAGTCTTAAAATGTGATCGGAGTTTTGAGAAGACTGAAACCTTTGCTCCCACTTTCAGCCTTTGTGAGGCTGTGTGCACACGAGCGTCGCCTTTTGAGCGTTTACAAAATCGTTTTTGTCCAATTAATCGTTTAACATTCGTTTTGACGCCCTGTTTACCATAGATTCAAGGGAAAATATGCTTAATATGCTAAATTAGCTTCAGATTCTTATTGTAAATTAACGGTGTTTGAAACCGGAAAAATGAAAACGTTCGAAAACGCCGGTTACCGTGTGCACATATAGTCTGAAGCCGTTTTAATCTAATTTAGCCATAGAGGGTGGCAAATTCCTGTCCCGGGTGCTAAGCTAAGCGCCTACATCAACGCTTCCTTAGTAGCAACCACGTTGCAACAACGAAAATTTGTATTTAAAAAATTACATTCGTTTATTAAGTCGCTTTTTCGGTTTTTGAGGAAAGACAGTAATTTTTTGAACTGGTTTTACTACCTTAGGTATCCTGAAATGATATTTCAGGGAAAAAACATTTAGAAATACAAAAACTCGTTTAAAACGACTTATTTTGGCCTCGGACATCGTAAATGAGTGAACCGGGGCATGAATTTGCCCCATTTAACGCGCCCCCCAACTTCTCCTCGATGCCCTCCCCCCCATTAATTTAGCCAAATTTCAATAGTTCCAGTGTTTGAAAATTGCACGTAATCCAATAACACGTTTTTATTTCTTTTTCTTACATGATTTAACTGTCGATTGTTATTATGATTACCACTTTACCTTTTTCACATGCACGATTTATTCACTTCGACTGTCTAATTACAACTATAATTTCTATCAATCTAATCAGTATCCCACTATATTACGAACCCTTAAACCGCTGACAATAAATTTCACAAGAACAAACTAAATCCCCTGTAGACAAATATACTAAGATACAAACATAATTAATGTTTCCTTAACTTATTCACGCTTTCGAGCAATCACTTTGAACGGTTTAGGTGGAAATTTTCCTGCCGCTTCCCCACGTTCCAACGTCGGCATGGGCTCATCTTCATTAACCTCAAACTTATATCGCTTCAACATCCCCGATATGAAGAACATTATCTCTGCCCTGGCTAAATTTTCACCAGGGCATGATCTGCTACCAATACCAAAAGGCATGAATCCTGGCTTCACACGCCATCCAACGAACTTCCCATTTTCATCGATGAATCTGTCGGGGTTGAACACTGAAGGATTCTTCCAAATATTTTCATCTCTATGAATGCAGTGGTAATTGAAGAAAATGGTTGTTTCTTTTGGAATGCGATAGCCTTGCAGTTGTGTTTCTTTCACCGGGTTATGAGGAAGAGACAGAGGAACAAAATACGAATGTCGCATCACTTCGCAAACAGTCGCTTTCAAGTACGGAAGCTTAGACATATCTTTCCACTGGAGCAGTTCATCCCCCTGCAAGGTTTCCTCGATTTCGTCTTGAAGCTTTTTCTGCAAATCTTGATCAAGTATCATATATAGAAGGAACCAAACAAAAAGCGTGGAAAGTGCACCAGTTGCGGCTAGCATACCACCGGCCGATACAAAGGGAACGCAGTCTGTTTCCACTTTAAGATGTTCGCACCAAGCCATTAAAGATTCCATGACATTTTGATATTCTTCCTCGTCAAAATCATTTGGATTTTTTCTAGACCGAAGATGAAAAGCTTTCGCTTTCTCTTCCGCTGCCGGTATAAAAAGTTTTCGTAATTCATCTTGTAAATTGCTGATACTATTTATATGTTTAGTAGGAAAGTGCTTTAATACTGGAATAAGACGATATAAAGGACCCGAAAATAAGCAGGAAAAAAATGCTGTGTTAAAAGCACGCAATTTGCCAACAGTACCATCTTCTATGTTATTTGTCTTACCAGTTATCCAACGATAAAGTATAGAGATTATAGAACTCTCCAAAATATCTGAAGGATCAAAAGGCTGCCCGTTCAAGCTTTCAACTGCCTTGGAGAATTCATCCAGTTGGTCGTTTACATTTTCATGTACAATCTTTTTCCCCTCTCCAAAAGTATGCAAAGCCTTTACAAATGCTTGACGCTTAAGTCGAAATTTATTATCCCAATCACTTGTCGCAAGATCTTTTTCTTGTAATATTTCGTTTATTGGGTACACCACATCTGCAAGACGACCTTGAAAAGTATCCTTTTTTGTGAGGAGAGCTTCTCGTGCAGTTGCTGCATCGGTAACCATTACGACATTTTCTGTTGGAAGAACAAGTGTAAAAGTGTTTCCATATTTCTCACGAAGCTTTTCGGCTGAGAACGGAAAATCATCGTCCAATATCAAAAGAAGATTTCCAATGATGGGAAGTGGAAATGGGCCTGGAGGCATACCACGTCTATTGTAGCAGGTCTTCAGGAACCATGTAAATAATATGATCAAAATGGAACCAACAACTTCTAAAAACATCTTCCTACATTGTGAAAGTGAAAAAGCAATTTTGTCAACTTAAAAAAGCGAAAGGGGGTTTCACATACGGGAGCAAAAAAGAAGAATTTCTTCACAAGTTTTTCGACTTGCTGTTTTGCAAGTTGGGCATTTCTTGTTCAAAAACTCAGCACAATAAGAAAATAATTTCAGCCCAAAGCTTAAATCTCTTGATTTTTTGCCACTGGTAAAGTGGTTATATGTGAAAATTCGCTAAGACAAATCGGGCATGCAAAAAACAAATTTTAGATGTGAAGTCAACAAGCTCCACTAATATTTTTAGCAATGTTTTAGATACTTATAGTATCGAGGCAATCAAACGAATGCGTGAAGAAGGAAGGAATCAAAGTCGTTATTGAGTATTTGTTTGTCTCAGGTGAAGCATGACCTCAAGTAGAAAAAAAATTCGAGAACCTCGAAGTGGGGAAAATATGGTTAAGAACGTGACGGGAATTCATTAATTTCACAAGCAACGCGTTATAAAATCTGTTGGGGAGTTAAAGTTTGTGTTTATGTTTGAAGATTGGCAAAGTGGACCAGGAACGTAGTTAAACTCTTGTTGCGATAATTTTTTATTTAATTGACTGCATGGGTAATAGTTTGGGTATAATTTATATGTGCCTGTTTCATGGTTCAATACTCCCGCCTACGTAACAGGACGTATAGTGAAAGAAACTTAGTGTAGTGTCACTAGTGTGCCTCGGTACAATCGCGTTAAGGAGGGGGGGGACGAACATTTCAAATTACCATTGTAAACTTTGAAACTCTCTTCGATCTTAGCTTAAAATGGCGCAGCAATACTTATAAGAAATCGATCATTTCACTGGGAGATGATTTTATGATCTAATAAATTAGCTTGCATACATGTATTTATAATTTCTGTATTTAGTTTTATATATATTTTACTCTCGTGAGAGGGACACTTGTTGATAAAATTACGTTATGTTACTGCAGCTACTTTTACCGTTGCATGAGAACGAACGAATTTTGCAGGAATGTTTATTACATTCTTCGAAATTTGAATTTGATGCTTTGCCATGCAAATGTTAACGGGGAAAGGCGGAAAGAACTGTGAACAAGTATACCAACAACGTCGAAAAAAATACTCTGTCCCCAAAAACCCCCAAACTATTGAAATCACCTATTGTTAATAAAATTTGAATGAATTGTTCGCGAATTTTTGCCTCTGGGAATTAACGCAACTTATAAAATGCTAAAAAGGCCTAGAAAAATGTTAAATTTGCTAGAGAAGAAGGTCATGGTGCGAAAGTTGTAAATTTAAATATTGTTATTTGTAAAGATTAAAATAATATATTAATTGTTAATAAAAATCATTTGTGGATACAAACAAATTTTACTGTCATCACGCATAAAAATGCTTATGCCGTCGAACATTTATAATTATGTAATATATGTAATATAAACGTTCATATTTTTCCTCGTCAGTCAGTAAAAGGCGACCCTTTAAACATTTTTAATTATTATATATATAAGATTTTGTGGCACTTGCCGATTTGGCCTATATACCACCCATTGCCTGTTTTTCGTTCTAACATTGCGATAAAATCAAAAGTATATGAGCCTTTAAATTACCATTCAACGGTTTTATAAGAAAAGGCTATAGTATACCCTTGATAAACCTAAAAGAATCATGCATGTGAGAAATGCATGCCTAACCGCCTGATTTGTTGACCTTACTAGTACTATATATTTTAAATGGTCGCTATTATGGGGGCCCGTTCTGGTCAAAATGCAGCATTTAATTTTTTATAGACGACCAATTATTATTCCTTGGGTGTTGAAATATTATTTCATACTCAAATTATATTTTGCTTCGTGAAGCTATTATTTTTTACAATGCTAAATTATTTCTAACAAGTTTGGAAATAATTTTATCTATTGCTTGAGTTATTTTTTACTACTGCAAAATACTTTTGTCCGCACAATAACACGAATAAATTTTATGTATGTAAGAATTAATTTTGTCACAACCGCGAATTAATTTTGTCACAATCGCGAATTAATTTTGTCACTGCAACCAACAATTAATTTTGCCAGTGATTTTGCCTCTTTCGAACCCACTGTACCGTGATCCTCTTCGACCGCAACGTCTCTTGGAAGATAGCTACAGCATCGATGAAATCAGGTAAATGGCACATTGAAAGAAACATATTGCAAAGTCTTTCTTAGCTTTCGGAACTGACAAACTAACAAATTCTGAAATGACGAAATGCCAGCTCGTCGAACACGTCGAGGTCGAATTCTACGGGAGCGAAACGAAGGCGGTTTCGCACTTTTTCTTCAAAATTTAAGAAGTGTGGTGAGTCTCTTTAATGACATAGAACAGCAGCCATTAGAGACAGACATTCTAACTGAAGCAAGAAACAGGCTACTGGATGCAACTGGGACTATCACTTTGCTTTTGAATGATACATCAGGAGGTCGACCGAACCCAACGGGCCTTCCCTCTGTTGATCTTGAGATGCCATTACAGAACTTAAAAAGATCATTGACCGAACTTATCAACCTTTTGTGTTCTCTAATTGAATGTAATAGTGATGTTAATTTCGACGATGAAATTGACTTGTCCTATTCCGCACCTCTTGAAGGTACAAGTGAAAGGCGTGGTCGTAAACGTTACGAGATATCGAAAGATCACCTGGAACATTTGCGTTCGTTTTTTTTTCCTGGGAAAAAATTAGCAGAATTTTACAAGTAAGCATCTCAACTATACGACGGCGACGGGTCGAATTTTGTCTAAATGAAAAGTTTGAAAGCTACTCAACTGTGACAGATGATGAATTGGACAATATTTATCATGGTATTGTAACCTGTACCACTAGTTCTGGTCCTCTAACACCAAACCTGGGAAGAAGGCGATTAATTGGGGCTCTAAGGAGCAGAGGCTTGCACGTGCAAAGGCGACGAGTCAGCGAATGTTTACGAAGAAATGACCCTGTTGGAACTGCTTTACGTTGGCGAATGGCTATTCATCGTAGAAAATACTATGTCCCAACCCCAAATAGTCTGTGGCACATAGATTCTGGGCATAAGTTGATCAGATATAAGATGATAACTCATGTCTGTATTGATGGGAAAACACGACTCATTTTATATGCAGTATGTCGTAATAATAACAAAGCTGACACAGTCTTGACTTTGTTTGAGAAGGCAGTGCACAAATGGGGGCTTCCTTCCCGGGTTCGTAGTGATTATGGAATGGAAAATTATCATGTAGCAGCATATATGATTCAAAATCGTGGTGCAGGAAGAGGTAGCATCATCACAGGCTCATCGGTGCATAACTGCAGAGTTGAGCGAACACACCGTGATGTCTATTCAGGTGTATTAGTGTTTTATGCTCGTATCTTTGAAGAATTGGAGAGGGATGGTTTGCTCGATGTTTTGGATGACATTCACTTATTTAGCTTGCACCATATGTACATACCAAGAATTGAAAATTCTCTAAAAGAGCTTGTTGCCCAACTCAATAATCGTCCTGTTTCCACTGAGAGGAACCAGTCACCACTACAAATGTGGCATACAGGGATGTTGGGAAATATACACTCTGATCACACTGCCCTACATGGGGAAGATATTGAAAACCTTGGTGTAGATCCAGATGGTGTGCTGTCAATTGAAGATGAAGACTACCAAGTAGTTGTTACCCCACCCATACTTGACTTAACAGATGAAGAATTAGCAATGCTTCCAAATCCCTTATCTAATGACAACAACAGTGGAAAAGATCTGTATCAGCAATGCATTGAAACATTGAATAACATGGTTGATGATGTGATGAATGACTAAAATATAATTTAAGCAAACACAACCATGAAAGTGTCCAACATTAGGGGGGGGGGGTGATACAGCAGCAGACTTAAAAAGGCTGTTTACCAACAATTAATCAAGTTGGGAGTAATAAAAAAGCCTTCAATTTTATAAAAATGCTGTATAATAATGAAGATTATACAGACTGTATGTCATAAGTTTTATGGTATTTTACTCTTAACTTGATTAATTGTTGGCAGAAAGATTTTCAAGTTCATTCATATTAGAATGGGCAGCAACACTGTGTCACTGCACATTTAATTCCATAAAATGACACGAATTAACTTCTACTTCTGTAATTCTATCACATAGTTTTCCCACCAAGTTATTGTTGATATTGGTTTAAATAAAGTTTAATTAGTAACATAATTTGTTACATTGGCAGATTATGACATGTTGTTTACATACTGGTGTAATATTACAAAATTTGGAATATTTTAGTGTTATCTTTGTTTAACAGAACAGTAACAAGAACAAGAACAAGAACAATAATAACCATCCATATCACAGTTTTACTTTTAGAAATATATATGGTACCAAGGAGTGTTTTACAATTTACTGCTTCCCAAATATGATGACTGAATGCCATATCATAGAGGTCAAATAATTTTTCCTTAGTGGGAAGAGGGTATTGGCTTGTTGCCCTAGGCAAATGCAAACTGTTGCTGCAAGTGCGAGCGAATGGGAGAAAACCAGCTATGACTTGTGTTGGGTCAGAACCAGATGACTGGACTGGCATTTCAGTTGGTGAGATAAATTTTAATGATGGAGGGAGGAAAAATCCAAGCACAGGCTCTTCTGCTGCACCAGTAACAAACTGAAGAATGTGGCTTAGATCCAAGGTTATATCTCCACAAACTCGCCTGCCTGCTGCCACTTCTCTCACATACCTTACAAACATTTGGTAAACCTCTTTTTCCATTGTGAGTGCATTAGACCCTTCCTCTGAAAACTGTGGCTGCAAAATGTGCAACAATTTTTGCACATTTACTTTCTGCTGGGCTCCAGGTCGCAACAGGTAAGTCAGCATAGGCAGTTGTATCAGTGCTGATAGCATGCCCAACATCTCAAGACCACGCTGAATTTGGTATATACAAGGATCAGGGCTATTTTTTGATGATAGAATTCTTCGAAGGATCTCATCACCAATAAAGGCAGGCAACTGGCCATTTTGCAGCATGGCAACTGCTATCATTACTCCAACAAAATAGTAATCTTTGGCCAGCAAGGGTCGTAACCCATGATCAAAGTATTTTTCCTTGATTGCATGGTTCATCAATCTAATCCACTCCTTACGTGGTCCGCCAAGGTCAACGGACTCCTCCCCCATGAAGTCAACTTGAAAGGTTGTACTTAGATTATCAATAAATTCAAGTTCACTGAATGTGGATTCAATAACCCTGTCTCTGTCAATTGTTATTAAATTTGTTGCACCCTCTAACGTTTCCTCAAGAGAAGACAGTTCCAGTGGTCGGCCAGATACAACATGCTGCTGGATGAATCGCAACAATTCCACAGGATCTGATAATCCTTGATCTTTAGCATTATCAATGATCAGCTGTATGTCAAAAGGGCACTGGGCTTCTGGTTTAACAGTTGATGTTGCTTCATTGCCAATACTTCTCTGGGTATCAGCCACATCCTGACTTGAATTATGGAAATAGGATGAGATGGTGGGTTGGGTTAAGTTAATAGTGGCAACGGTGTTATCATCCATATCTTCAGAGAATGTGTTATGATAGGGAAGCTCATCTGCTGCACCATCCTTGTTGTCATTTGTAGACTGTGCTTCTTCCATGAGTCTGATGTACACAATGCCGGCTGGTGCAATGGACTTAAGAAGAAGTTTTGCATCAACTTGTTTACCTGCCGGTATGTTTGGTATGACCAATGTCCCAGAGCAGTTTTTGACTATCTCAAATGCCATCCCATTAAGTTCACCAGTCAATAATTCTGATAACTTCAGCTTAAGTGTGTCTGAATCCCATTGACGGTCAATATCGAACCCAGATATAATTCTGCCATTTTGTTCCAGTTCCACCTTCTCAGGTTTGGTTGGTATCTTGCTACTATCCCAATTCAAGATGACCACATCCTTGGCAACAATGTCGTTTGTTGATGGTCGACCAACCCGCCTAGAACTTTGAGTTTGATTTCCTCTGGAGTAAGGGTGAGAAGTTGACGAATTGCGGGATCTACTGGTATACCTCCCAGTGGTTGGATTTCTGCTGGCTCCACTCGCATTTCTCGATGTTGTCGGAAAGCGCCTTCGAAGTTCGGTCAATTGATCTACAGCAGGTTGGTTCTGGGGTACAGTAGCAGATGCTGAAGCAGTTGTTGAAGCAGATGTTGACGTCGACGATGCTGAAGGTCCAGATCTTTCTATTAACGATGTTAGTTGGTTTATGCTTGCTATTGCCGCCTCAGCAATCGCTTTTACTTGTCGAGAAATATCTCTCTCCGCGGCCATGTTTTACACATGGCGCGCACGACGTTGCGGTCGAAGAGGATCACGGTACAGTGGGTTCGAAAGAGGCAAAATCACTGGCAAAATTAATTGTTGGTTGCAGTGACAAAATTAATTCGCGATTGTGACAAAATTAATTCGCGGTTGTGACAAAATTAATTCTTACATACATAAAATTTATTCGTGTTATTGTGCGGACAAAAATATTTTGCAGTGGTGAAAAATAACTCAAGCAATAGATAAAATTATTTCCAAACTTGTTAGAAATAATTTAGCATTGTAAAAAATAATAGCTTCACGAAGCAAAATATAATTTGAGTATGAAATAATATTTCAACACCCAAGGAATAATAATTGGTCGTCTATAAAATATTGAATGCTGCATTTTGACCAGAACGGGCCCCCATACGCTATTCTACTACGAACGCGTGTCGTATATCAACGCATATCTCCATTGCAAACCAAGCTCTGGAGTCGTTCGCCGATAGTGGAGAATACAACGTTAGTTATCGAGATATTATTTTAAAAACAACTATGACGCTTTCTACGCCGGTAGCAATTATCCACATACTATGTATTCAAGCGCTTCCTTTGGGGGTTGTTTCCATGATATACCGAGGATACTCACCGGACACCATTTTTTAACGCAACTGCAAACTATATTAGAAAACAATACCCGCAACCATAGAGTAAGGTAAAGAATATATGTAGCCAGAACACGTCTGCATGCATGCGTGTAGGAAGATTGCATGGATATACATTAATTTACGCATTTTTATGTAGATTGTTGAGAGAATATTGGCTTTGATGCCGATGGCTCGGCAAGCGATAATTCGTCTTGTAGTTCGTCTGTGCATGTGTAAACACGGGCTAACAGCCGGATCATCCGTCAACACGAATTATCTCTAGTATATAGATCGAGCCAATGAATCCAATAATTGCTGCGGAGCGAGCGAGCCTGAAGCGAGCGAGCGTAGCAGCAGTCTAATTGGCGTAGTAGGCAGTGAAAAGCAAATTTTTAGGGTTGCGTTGCACTGTGGTTGTGCGCAGTGACGCAGTTGTGTCAGGCCTGTTTGTATGCGCAGTTGCGCACAAATTAATCTAACGTTTCAGTGACATGGATTAAATACCAATATGGATTAAAACTTAAAAGTCAAACGTCCAAGTCTGGAAGAGGTACCAGTCCAGATTTAACATACATTCTGTTCTTCATTCGCCTTTGTTTTCATTTATTATAAGGTTGACAGTTGCTTGTCGTTTTGCCTGATTTCTACTGTAATTTGTTTTGATTCACAATATAAATATTCGCGCATTGATGTCTAGATTTTTCGTTTAGCATATCGTACGACGCGCGATCTACAGTATTGACTATCAAATCGTATTTTAAGTATATTGTTGATTGTTTTGCCTGTTTGGACTTATTTTGACTCAGTGTTGATAATCCAAGTTTATTTCCTCATCTTTGTCATTGCGCCTCGTGTTTCATTGTCATAGTGTGCCTGGGCAGTCTGCCGTATTCGAATTTCATTTTTTTCGAACTGATTAAACTGTTTGTGGCTATTCTCGGTTTCATTTGCACTACGGTACTGCGCTTAATTCAGTGTGACGTTTACTAGGGGTAAAAAGCTTAGTAAAAGCGGCAATTTAGTGTTTAAAATTAAAAATCCAAGTGTTATGTTTTACATATTTGTCGTTACCAGCCGTGTTTCTTGCCGCATGTAAATACAGTAAATGAGTAGCAATTCTTTGAAGGAACTGATTATATCTTCGATTTCATTTGCACCTTTGCGCTTGATAGTATTTCCTATTTTATCTTATTGTTAGACCACAGTTTAGTTTGATAATCCAAGTTTATTTTTACATCTTTGTCATTGAGCCTCGTGTTTCATCGTCATAGTGGGTCTGGGCAATCTGCCATATACGAAAATACAGCAAACGAGTATAGCAATTCTTCGAACTATTTAAGGCAAGACGACGATGCCGAAGGGTGGCCGAATACATCAAAGGTGGATTGCCCTGCAGAAGAAGTCACTTACATTCTTATTTTGTTAACTTTAGAGTTTAGTTCAGGCCCTGTTACACGATGCAATTTTTTTGCAACTTGCAATACAACTCTACTCTTGAGAAATGTAAAATGCCAAAGTACGTGTTTTGCGTTGATATTTTTCCAATCCATATGGCATATCTTCATTGACTTTACTGATTACAAGCAGAATTCCAAGTTGCAAGAAAAATTTCACCTTAACACGTCCTTTGTTAAATTAGTTGCGACGTGATCGTGTGACACATATTTCACAAATTTCAACGCTTTTGTAATATTTTTTTAACAATTGTACAGTTTTGCCCATCCTGTTCTTATATGATATTTGGTCCAATTTGTTTTTAATGCCCGCAGCAATCCCTACCTTGCAGGTAACCTAGTTCACTGCATGTATATATCTATGTAAATCTCCAACCCAAAATTAAGGCTCCTTTCTCCAGAAGTTGATAATGTTAATAATAATAATATAATTTATAATTATAAACTCTCGGCCTTTCATGCTTGCCAGGCAGAAGAAATGTGGAGCGCCGGGCAAGGCCAAAATTTTAGCAATGCACATCTGGAATTACGGTTTTTATACTGCTGGGTAGAAAAGACGAAATCACCGCCATAATACGAAAATCAGCCTTCGTACACGAGACAGACCATATTGAACACGTTTTTATTTCATTTTCTTCATGATTTCATTGTCGATTGTTATTATAATTACCATTTTACTTTTTTCACACGATTTATTCACCTCCACTGGTTGTATCTAATTATAATTATAATTTCTATCAATCTAATTATCACACTATATCTTACGAACCCTTAAACCGCTGAAAATAAATTTCACAAGAACAAACTAAATCCCCTGTAAACAAATATACTAAGATACAAACATAAAATAATGTTTCCTTAACTTATTCACGCTTTCGAGCAATCACTTTGAACGGTATAGGTGGAAATTTTCCCGCCGCTTTACCACGTTCCAATGTCGGCATGGGATCATCTTCATTAACCTCAAACTTATATCGCTTCAGCATCCCCGATGTGAAGAACATTATCTGTGCTCTGGATAAATTTTCGCCAGTGCATAATCTGCTACCAATACCAAAAGGCATGAATCCTGGCTTCACACGCCATCCAACGAACTTCCCATTTTCATCGATGAATCTGTCGGGGTTGAACACTGAAGGATTCTCCCAAACGTTTTCATCTCTATGAATGCAGTGGTAATCGAAGAAAATGGTTGTTTCTTTTGGAATGCGATAGCCTTGCAGTTGTGCTTCTTTCACCGGGTTATGAGGAAGAGACATAGGAACAAAATACGAGTGTCGCATCACTTCACAAACAGTCGCTTGCAAGTACGGAAGCGTAGACATATCTTTCCACTGGAGCACTTCATTCCCCTGCAGGACTTCGTCGATTTCGTTTTGAAGCTTTTTCTGCAATTCTTGATCAAGGATGATATACAGCAGGAACCAAACAAAAAACGTGGAAATTGTATCAGATCCGCCAAGCATGACACCGGCCGATAGAAAGGGAACACAGTCTGTTTCCACTTTAAGATGTGTGCACCAAGCCATTAAAGATTCCATGATATTTTGATATTCTTCCTCGTCAAAATCATTTGGATTTTTTCTTGACCGAAGAGAAAAAGCTTTCGCTTTCTCTTCCGCTGCCGTTATAAAAAGTTTTCGTACTTCATCTTTTAAATTTTTGATATCTTTTGTGTGTTTGGTACGAAAGTGCTTTAATACTGGAATAAGACGATATAAAGGACCGGAAAATATGCAGGAGAAAAATGCTTTGTTAAAAGCACGCAATTTGCCAACAGTACCATCTTCTATGTTATTTGTCTTACCAGTTATCCAACGATAAAGTATAGAAGCTATAGAACTCTCGAAAATATCTGAAGGGTCAAAAGGCTGCCCGTTCAATCTTTCAACCGCCTTGGAGAATTCATCCAGTTGGTCGTTTACATTTTCATGTATAATCTTTTTCCCCTCTCCAAAAGTATGCATAGCCATAACGAATGCTTTACGCCTAAGTCGAAATTGATCATCAAAATCGCTTGTCGCCAGATCTTTTTCTTGTAATATTTCGTTTATTGGGTACATCACACTCGGAATCCGACCTTGAAAAGTATCTTTTTTTGTGAGGAGAGCTTCTCGTGCAGTTGCTGCATCGGTAACCATTACGACGTTTTCTGTAGGAAGAACAAGTGTAAAAGTGTTTCCATATTTCTCACGAAACCTTTCGGCTGAGAACGGAAAATCATCGCCCAATATCAAATGAAGATTTCCAATGATGGGAAGTGGAAATGGACCTGGAGGCATACCACGTCTATTGTAACAGGTCTTCAGGAACCATGTAAATAATATGATCAAAATGGAACCAACAACTTCTAAAATCATTCTTCCTACATCGAGTGAAAAAGTAGTTTTTTCAACTAAAAATAGCGAAGAGATGCATTATATAAGAAAAAATATGCATCTTCAGCAAGATTTTAGATACACATAGCACCGAGGCAATCAAACGAATGCGTAAAGAAGGAAAGAATTAAAGGCGTTGTTGACTAGATAATCGGTATTTGTTTGCCGCAGGGTGAACCATGGCTTCTTGTAGCCAAAAGAGATTTCGAAAACCTCGACGTGGGGAAAATATAGTTGAGAACGTGACGGGAATTCAATTTGACAAAAATCGTTGCGGCGTTTGTGTTTATGTTTAAAGCTTGGTGGGAAAGTCGATGAGACAATAGAATTAGAAAAGCTTAGCTTAGATCCACAGGATTGGGTACGGATGTTAAATTTCTGGCTTAAACATCTGGCAGTATATCAGGGACCGCGAAGCATGGTGGCTCGCTGGGCTAGCCCCACCAATAATTTTTCCGTAATTAGTCTTTAATTTCGAATATTTTTAGTTCGCTCAAATTTACAAGCAATATTTTTAGCAATTTGTATTTTTTGCTTACAAGTATATGCAGTG